TATGGGTGTAGAAATTGTTGCGGTATCCGCTGCCTGGGCTTTTCCTTGGGTAGTTATCTTTCTTTTGTCTCGTCATGATCTAATCTCAATTATGGTTTCTTTTCTGATTAACTACATACTTACTCATATTTCTAAATTCGTTGCTCGGCTTTCGGCTTATGATTCTTTGTAATACCAAATTGCCTTATCAATGAGTAACAAATAGCTCGCATCATCTTTCTCCGTAGTTTGATGTGATACGATGCATTCCAATCACTCATCTTTCAAAGGATGCAGCCACTAAGTACGTACGTGTAAAACCAGGAGAGAAAGAAAACAGACACGAACATGTAAAGTAAAGCAGCCAAAACCCACCGAATGCTATTTGTATTGCTCCACAGTAAGACCCCAAATCAAAGCTAACGCACATGAGAACAAAGACAAAAAACGGAAATGAAAAAGAAAAGCGTCATATGATTCCTGTCCGTCGAGTGACCGCCACATGGAATTACTAACATGAACGCACGAAGCTCTATCCTATCATTGAAGAGGGAAAAAATACAAGCGTGGGGGAGTCCTAGTAGGCGGAGAAATCCGAGAATAGATAGATGAATGACGATATCAATTCAAATCACGCAAGTTCAACGGCATAGTCAAAAGATCCCGACTCCATACTACTAAAATACCATCGTATCGTCATTATCAGCTTCATCGGGGTCCATGATCCCGAATTCCCAATCGCCCCGCTCGATCCTGCTGGTGCGGTCTAGCTCGGACTGGAATTCCCGGCGGAGGTGGTCGAGGGTCACGATCACTCGTCGTCTGGGGCCCTTGCTGCTGCTGCTCGGTGTGGACGGGAGATTGCTGTCGTGTCGGGTGTGGGGCGTTGGAGACGAGGTACTACCGGCGGCGTCGTCCATGAAGACGCTCCCGTCGTCGTCGTGTTGGGCGCTGCGGGGTCGGGTTGCGGGCAGGGAGGGATCTTCTTTTTCGACGAGGATGTAGGCTTCGCTCTTGTCGACGCAGCAGAGGAGGTTTATCAGGGATAGGAGTTCGTGTCTGATTTCTTTGCTCTCGGGGTCTTCCTCGTCTGTGGGTCTGAAGTTGTCTGCTTCTCTGCTTTTGGCGAGCACTAGCTGCGTTGAGGAGTTATCACGGGCGCTTCGGAGGCGCTGCACATTCTGGTAGGCTATTTCAGCCGCCCCGCGGTAGTCGTTCCGTGCGATGCGGTATGCTTGCAGGATGCGTTGGTAGTCCGGGGTGGTGTCAGTCCACTTATTCCCGATCTCGAGGAACGAGCTGTGGGAATTTTGTTTGCGGGCGAGAGATACGAGGATCTCGTCGACGTAGGCAGCAACGTTGGGGACGAGGAACGTAGGGAAGTGGAGGATTTGCTCGAGTCCCGCGGTTCCAGGTCCTGACGTGGCTAGTATAGCTGTGATGAGGGAGCTGAGCGCGGACTTCTGCAGCGCCAGATCTTGATATCGAGAGAGCGCAGAGTACGCCTGGTCGAAGTGACAGCTGTGGATAGAAGCATAAAATAGGCGTGAGAGAACATCCGTTCGCAAAGTGGTGTACTCCGGGTTTGTCTCGTTCCGTTTCTCGCTAGCAAGGGCCTGCAGTGCAAGAGAAGCAAAGTCGGCGACATGTGAGAATGAACGCGCTTGCTCGAAAATAGACAAAACGTGTTGGAAGTATTTCGGAAGTCCATTATGGAAGCAATCCACCGAGACGATGTCAAGAAGCGTCGATGACATCTCGTGGAGATTTCCGAGGGGCTTCCCGCATGCTGCGATCCAATTAGACACTGTGCATCGAGAGTCGTGAGGGCAATCAAACTTACACAGAAGATATGCAGCCTTGCGGAAATACAGAGCTGCGGTGTCAAACTCTGACATGGCGACGTAAAGACGGCCCTTGACATAGGTCGCCCAAGACGTGCTTGCTTGGAAGCGAAGGAAATCCCAGGCAAGATCTATATTATTCTTCGCGATGAGGTCACATTGTATGTAGGCCAATGCGTTCGGATAGGCCACTTCGCCCTGACGTGTGACCCATGACAAAACATCCCGAATACCTAGAGTCAGTGTATAACTCTGGGGCAGACCGATGTTTTGACGAGGCTTGATGTCAACAGCAAATAGATCCTCGAAAATAGTCACCATACGGGTGTGTCTGGGCTTCGAGGATGAGTCTTTCAAAGAGAGATTAGGCGTAGAATTTTCTTCAGCGAGACCAGTGGAGTTATCATGCGACAACCGAGAATTCGAGCAGAGCCAATGCATCATCTCATACTCTCTCAGTAGCGACACGAGCGAGGCGAATAATTCCGCTGCATCAAAGGTAGAAGTATCCTGCTGCTCCACCTCACTATCCACGAAGACGACAAGGAGTAGAAGGTCGGTCAGAAGCTTGCGGGTAAACGAGATCGTCTCTTGAGCACCATTCACGGTGACGTTGACACCAAAATGGGTAGACAGAAGGTCGGAATCTTTGCCCGGGAACCCAAGAGGAATCGAGTCGACGATCGTAAAGAAAACATCGTTTGGAAGCTCATAGATGTTCAAGTGCTCGTTCATCGCGGCAATAAGCCCTGTGTATGTCTTATCGGAAATTTGATCCCCAAAGTCACATCGCTCGCGGAAAGCATCCATTCTATCGGGGACAGATGTCGATGGTTCGGTGAAGATCTCGGCTTCAAGAGCTCTTCGGCATCCTACCTCCAGATCTGCGGGAAACCTTTTCCGGAATCCAGACGCAACCTTTATTAAATGGGATGCAGACTCAAACAAGTCTCCGATCTCCGAGCCCAAGTTCCTATGCCTCCACCGGTCCACGATCTTGGGGCCTTCCTCCCTCAAATCAGAGCCCGAGTTATGCAGCAGTAGTTCCGTTGAGCTGCATTCTCGGATTACTGCGCAACTGTCCGAAAGTAGCAACCAGGGAAGCTCGTAGTATGAGTCGTACGCGATAGAAACTGGCTCGAACCTCCGTTTGTTGATGTCGTCCGCAATCTGACAGAACTGGCGCCACTTGGCATCCGTGTCTGTTTGGTACCGCGTGAAGTCCATCTCGTCATCGGCTAATTTTCGGAGCGCAACGCTGGTCGTAACTGTGGAACAAAGGCGTTCTGGCAGGGAGCCGCTCTTCTTTTGTGGACTAGAAGATGACAGCGGTTTGACAGCTTCCTGGTATATGGCCAGTGCAGTCTCGAGCACTTCTGAGGAAAATCGGTCTGGTTGCAAAAGGAACTTCAGCCACTTGTCTGTAGGATCCACAACATCGGAAAATGCCATCACAGGAGCAGGCTCCCGCGAGCGAGAGTCCATCGCCGTTGATACCCAATTCGTCTCCCAGTCGGCTGTCAGTGTCTCAAGGTTGAAGTGTAACGTGAAGAGCTGATAAACGTTGCTATTTCTCCACAAGACCCAGAGTTCCATGCCTTTTCCTTCCTCGGCGGGTTTGACCTGGAAATCCGCAATGCTCCAGAACATATTTCCTGACGGGTCGGGGTCCAGAGGTCTCAATGCGGAACCTGGGTAGAGATCTTCGATGACAAGCGGCGAGGTTAAACCGCCTTTGACAGCCCAGAACTTAAAGCGCCCTTCCTCAAAAGGCGAGTATGTGACGACGTAGTATCGGTAGGCCCCGTCCAACGCTCTCTCCACATTGAACACACGTATAAAGGAAGATTCGGAAGGATTCAGACTGTAAGAAGCTGCGTCGAGATGTTGTACTTCGCGATCCAATAGGTCCTTCGTGGCAGCCAACTTATTTGTAGCGAGGTTCCATATCTTTAAAGTGTGGTTCAAGCAAACGGCGAATACATAGGTCTGATCGGATGTGGTAGCGATCGCATTTGCGACATTTGTGTCGAGGTTGCGCCCGTCGTATTTGATCGAAGGTTGCGTATGCCACCTAACGAGCCCACGGATAGATGCGCCCCAGCTTCGCTCGTCAAAGGTAAGAGGATTCCAGTGCGACCCTATTTCAATCAGCTCCAATTCTCCAAAAGACCCAGAAAAAACAAGGATGACAACAAAGGGATACGGGGGCGGAATTACCATCGTCACCAGACCTCCTAGTCAAGCGCAAAAGCGCCCCGTTATCGAGGGAGACAAACAGCTCCAGGGGGCTGCTAGCATGCAGCCGGTGAGGGTGCGAAAACGACAGCGGCGCGGGAATACAAGACTTGCACCAATCGGATACATTCTCAGCGATCGACGCTGCTCTGCGAAAGAACTCCGGGCGCAGGGACAAGGTGTACAGTTGCTTCGAGGCGGTAATCACGAACACGCTCAGCAATTCGTGGTCCTCCAAGTCTGCGAAATCCACCCCCGACGGCAAAATTTCTTCCTGGAAATCCAAGCGCAGCGTGAGATTGTATTCATTGTCCTCAATCCCACCCTTTGTCAGATCCACACACTGGATCTCCAGCACCCTGTTGTCATTGACCACCCTCCATAGGAACGCTCGGGGAAAGACGCTGCGTTTGCGGAAATAGATCGATCCTTGGGTTGCCAGATAGCGCCGGGAGAATTCATCTTCGTCTTTCGCGACAAAGTCATCGCGGCCTGTCAGGGTGGTTATGGAGAAACGAGGGCGGCTCTGCGAGGTCGCTTGCGTTGCAATCGGGATGTTGACGACGGCGCTCGGCGAGTATGGCCGGAGATCGACGCGGGTGTCTTTGTAGATTTTAGCCATGTCAGAGAAGCAAGAAACCACCTTGCACGATAATGGATATGGTCATCTCAATTCTCCATAATCAGTTGGTTCGCAGTGGGTGGAACCTTGCAGCGCGGAGGAGTCTGGAAGACAAAAGAAGCTGAAGCTCTTCCGCTGCTCAGAAAAAACAAGGTCTTGGCACCCGCCTTAACAACGGCCGCCTGCCTGAACAACCGAGATACATAACGCAAGTGAATGACCGTGGAAACTTCTACTTTCATCAAGTAGATTACCATGGTAAACTGATATTCTACTATAATCTTGCTGGTACCTGGGTATTTACGAATGGAAGATTATCAACATCAAAAGATTATAGTTGTTCGCTCTAACAATCTCTAATTAATACCATTTCAGCTGTTTACTTATGAAGGAGAATGCCATGCTATCACAATAAAACAAAGAAAAAAAAAATCAAGCTATGAACGCAACTGAACAAGAACATCATTTTTCGTATCACGTGGCCAGGACCTACAGACACCGCATTGCTCAATCATTCTCCAGGTCCTTGGGGCTCGGGTCTCCGATCCCATCCTCGTTGATGGCAAACAGACAATCGCTCTCTGGCAGACACGGACTATCGTATATCTTGCATACTCGAGTCTCGCCTCGTCCCTTCTTCAAGCTCAGTCTGGTCGTACTGGCGTGGGCGATGATATTACCTCCAATGGGTTTCTTCGGATCCGGGTTGAACATCGCGCTCGGGCCACCATCAACCTGAGCAACAACTTGGTTTGTGATGACGACGGCGATACCAAACTCGTCCGCGAGACGCTGCAACGTGCGCAGGAATTTGGCGAGATGGTTTTGGCGCGTCGAAAGCTCACCACGGCCATTGAAATCCGTTCGATACAACGACGTGGCGGAGTCAACAACAAGGAGCGAAAACCGGGTCTCGCACATCATCTGAGACGCCTGGGTCAAGAGCTGAAGTTGGTGGTCAGAATTGTAGGCCCGCGCATAAGCCACATTATCCAAGACCTCCTCGCCAACAAGTCCATAGCGCTGAGCAACTGCTAACAATCGCACGGGCCGGAACGTCCCTTCTGTGTCGATGTAAAGACACTTTCCTTCACCTCCACCCATATCGAAAGGCAGCTGGCAAGTTACCGCCAGTGTATGGCAGATCTGACTTTTACCGGTCCTGAATTCGCCGAATATCTCGGTAATTGACCCGGTCTCGATTCCTCCTCCAAGAAGCGTGTCCAGTTGCTTGGAGCCGGTAGTGATCGAGATTAGTTCGCTTCGCCTCAAGTGCATTTCGGTGGCAGTGGTAAATCCCAGGGGGACAAGCTTCGCGACTATCAAGAAGACACATTAGATAATTGCGGCGCCAGCGTAAATGGGGATTTCGTGATGTTTGACTCACCCTCCACTAGCAACTTATTGGCTTTCTGCTCCGACACGCCCTTGATCTGCTCCAGCATACGTTTCGACCTAAGATCATACAACACACGTTAGCTTCTTCCTTCAAGTTGGCTCAAGTTGGCTCAAACGATAAAAACTCCGATAAATCGACAGGACGGGGTACATACGTATACGCAACAGATTCAACAGTGTAATAACCCGCATCAAGAAATAGTTTAATATCTCGAGCAGTCAAGCCTCCAACACCCTAGTAAGCAATGTCAGACCCTGCCATATAAGAAACAAATATCAAGAAATCGTCCGTGGCGTTCAATCACCACCAACAGGTCCAGATCTTACCTCCAACGCCGAAAGAGGGGTGGGCGCTCCAGGACCCGTCAGTCCATCATCGTACTCATTTTGAGTCTCCGCCTCGGCTGTCATTTTCACTCGGCAGTCCAGGCGCTTTATCGTAGAACTCTTTTGGCGTGTCTGCGGATAATACAGAAGGCCGAGCCTGGGGCCAGTTGACTCGACGTGTGTACGCGTTCGGGGCCACTGGGTGTTCTGTGCACAGCAACTGCTTGTTTCCCTAGAACTGGTACAAATGATGCTCCAGTATGTATAGGCAGGGTCTCGAAAGGACTCTTTATTGTGAGCAATGCGATTTGTCAAAGTGGCAAATCACCGTGATCCCGTTCACCTGGACGATGATGGATTGTGGACGCGTCGAGGATGTCGCGAGGTCACGTGTCTCGTTTTTCTACCTTGGTTTACCTTGGCGCCAGGCAACTATCGGGTCTATTAATTACAACAACACAGACCCACAACTTAGATGAGACTTGAAAGGATAGGAAAGCGGCACACTAATATTATAATATCCCAGATAAAGCAACAGACCAAAGCGACTGCGAATGGGGTGAATTATTCTAGTGGCATCTTGCACACTCGACGATCTTGAATATCTCGTCGTTTCAAAGGATAAACCAGGAGACCCTGCCACCATCTCACAGTAAACAGAAAAGAGCCAAAAAATATTTACTGCCTCCAGGTCTCTAGACCACTCTCCTGTCTTCTTTACATCTTAGCGGCGGGCATCTTCTTGAGCTGGAACATCTCAGTCGGAGTCGTCCGGAACTTGTCGTCGATGAACTTGCTTAGTCTGCGCCGCCGGGCCTCAGCGGAAGCTCGATTTTGTTCTGGCATGAGGAGTCAGTATACGATGTTCCTTTCTGGCCGCAATATTTACATGCAGAAAGACGCATATCCTGCATGGCTTACCATCGTCCGTTAGCTTTTGTTCACCCCCGTCAGAGGATTCGTTAAGCCATGAGCTTCTGATGTACCACCATCTCGATCGGTGACTCTTTGCCCGTTCGCTTAAGGTTTGATGCTTAGAAGGCTCGTTGATGTCTGGTGGATGAAGCCAGGTTGGGGGGAAAAGGCCGGGATGTGCGTATCCGGCCCTTTCGCTCACATCGAAATTTACCCTCTGGGTCTCCAAGCGTCGAGAATCGGGTATCTGTAACATAGGTGCCGGAACAAACGTCTGGAAGGATCTCTGCACTTCCCCCGGTTGATTCGCCAGAATTCTTCGTGGGGCCGGATCTACACTGTCCTTGTCTTCCTGCATCACAGGCCTGCGTAGCGAGGACTGGCTGGGGGTCCATATGCCCTCTACCTTGACACCCCTCTCCAGAGCTCTTGCGCCAAATGGTATCTCGTCTATCTCGTCCAGCATCGGATAGCTTTCGGCATCCTGCGTTGTGGCTGACCTTCTCTTCGCTGTGGTGAGTCTTCGGATGGCTCGTCTATTGTACAGCAGAACGCAGACCCCATATGCGACAACGAGGAGCTTGTCCATGTCAATACCTATCAGCAGGGCCATGGAGGGATTATTACTAGTAGGCATACTAAAAGGCACATCAGACTCTAGGCGTAGTAGTCAGTATACTTATTTCAGGCTATGTCCGGCCAGGTGTTAGCACTTACAAAACTCAGCTTCTGCCACAGAGGCCATCCCCTCCAAAACCGCATCTTGGGTAGTGGATCACGCTGTACTCGATATTGCGTGACTCTTTGTAATTGGCAAAGGCAGGTGGTGTATCTTTTTCTTGTCTTGTCGAGGCAAGCAAAGGGTGTCTCGACGGTGTGGTGTAGACGGAGTGAACAATATGTCAAATCCTGCTCTTTACCCTCTAATTGGAATTTGGGCTGTGTTCAGACCAATGTTTACCTACTTGGGATGTCCTGCTCGAGAGGCAGGAGCAAACTGGCCATGGTTTAGAGATGAATGCACAGCCGGAAGCCGCGAGCATTGCCAATTCTGTCTTACAGACAGATGTCGTGATCAAATAACAACAGTAAATTGACGTAGTTTGGGTCTTGATCAAGAATATTTATTGGTGGCCATACATCTAAAGGTATGAAAGGGATGGTGTCTACGGATGTATACATGGAAGTGGATTTACAAAGTCGTAATTTTTTTTCTCGAAGAAAAAAAAAAGAACAAGAGAGATTCAGAATAATTAAAGAACAGGGACGAGTGTGATTTACAGTCCGTATGGGCAATGTGGGTGGTGAAGTGGCTGTTATGAAGAGAGATGAATATAGGCAAAAAAAGAATCAAGAAAAAAGAAAGATAAAAAGAAGAGATGTAGTTGTTCAGCCAAGTAGTCAACGCCCCTGTAACAAGATGGTGTAATCCGGCGACGCCACCCCAGGGTGGAGGAGTCTCTGCAGAATTGCTTCCCTCAAGGGTCACTTCCATTGCTTAGCGCCTTGTAGCGATCGTGGATTACTCGCACGAGTACAATGACGACCCCAGGATTCGTACCGGGCACCTTTCTTGCTGGCGTGAGCCGAAGCAAGGTTGCGGACTTGGCGGCTGACCTTCCACTAGGTTATCCGTGACAGATTAAGAAAATACTCTGCTTTTGTGTTAGATAATACACACCCCTCATTTTTTCCCTTCATTTTTGTTGACTTTACCTTTAGCTACTCACCACTCAGAACTTAGACCTACTATAAGTATATTGATATTTTAGTGCTTGGTAAATATAACATACCTCTTTTACAATGATCCTCAATAGACAATCGAGTTAAAACTACTGGCTTTGCTGATTTGCAGACATACGCGCTACAAAATCGACCTTAACTACCCGCTTGTCTTGGATATATATTGTTTAACCAATATACATTGTTTAACCATGAGTCCACTGGCTAACACCATAAAAATAACACCCTCCCCAAACCACTCTGACTGGCATTATACAACGCCTGGAATATCCCGCGCATCAAAGAGACTAGCAAAAGTTGATCAACACACCGCATTCAATCAGACACCCAAGTTCTGAGCCCGCCGCACCTCATGCTGACACTTCTTGATCCAGATAAACCAGATCCTCTTGCACTGCCCAGAACAACAATCATCATTCTTCCCACAAATCGAACCAAAAGGGCCACAGGGCACGTCCTCCTCCGTATGGCATCGGAAATCCTTGCAAGTCTGACCTGCAACGCAGTCGGTGGTGTTGGCGCAGCCGAGGGTGCATTTCTGATCACAGATATAGCCGTAGTCGCATTGCGAATTCCAGTCACATCTTTTGTAAGATGTAGGTTCGTCGCCATCGACGCTGGCAAGGGCCGAGAGGCTGCTATTGCTTGCCATCTCCCTGGGGATGGAGGATGCAAGGGTTGGTCGGGTCGCGCAGAAGATGGCGATCATTCCGACCGAGATGATATCGAGGAGGCCAGGCATGGTGCTATTTTGCACCTATTGACGTCAGTTATACGCAGGTCTAATGCATTCAAATTGATACCATACCTGGTGACGTAGAGTAAAGGGGATGTTCACTGTCCACTGGTCAATGTGGAAGGATTGACAAGCCCGACTGTCAGAGTACACCGAATAATAGAGATGCAATGGAGATTATATAGTTGAGAGTAGTGAATGTGGACTGAGTGAGACAAGAAAACAAATCCCACAAGCACCAGGAAGAGGTACAACGACGTTGTTGACATGCTAAAAGGAAGCTGCTGCCCTACACAATTCTTCTAGCATGGTAGGGCAAGCCGAATTCAACCCAGGAAGGACCATATCAGTCGAAAGAAGGTAACAAAAACCTCTCGCTTTCGATATGAAATCTAGCATCTCATCCAAAAAAATATACCAGTAGTCTAACTGGAGGAACATAGTGCATCTAGACATCGTGAGCAAAACGGCCTCGATGTATATAGAGTAGAGTGCTAGACAGCAACAAACCCGCCTGTTATTTCCCCGCATGTTCCCAAAGAACAAACAGCGCGCTACGAAATAGATCGATCGGCTGTACTGACATGATTTCCAGGACAATGGATTTTACAAGCTGATGATTAGACGCAAGACGTATATTATATTGTATTAACAACCAAGATTGACAAGGTACGGCACAAAATGACGGAGGAGTAAATGTGGCGCCAGACAAATGCCCGCCGTGCCTTGGTGGGGTCTTTAATCTCACAAACCAATCCCATAACATTCGTGTACAAGTAACATCAACCTTTGGTTATGATCCCTGATAATTTGCCAGCCCAATTCCGATCGTCACCTCCATTCCAGAATTCCACCAACACCGAAGCGCCGATCATGTGAGGGTTGGAGGGGCGCATCTTGGGCTACTCCACTGTAACACCACGGCCACTATTTATCCATCCATCTTGCTCCCTATTTCCGTTTCCAGTTACTCTTTCCACTCGGCCACGTCGCATCGCAACACCTTTCAAGCAACCCTCATTGTGTCGCCAGTGCAGCCTTTCGTCCCTTGATTGAAAATGGCCCCCTTCCGCAACTTCCTCGCAAAGAGGTCCGCGCCGCCAAGTAGCGGGGAATCGGATATCTACAATGACGGTCGATTATCTACGGGGGCCCCGCCTACAAGTACGAGCCCCCTGAGCATCAGGAAAAGCTGCGAGAACCAGCCTCCAGAGTACAAACTGAGTGGTATGATATGCCCCACTCTTTGCGACGGTAGAGTTACCTCGGTTTAATGTCATTCTCTTGGTGAAACCTAGTGGTCGACGACAATGGCGCCTATCTTCCGGTACAGACGTCCTCTCCCCTGTCGACTACACCCCCCCACACCCCCTCTGCTGGCGACTGCACCTAGGGAGATTGCTAAACAAGACATCTTTCGCAGCCGTCGCCGCCGGAGAAACAGAGCATTTGGCGCCGACCAGGGTCGAATAACTCGAACCACCGGAGCCTCGTCAACGAAAACGAGCCATTCTCGATATCCCGCGAGTCGTTCGACTCCTACCGCCGCTCCTTCGTAAGCACCCCCTTGATAACACTTGACATACCAGAACGCAAGCAAACAAACAAGTCACCAAACCCTCCCCACCAACTAACGCATTCTACTCCGTACTTTAGGACATTTCAGCCCGCTCCCCAGTGAGCCACTCCGACGCACTCCCCTCTCGAACCTCCCTCGACTCCCGATTCTCGCGCATGTCGTCACCCTCCCTACAACACGGCTCAGCCAAGAAGCCCCAGACAATGGAGGAAGAGCAGTTTGAGGAAGTAGAACTCGGCGCCGACGACCCCAAGCCCAAGAAGAGGGGCATATTCTCGCGCTTCGGCGATTTTAACAGCGACAGCCAGTCCTCCAAGTCCTCGACGTTCTACTTCCCAGGCAGGAAGCGCGAACAGAGCGGTGCTGGTGCTGAGATGGGCGCCATCCAATCACCAGTGTCCGGAGAAGGGTCCTAGGCGCTTGAGACGCGGGACATAGTCTCCCGGGGAATATGTATGGAGTAATGATACTAATCGCTGGCGTTTTGGGAGGGTCAATTGATAAGGAGGCGGCGGCCGCCTGGATGTTTGATAGCTGCGCTATTTCTAGTCCTTGGATCGGCATGGGTAATGGTTATGCGTTATTGTATTTTCTAGATATTCTACCGAACATAGTCTTATACTCTTTCCAATTGTACCACTAAGTTATCTATTTTATTTTTACTTCAATGCTGTTAATGAAGTAGACGGGGCGATCGCATCCCATGCGAAAACGAGCACTCTTATCAACAAAGTGCAAACCAAACAAACACGACCCGACCGCCCGCGGCCGAAAAAAAAAAAAAAAGAAAGCCGCCGAAGATCACTATTGCTGAGCAGAAACTTAACAAAGGCAGCGCAATCTTTCTCTCCCGCTAGACCTTTCCGATTTATTATCTTTTTGTTACATCTTTCGTCGGAAAGAAGGGAGAAAGATAAGAAGAAATTTTCAAAGCAAAAAAAGCAAGACTCACCATGGTTGGAGTCAAGCGTCCCGTCGACGCCGGCGACGAGCGCAATGGAAAGCGGAGCAAGACGAAGACGCCTGTTGGTGTCCCCGCGAAGAAGTCGAAGAGTACTTCCGTGAAGAAGTCGGCGCCTGCTTCCAAGTCGGTGTCGAAGAAGAGCGACAAGTCCAAGTCTGAGAAGAAGAGCACGAAAACTAAGAAGCCGGCGAAGAAGGAGGAGTCGGACGACGACGATGATGATTTCGACGTGGATGATATTTCGGACTCTGATATGGAGGGCGGTATGAATGTTGATGAGGATGAGGACGTTGATATGGATAGCGCTGGTGATGATGATGAGAAGGACGAGGAGGGTGAGAGCAGCGAGTCTAGTGATAAGGCGGCGGCTAAGTCTTCGTCGGACGAGAAGAGTATGTTGATGGACCAGTCCCTTGCGAGATTGGGTTGAACTGTACTGATTGATTGCTGTCTTTAGACAAGAACGCATCCCGCGAGTCGCACGCCAAGCAGAAGGCCCTCCAACTAGAACGCAAAAACGCGAAGCCCAACGCCGACGTGATCCAGCGCTCGAAGAAGCTGTGGGAGCGCTTGCGCCGCAAGTCGCATGTTCCCCTGGAGGAGCGGAAGAAGCTCATCGCCGAGCTTTTCGGCATCCTTACCGGACGAGTGAAGGATTTCGTGTTCAAGCACGACTCCGTCCGTGTCGTCCAGACGGGCCTGAAGTACGCCAACCTCGAGCAACGGAAGCTGATCGCCACCGAGTTGAAGGGCAGCTACAAAGAGCTGGCGCAGAGCCGATATGCCAAGTTCTTGATTGGCAAGATTCTTGTGCACGGGGACGCTGAGATTCGCGATATGATCATCCCAGAGTTTTACGGCCACGCCAAGCGATTGATTCGGCACCCGGAGGGGTCGTGGATTCTCGACGATATCTACCGCACGGTTGCCACGAAGGAGCAGCAGGCCAACCTCCTCCGGGAGTGGTATGGCCCAGAGTTCTCGATCTTCAGAGATACTGCGAGTGATGTGTCGGCGGATCTTAGCAAGATCCTCGAGAAGAACCCGGAGAAGCGGACGCCGATCATGCATTTCCTCCACGAGCTCATCAACCAGCTGGTGCAGAAGAAGACGACCGGATTTACGATGCTACACGACGCCATGCTGCAGTACTCCCTGAACACCAAGCCCGGAAGCAACGAGGCCACGGAGTTCATCGAGCTGCTCAAGGGCGACGAAGAAGGCGACCTGGTCAAGAACCTGGCGTTCACCAAGTCCGGCAGCCGCGTGATGTGCCGGAGTCTGGCATACGCCAACGCCAAGGACCGGAAACTGCTGACTCGATTCTACCGCGACACGATCAAGCTGATGGCTGGCGATCTCCACGGACACATGGTGATCCTGGCGGCCTACGAGGTGATCGACGACACGAAGCTGACCGCGAAGATGGTCTTCACTGAGCTCCTGAACCAAGGCAGCGACGCGGAGACCCGCAACGAGGAGCTCATGTTCCAGGTGAACGACCTGACCGCGCGCATCCCCATCCTGTTCCCCTTCGCCGGCGACCGGGCCAAGTGGCTCATGCCCGAAGGCGACTATGAGATGCTGAAGGAGATCCGCGAGATCCGCAAGGAGACCTCCAAGAAGGACCCGGAGGTGCGTCGACAGGAGCTCGTCAAGGCGGCCTCCGCGACAGTGCTGGAGCTCATCGCGGCGCGCGCCGAGAGCCTCCTGGAGACGAGCTTTGGCTGCCAGTTCCTGGCGGAGGTCCTCTTCGAGGCCGACGGGGACAAGACGGCCGCGCTGACGGCCGTTGCCGAAGCGTCCAAGACCCGATCGGACACCAAGGACGCGGCCTTCGTGGGGCGACTGCTGAAGTCGCTCGTGCAGGGCGGCCGATTCAACAGCGCCGAGAAGAAGGTGGAGAAGGTGCAGCCGGCGCTTAACTTCCACGAGCTGCTGTACGATCAGATCAAGGACGAGATCATGACGTGGGCGACCGGGTCCAACGTGTTCGTGATTGTGGCGCTTGCTGAGTCGGACGACTTCGAGAAGAAGGGCGAGCTGCTGAAGACGCTGAAGAAGGGACGCAAGGCGCTGGAGAAGGCGTCTGGTGAGACTGGGAAGGGACCCGCGGCTAAGGGCGCGAAGCTGCTGCTGGAGAAGATCTAATTCTTTTCCTTTTTTTTTCTTGTTTTCTGTGGTATAGTCTGGTGTAGATGACTGGAGAGATGTCTATAATACTGGGTCCACGAGAAGAGCTCCTCGGTCTCGCTGTGTTTGGTTTATATTTGATCCGTGTTTGGGGGTGTTATAACAATCTGTACAGGGTCTGCCATAGTTTTAGACCAGTAAGCCAAAAGCATCCAATTCTCTTACTATCTTGTTCATGAGTCTATTTAACTAGAGTATTTTGTTACATCCCAGTAGTGGTTTACACATGAACGAAAAGTTCTGATAGACACCCCTCAAACCAGGCATCCACAGGGCGGAACCAGAGCCGACTGACCCATGGAACGAATCAGGGGTTATCGAGCATCAACAACCGCTTTCTACTAAATAGTCGAACTATCTTTGAATCATTTGGAACCGATGTGGGAGAGGCCAATCAATCGAGATAAAATTACCTGGACGATGATCTCCCCATCGGGCATCGGGGCACACTTCACCAGTTGGCGGCATTAGTTGATACCTCGGCTGGGTTTCATCCAGGATGCATTCATTCAACCCGGAGACGTAAACAAAGTTTCCTCTCCTTCTCTTTTCTTGGATTCGATATGTATCAGAAGGTTTCTTTTTGTTTTTCCCTCTGAGAAAATTACCGTTCATGAATGATCCAATCTAACCAAAGGAATACAACGGTCGACGATCTCTGGTGACGACTGTCCGATCCCTACCCATTTGGGCCCGACTCCGTAATTGGGGTTGGTTTAGTCGGGTTTTTGGACTCAGGGACAAGACTCCCAACACTCCAGGGAGAAGCGAGAGAAGGAGAAAGTGAGAAGGAGGAAGAGTGAGAGAGAGAGAGACTGACTCCGTACATATCTAGTCTGGGCCTCCAGTCACCCGATTTTGATCCTTTTTTAGGGTTTATCTTATTTTTATCTCTATTCTTATTTTCTACCCACCGTTCGTGCTTCACGGATGTCTCTCCACTGTCTGTGATCGCGACAAGCTTAATTCAGAGTCGTTCTTTTCTTTCCTACTCTATCGAATTGATTTGATGCTGGAATTGCCCGCTCCTTCATCGTCGCTCCTTTGATTCCTTTGGTGTTTATTTTTCTTCGCCTCCCCGCCTTGCTGGTCCTTTCAGTGATATCTCTCATTCGCTCAATTTTTCTTGTCCTATCTTGTCGCGTCGGTTGGTCTTTTGCCTCCCTGGCTTCGTCTTTTTCTTCTTTCTTTTTTGCCTTCTTACCTGTCTTACACTCTCTGGAGTGCCACCTTCAAACTACTTAATTTTTGGTTGCTACGCCTCCAATTTCCCCTATGGTGTGGACGCAGACCTCATTTGCAGCCGCATCACTTTAATAACCTAATTTCTACCCCTTGAACATCTAATTTGCCAGTCCTACCGTGCGAGAAGCGCAGGATCTCCTCCCTCCTTTCTCCCGACAACGGATGGCCCTGGGTGGAAGAATATCTTCTTCCCAGTTGGTTGTGAATTGACTTTTGACACACACTTCCTCGCTCCGTCATTACTGGCAACGCGCCAAATCTAGACCACCATGTTGCACAGTCGCGCGCATACCCGCACGCCGTCGGCAGACGAGGGTCGACATCGCCAACAACCCCCGATGATAATCCCGCCGTCCCCAACCTTATCGAACCCGGACATGATCCTCCCCTTTGACCAAACCGAGCGCGAGTCGCAGACCCCCTCTCCGCCCTTCAACCTTCCCTCCCTGTCCCACCTCCAGGCCTTCTACGAGAACCGAGCCGCCCCAATCGATTACGGCGCAGACGCCGGCAGTGCCGCCTCAGCCGGAGCGGGCCCCTACACAGTCACCAGGGCGCAGACGAAGGGGTTCCCGCGTCATACGTGGGTGCATGACAGTCATGATCCCGCCAATCGCCGCTTGTCGGCCATCGGCGAGGAGGACCTCTCGTCCCCCACACGTGTCGGGGGTTTCGGCGGAAACGTGCAAGGCGGGTCGCAAGGACGCTGGCTCGCGGTCTCGCCTCTGTCGCAGCCTGGTGCGGAGGAGAGCGAGAACAAGGATGCCGGCACGTGGAGTAGCTCGTCTAGCTCGACGGTCAGCGCTGCTAGCGAGACCTCTTCCCATGAGGGGAGCCGGTCTCGCCAGAACGGACAGGCGGCTCCGCAGGAGAATCGGAGCCTGGAACATCGCCAGATTCACGAGGCTGTCCGTGCTATCAAAGAGGGGGCCAAGGGAGGAGGGGTGTCGGATCCAAAGGCCGTCTCAACTACGCAAGAAGGCGGCGGGGCAGACGAGCTGTCGTCGGTGATATTGAGCAGTGAGGCCGAGAGGATTCTCGAAAACGCGAAGAAAAGACTCACGGTAGGTTCACATTCCAAGTTCCGAGACACAGATCGCTGACGCCCGATAGCTTATGGAGGGTAACCTCACCCGGGCTCGTACATCGGTGCGAGTGTCCCCCTCGCCCTCGCCCAGTCCGTCCGGAAGCGGCCCGTCTATGGGCCTTGGCCAGCCGGTTGGTGGGCTATACCGGTCGATATCTCGCACAGATCGCCGGTCGTCGACGATGCGGCCGCGCGCAACGTACTCGTCGCAGGACCAGCCGAGCAACCGACATTCCCGCGTGTACAGCGAAACGTATGTGCCGTCCGCGGCTCATCCCAGCATTTCTACCGCGGAGCCGGACCCGTCCCGGTCCATGAGCGCCATGGGCTCGAGCCGGTCGTCGGACTATAACCACGACGACCGATCCTTCCATTACGCACCCACTCGATCCTACCTCACCCACCGGGCATCGGTGTCGTCCATCCGACCCCCGATCATATCCCGTTCTTCGGATGAGCACTCGTCCACCGGTGCGGGGCAGGACCTCGGCATTGATCAGGATGGGCAGCAGATCTCCAACCTGGAAGACTTCAACTCGATCTACCCGTCGCAAGACCCCCCTTCGCGCTCTCAATCGCAGCTCCAGGTACGCGACCTCCAGGACCAGATGAAGGGCCTGCACATCAAGATCTCCAGTCTGAAGGTGAAAGCGCAGGGGGATAGTCTCCGCCGACGCAGTCTGCAGCTCCTGCGCACCCCGAGTCCTCTCACCGCCGCTAACCACGCCAACCAATGGCAGTCTAATGACGTGGAGTACAAAAGCGGCCCCGGTGAGGCCCGGCCCGATGCGGAGTACAAGCACCCGGCGGGCGGCGTCCCAGGGGATCGTAGCAGCGATGAGCTGGACGTGGCCGCTCGAAAACACGAGACAGACGGTAGTCGCAAAGCAAAGGAACCGTCCCCGCCACGCGCGGCGACCCATCCCGAGCCGCCGGCGTACGAGTCGGCAGACAACGACGACGCGCAGTCCGTCATCGAGAGCCTCTACGAAGACGCCGAAGACTACAATTCGGACGGCTCATCAGACACCGAGATCGACCGGGACGAGCTGAACGAGATCCTGAACGAGCCGTTGGACGACGACCTGGCCGACCCCCTGGAGGCGTTCCCTGCAGTCCCCCAGCATCCCGACTTTCTGTCCCACGAAGACCGCGAGGACGCCTTTGACTACGAGCACTTTATCCTGCACAGCGCGCTGGGCAACTACACGCAGGCGCGCCGGCGGCAGCAGAGCAATGCGTCCTACTCGTCCGTGGAAACCACGCGGCCGCTCCAAGGCCGCCGTTCAATGGGCCACTCACGCGCAAACAGCGCGACGTCGCTGTCGACCGTCGCCACCTTCGCGACAGCCACCGAGGGAGCCGACGCGGACTTCGAGGGCGTGCTTTACTGGGACCGGAGATTCAACGATGGTAAGCCTGACCCTGATCATCATAGTATGATACAATAACTAATACCAACAGAAATGCGCAACCACGACCACTTCTCCGACTCCGACCCAGAAGACCCCAACCGCGACGACCAAGGCACCCCCCGCGCAGTCCGCAAGCGCCCCAGCCACCTCAGCTCAAAAAGCAGCAGCACAAAGCTGGACGACAAGATCCCAGAAGAACCTCCCCAACGATCCGACTCCGCCACAACAGGCTCCGCAACGCCCACCTCGCTCGTCTCCTCGCTCGTGTCCACCGTGCGCGCCGCATCTAGCCAGCACCCGGACTCCCCCACCGCGGGCATCACCAACGACGACGAGCGGCTCCTAGAGCAGCTGTTCCAGAGCCTCGGCGATGTCTGTATGGAATTGCAGGCGCTGACGGGTGCGGGTGCGGAGCAGTCGGATCCGAGACATGTGAGGCAGCTGAGGCAGCGGTTGAAGAATGCGAGGCGGGTTCTTGACGGGGAGTTGGATACGTAGGGGATATATCGATGGGTGGGTGGATGTGCTTTTTTTGGCGTTGCAGGGAGTGTTGCTAGTGGTGGTAGCTTTTGATGATACCCTGATTTGATGTTATTTATGTTTTGTATATATTGAATAATCGTGATAGTCATTATAGTCTATCGACCGTAATACCCTCCCTATATAAGCCTTCAAACATAATTCTTATATTCCTAGTAGAAGGCAGTAGTAGTCCAGTCAGGTGAGTAAATGTAAATAAAAGCCCCACAAACCGCCCGAGCACGTGTAGACACGCGGGACGCGACCAGCCCACCAATCACCATCACTGATGCTGAACATCCCCTAAGCATAAGTACACTCATCTATCATGCCGATGGAATTAGATACACACGGACATATCTAGTACAACTACGAAGCTATACTTATCGATCGGATATCACACCACCAATTGAATCGTCGAGGAAGCTCTACAATACGCGCTGCAGAGTGGTTTACATTCATCATCTATCAACCGTCTATCCATCCACCCCGCCATAGAAAAAAAAATAAGAAAAGAAAAAAAAAAAAAACAATATATCAACAGTCTCAGTCGCATCCCACCTACTCGGACATCAATATCAATATCAAATCAACAACCCTATCAACATCCAAAACAAAACAGCAAACCAATTCACCGCAAAGAAAGAAAGATAGAAGATAAAAAAGGAGAAAAAAATGAGCACCTCCCGCCGCCTCCTCATCTTCCAAGAAGCCCGCAATCCCCACAACGCCGCAGAGACCGTCTTCCTACCCGTCAACAAGCTGGGTCTGCCGATCTGCGGACGCGGACCGGAGCTGCCGTCTCTTTTGGAGCTGCCGTTGAAGACTTTGAAGGCGTTTACGGAGATCTTTAATCAGCCGAAGTATAAGGGGTGGTATGTCTTCTTTTCTTTTCTTCTCTTAATCTATTCTTCTTCGGGATTAGTATCCTCTGAGCCTTGATCTTGAATGGGAGATGTATGAACGGATGTGTATAATAAGGTGATATATGCTAACTGAAACAGGGCCATCGTCGCAGCAGGCTCATACCATGATAGCTCCGAAGAAGGCAAATTCTACGCTGTCGTGCTGGAGCAGACGCGGGATGTCTTGGGTGTGATGCAGGAGCAGGCTGGGCCTTAGCTGGATACTGCACTGAAGATTGTGGCTGAAGACTGACTTGCTGTAATGATTATGATGTGGATGCACTGTTCTTCCTTTCTTTCTTGTGTTTCTTTGCACATGTGTTTTTTTAGGCTGCTACTTACTGGTCTGGTCATGATGATATCATGCTGTTGATACTGTTGCTGTATCTTGGGTGGGATTGTTGTTCTTATTGTCATGCTGTTAATATCATAGGTATGTTATTATGTTACTTGTGGGTGGATATAGGTTCTTGTTTAGTACTTAAGAGATATTCATAGATATACGATCTCGCACTTAATCAGTATTCCATCATTACATGCACACATTTATGATTGACTACCATCACTCACTATCATCACTGGTTCCTATCATCAAACCTTACTATCACCGCCATCACAATATATCATGTATCTCGCAAGTATGACGTCCAAAGCCACGTGCCCTACTTAAATTCACGAGTATAAAGTCTCATTCTCCCACCTCCCCGTAAACTCTTCCTCTTCGCCATAATCATCCTTCTTATCTCGAGATTCACAGTTCACCATCTTCAAACAGGCAAATACCAATCTCCCATCTCAAGCAAACATGTCTTTCATGTCAACCTCGTCGATCATGTCAACCACACCCCCCATGACCACCGTATGTCAACCTCTCCCCCTCCTTCAATAAGATAAAACTAACAAAGCGCCACTAGCAAAGCCTCCTCCTGATAATCTCCTACAAAGATGGCACCTTCATCCCAGAGAACCTACCCGGCTTGCCCATTTCATCCACATCAGCCATCATAAACAACGGCATGACGGGCCTCATCTCGGCTGACTTCCTTATCGCGCTTACGGATATCGTGAGAGGCGAGCCTCTTGATGGGTAGTAAGTTCTTTCTTCTCTCACCAACGTTTTCTTCCAGAGTCTGACGGATGTAGTTCTTTTCAAACTGCCTGGATCGACCCCGAGGGATATTACCATGCTGTCCTCACTAGAGATGATAGCCCGGAGGAGCTTTCTACTACACCATCTACATCTACCAGCCCCTCCTCTACAACCTCCTCAACAACATCCTCTATCCTTATCAACGGCGATGACACCAATGACACCGAACAGCCCACCGAATGGTACACGGCCGAAGAGTCCCACTTTCAAAACGTCTTCGAAGAAGAAGAAGAAGAAGGGCAAGAAGAAAAACAAGTCCAAGAGCCATCCAGCACCCTCGGATGGGGCCTCACCACCAACCACACCACCGGCACAAATCCCTCCACTCGGTGGTACACTTACGCGTTGGATGGGACTGCCCTGGATGCCGATACCGAATCGGACCCGGACTTTGAATCTGCCAGTGAAGGGTTGGCGGACTCCCTTCCGGCCCTAGACCCTGCGCTTTCGGACTCTGTTAGCGAAAGGTCGACGGACTCCCTCCCATCTCTAATCCCCAGCTATCACCACGGGTGGGAGATTGTCTACCATGATGAGGAGGACGACGTCATCGTCGCTGTTGGTGATAATCATATTATCACTACCAACAACAATGACAGCAACGACGACAGCAACGACGACAGCAACGACGACAGCAACGACGACAACAACGATGACGATCAGGGTGGCAACGACAATTGGCAGTCAGCAGAAGCTGCTACCACTGACGAAAGCCAGGCTGCCAAATGGAGCAGCATCCCTGCGGATGAGTCCCTGGCAATAACGGGCCAGAGAGCAGTCAGCTCTAAGCGTGCTTGTCTTGTTCAAGGGGCGATTAAGGGGTGGTAACGCCGAATTTTGGTCGGTTTGATTACTTGTTGTTTGGGTGTGTGTGTGTGTGTGTGTGTGTGTGTGTGTGTGTGTGTGTGTGTGTGTGGATAGATGGGTACTGGGAACATTGATAATATTTGGTTTAAAGGGTACTCTTTTTTATGATGTTGTTACTAATTGTAGGTTCTCCCTGGCTGGATAACTACCTACCTATCTATCTATCTATCTAGGTACCTAGGTATCTACAGTACCTGCATGCCTCCTAGATACGCTTACGTCGTAGTATCTCAGGTCGACAGAGTCGTATCATCTCAAGTTTTAGGAGTCTACTACCACCTGTGTACCTCCTACTACTCTGATATAACCTAGGCCATGCCCAATAACACTATATATACCACACTACTATCATCTTAGCAACAGCACAAACCAGTGACAACGAATAATTAACGACTATACCCAGACACCTGATAGGTAGGAGGTAGAGAGGTAGTAGGTAGTTAGAGAAAGTAACGACAGACCGCCAACCAGCTAAACAACACACATGAAACAAGAACGAGAAGAAGTAACAGAAAAAGAACATAAATCCTAAATTACATCCATTACCGACACTCCCAGGGAACGAAAAGTACTACACTCTCACTCTCACTCTCACCCTCACAGGATACACTCATCACCCATCCATCGCTATCACCAACATCACTGTCATGCACGACCACTACCTATCAGCTCAGCTAGCTCCCGGTTTGATATTAATCAATCAATCAATCAATCAATCAAAGAAATATGATAAACAAAGTGACGAATAAACAAAAAGAACAGGTAATAAGGCAATAGCCCATTCAAATACAATCGAAGAACCCGCTGAATACAAATTTCATCATCGCTGTCGTTTGCTTTGTTTTTCATCCTGCTGAATTCCACCTCGCTGTCACTGCTTCACTTCACTTCCATAGTGGCAACAGGTTAATGTCTGTCATCACGTGTAGGAGTTGGCAGGCGGGAGCAGTTTGGCGCCGTAGCGGAGGTCCAGAGAGCGGGAGTCGTTGGGGTCAAAGTCGGCGTTTTGGCGCTGTTCGAGGTATTGGGCTGCGACCGTTAGCTGTTGTCGTTCTGGTAGATGGGAGAAAAGAAAGACTCACGCGTCACTTTGATCATGTCGAACCACCGAGCGGCGTTTTCGTCGCTGAGGTCCACCGCCTTTAAGACGCCCGTGTCGGGGCGCGGGGTGGCCTTGGGCGGCAGACTGCGCATCTTCAACAGCATGTGGAGGATGTCTGAGAAGCGGTCGCCTTGGCTGGCGTAGTATGGGGGACGCTTGTCCAATGGCCACTGGGGTGTATTAGTGGTTGTGTTCGACGGAGTTGATAATGATTAGGGTACCCACCCGTTGCGCGAACGCCTCGCCTTCCCACGAGCGGAACAGCCAGCAGGTTCGCTCCACGCAGTTCAGCAACACGATGGAGACTAGGAACGTCTCGAACCAGCCGCTCTGCTGGCGCTGGAGTAGACGGCGCTCGAGGTCGTTCATCACTGACTTGCTCAGCTGCGATGCGCGCTTCTCCGTCGCGGCGCGCAACTGGCAGCATAAGAGCGCGTAGGATTCAGGATTGCTGACTTCGTCGATCGACATACGCCCGTCGTCGGAGGGCTGCGCAAGGGAGTGCATCGAGGTAGGGGGGAGGGTCGGGTTGTAGAACGACTTCCAGCGTAACTCGGAGTCGACCAGGATGTGGGTTGCAACCCACAATTCCAGCACCCGTTCCAGCAGGGTGTCCTGCAAATATTAGCTTTTGTCGTCCAGAGATCTTCAAAAGGACGTACTTTTTTCTGCGTGCTTAGCTCGGCCGCCAGCAGAAGAGTAGGCCGCATGAACTCTGACGTTTCGCGCTCGTAGAAAAATGGCGCAGTCTTCTTGATGTACGTCTCCAGATTCCCGGGCAGATCGTCGGCGTCACTGTCGAGCAGGTAAAGCTCGGAGAGGGGCCCCTGGAATTGCGTGTCGTCTCCCAGTCCCTGCAGCTGCGGATCCAGCGTCGACGACGGCGGCTTGTGGCCTTGGAGACCACTGAACGTGACGTAGACCATGCTTTCTTCAAAGTGCGTGACTTCAATGCGACCCGCATAGTGCTCGAACGTCACCTGATTGCGGATACTGCTCACATCGTGGTATGCGAGGGTGGCATGGAGATCTGAGTTATTAGTTAGCAGAGCTTCAACGTGTGGTAGGACAATACGCACTGGCACTATACAGCTCGAATTCTTCTGCGATGCGCGTGCGAATGCACGGGTGTTTCCAAAGACGGGCGCTTTCAACACTCGCGCAGGTAGTGCAGGGACTGTCGCCGGAGCACTAGACAAGTATTAGCTAGATCACGAATATGGGGCAATTACAAAACATACAGGCTTCTTCAACATACGGCAGCGAATGCACGCGCCGCGTTTCCTGACCTCCTGTACCTCTCTACGTCTGGCGGCGGAGAAGCGGCCGCGCACCTTGGGTTTTGTGGGTTTGGTCGAGTTTCCAAATTCATTGACGAACCCCTTGGCCTGGGAGTTGGGATTCATTGCGATGGGACGGGGGAATGTAGCGGCGCGTTGCGTCGCAGCAGTCAGGGTGGGGTCGTGTTCCTGAAGGCTGTCGAAGAGGAGCTGCTCATGGGTTGTGAGCTGCTGGTTCCATGGCAGTTTCGGAAGACCGTCCGGGTCCTGATCCATCGAGATGCCCTGAGGAACCATCTCACTGGCGGAAGCTGCAATCATGGACAGCTGCGATTGCTGGCGCGCATTGGAAGCCGCGTCGGGGGTCAGCGAAGCTTCGCCCAAGGTAGGGGATGCCGACGGCGGGGGCTGCGGCTGCGAGGATTGCGGATCCTGAGCGGTGTTGAGAGAGGGGGGGACGACCGAGGAGTTGGAAGCTTGAGGAGACACTGTGTAGAAAACTCTGTTAGCATGATGTCGATCGCGACGGAGGTCACTTGCGAAAAGGGAAAGGAAATAGTAACTTACGAGGCGGTTTCACATCCTCATCGATATTCTCCTGCTGAACAGGAGAGCCCTGGAAGCCCTCTGCCTCGAGGGCCGGGTCAACGACGACAGTCTTCCCTCCAACGGTGACACCTTGCGTGTAGGCAGGCCCCCGTTTCGTCTGGTCGGACGCGCCGACCTGTCTCGACGCCTCGGCCAACACATTGAGGCCGTCAAAATTCTGGCGCGTCGTAAACGACACATCGGACCCCTTGCCTTTACCTTGCCCTGCGGCGTTGGGGTCTTTATTCTGATCGCCATCGGCCAGATCGGGGAGCTCGTGCAGTCGCAGCAGGACGCGTTGGCGGTCACGCAGCGGGATGGCCTGACATTTCTTGACAAGATGGTTGGTCAAGCTATCGATGCGGCCCTTGGGAAATTTTTCGCCGCAGGCCTTGCAGGTATGCTGGTAGCGGTTGCTAGCATCCTCGAGTTTCTGACCTCGGATAAAGAACTCGAGGATGAGTTGGTTGGGTTTGCGACCCATGGCGAGGAACGATTGCGGGATGGTGTGTGTTGTGTGCGCGCGCGCGGGTGGCAGAAAAAGGGACAGACAGACTCGACAGGGAGTCAGGAACCTCGACGTCCCTCACAGATACTGTCGAGACTGGTGATCGAGTATCACAATATCAGAATGCTCCTCGATCCTCGACCCAAAAGAATTTAGACCCAGAAGTGAGCACAGTTAGATCAACACGACAGGCGTGACGCACACAAAGCGACGGGGACGAGGGGCGGTGATGATCGGGATGGCAAAATGGCAAGGTCACCAACACCGCCACGAGACAGCCACTCAAGTGATAGCGGAACGAGGCACGACACACGGAGGAAGGGTCAATCTACGACGGCCTTGAGCCACAAGACAAGGCCCTTAGGAGGAGAATGAGAAATAGGGTAAAAATGTGACGAGCAAGAAGACAGAGAAGTGGGATGGAGATGATGTTGAAGCAAGCAACGGCAAAACGGCGACTTTTTGCACGGGCGGTCTGGCGGCTGCTGGGATGGCGCTTCACCGCATGAAAGGCGGTGATGAGATCGGTGACCAGGGAAGAGGAACCGAGTTGGATGAGATCCGAGTCCTGATCAGTAACAACCCAACCAACACAGAATACCAGGGTTTGGGGGGTTCCAGAGGGAAATGGAGGACGGAAATCGTCGCTGGCAGAGGGAGTCGTCTTTGGTATGTCAGTCGCCCAGGATTTTTTGTGCTACCTTAATAATAAGAATCATAACACGAATAATCATATCATAATTGTCGAGTTTGTCGATGACCTTATGCGTGGCTGAGTCAGAGATCGCTCTTTTATGCTGTGTCTGCCTGAGGCAACACATGTGACCGCCCTTTCCATGACTCCAGAGAGAAGTACAGCTACCTTATTTCAGCCCCGTCGCCTTTCCTAACATGATGCATCATCTCACCTTGTCCCGCCAGTTGGGACAATGGTATAGTCCAGCACGCTCGTGCATGCATCAACAAGTCGGTCAGGCAGTCAGATGTTATCTGTCACTCAGAGCTTGCCCTACGTGGCTCTCTAAAAATATCCAGCGGTAGTTGGTCGTTGCTAGACAGATCCGATCCGATCGGCTGTGCGATGATGCTATGATTTCTGTAGATGTGGATCTGAAACTGCTACTTGTCACTCCTGCCTGATGTCTTCGGTGTCGCAGGCCGTGGACTTGCAACTGCTTGCGACATCGAAGACAGTCAAGTTGCAGACCATGATATTACAGCCGTGAGCTCGTGTATGTACACCTCAGACGAGGACAATTAAACAAATCTGCAGCGCAAATATGGACCCGTCAAATTACGCTCCGTAGAAGCAAAGAAAGAAAGAAACAGTCCAAAGAAAAGGGAAAGAATAAGATCCGCTGATAACGCCCGACCAACTCCGGCACACAGGCTTGAGGTGAAAAAAGAAAAAGAAAAAAAAAGATTAAAGCGGAATCACGCAGCAATAGCCACGACGGATAGCAGCACCCACGGAGCAAGAACACTATCGAAACAGAAGCAACATCAGGCAACAGACCCCAATGAAACCACCCAGGATGAAAGCATCCCGCCGCCTCTTGGAGCCGATCTTCCCAATCAACGCATTCATGCCAGGGACTTTGCTCGCAGCGCCCACAATCCGCCGGTTAATACTAGCCAGGGTCTCGCGCTGGATGCCAAAGTTCTCGTTGATGGCGTAGGCCTGGCTCAGCACGCCGTCCATCATGTTGTGGCTCTCGTCGAGGTGTCCGCGCTCCTCGAGCATGTACTCCGCCTCGGCGGCGGCGGGGTTTGACGCGCGGTAGGCGTCGATGTCGGAGCGCACGTTGGAGAGCAGGTTGGCGCGGTCGCGAGACTCGGAGATGGCGGCGTTGAGCCGCTGGAGTTCGCGGCGGTGGTCGGTGAGGATTTCGCGGTGGCGGGCGAGGTTGCTTTGTTTCAGGGCGGAGGAGGTGAGGGTCGCTTCGGAGTCGAGGAGGCGGGCGAGTTGGGAGATGAGGGATTCTCGCTGGACTGTTGTTAGATCTGGAGGTGATCTTGGATTGCGGGATATGGGGTAGTACCTTTCCGAGAAGCTCTTTCAGTTCCGATTCGAGTCGCAGCTCTTCTTCGGAGGGTTTCGGCGGTAGCTTGGTCATTGAGGCATATTGTGCGTAGGAGTGGAAGAGGGTCTCTGTCTGTACCGACCATTATTAGATCACTTCAGCCGTGGTGTTGGATTATACCAGCGTACCTGAGTCTCGAGCGAGCGGGCCTGCTGTCGCAGCTGCGCCCACCCCGTACCAGTTGCAGCCATGATATTAAACGGAGATGGTAGACAATCAACAATTAGACAAGGTAATAGATAACAATAACAGACAGCCGACCAGCGGAAACATAAGACGCAAGTTATACTACCATTAGAATCACCTCCTTGTCAGACCAACTGCGGAATCAAGTAACCTGATAGAACTGGGGGGTCCCGAAACCAGCCTAACCCGATCCAGACCGCCACGCCACAGCACCAGCATAATTAATCATCCACTGCATAACTACCCTTCCCACCAATCACAGCCCCAAACCAGGGATGCAGTCCCAAAGGAAAAGCCAGCATCACGTGCCCGCTTAGTGGTCGCACCCGCACAGGAAAGAAAAAATGAAACCCTAGTCCCACAACGAGCATCCCAAATTCGACCCGGTCCGTCTTCAATCCTCTCGTCGACAACCGTACGATACGACAAAGCCGCCCACCATGGTATGTTCAGAGTCTATATCCTTTGCGCAGATTGAGAAGGAAAACGGAATGGAATTATCGATACTGACGGCGGCTTTTTTTCTAGTCGTCCAAGGTCAAGGCTGGTCAGCTCTGGGGAAAGAGCAAGGATGATCTCACCAAGCAGCTCGAGGAGCTCAAGTTCGACCTGAACCAGCTCCGTGTCCAGAAGATTGCTGGTGGTGCTTCGGCGAAGACCCAGAGGATGTATGTGAAACGACAACCTTTTTTATCCCCCGTCCACAAGGCCGATATCTACGAATCTGCGGGAGGAGGATCATTAGCGGAGTCGCATGGATGAAAGGGGAGAGAACAATATACGACAAGCCAGAGAGAGAAAGAGAAGAGAAGAGAAGAGAAAGAGACCTCAACCGCAGATTCGACAAGATGGGCGCAATACAACACAAATTTGACAAGATACTAACTATAACAGCCACGACGTCCGCAAGTCGATCGCTCGTGTCCTCACCGTCATCAACGCCAACCAGCGCTCGCAGCTCCGCCTCTTCTACAAGAACAAGAAGTTCCTCCCTCTTGACCTCCGCCCCAAGCTCACCCGCGCCCTCCGCCGCCGGCTCACCAAGCACGAGGCTACCGCGAAGACCGACAAGCAGAAGAAGAAGCAGATCCACTTCCCCCAGCGGAAGTACGCTGTTAAGGTGCGATCCCATAACTCAACCACTACCATTTCCACCCATTGAACCCGTGATCAATTATCTACAACACCAAAATACCCACCCAGCTTGCAACGAACGAATTTGACTAACGATAAACAGGCTTAAATAAAATAGAGTCTGAATCTTCTGCATGGAGTTACGGGAAAACCTCAAACTTGAGAACATACACGGCTTGGGGGACCGCCTTGGCTTTTTATAGATACCAGCCAGAGAGGACTTCAGACGTTGTTTTTCTTGAAAATGAATAAAATGAGGCAAATCGGTTTATGTATCTTAGTGCAAGATGCTGGTCGACTGTTGAAATGAAGGCTTTACATGATTCTCCTTATTATATTCTAGGCCGTTTAAGAGTGTAGGTTTGTAGGAGTATGTCTAGATTTACTAATTTATCTGCCTTGGTATGCCTACCTATATGGGTAGTTATCCCCTACCTGCCCACTCATGCATAAGTATGTGCATTGCAATACACTACATGTGTCCTACACATAGTAATATAAACACGCTATCATCTCGTTTCATCTATCTATACACGATGTATACTACCCAACTAGCCACCACACATTGATCATCTAATCAATAAAAGCCACCAGGGCTGCACACTCTTCCCTACCCCCTCTCCCCCCATACCAACATAGCTACATACATACCTACCTACCTACCCAACAACAGGCTCCGCCTCCAAAGCCCACAACCCCCCACACACACACTGCCGCACGTACCCCAACCGATGAATCAATCTGTACCCGATCGGACCCGTCCGCAGCGGAGTCGACCCGTCTGAGAGGCCACAGCACCGGACACATCTGCGGCGGCGGGGGGGTTGTTGTTGCTGTTGCTGATTCTGCTGATTCGCCCCAACACCACTACCATTATTCCCTTGAGAGCCAGAAGCAGCAGCAGCAGCAGTAGAAGTAATCCTCAACGGCATCTTCCTAACAACATCCACCTCCCTCTCCCTCTCCCTCCTCCACCCATCACCCCGCCTATCCCCCCCAACCCCCAACCAACTATAATCCGCCATATAGATAGCCAACCGATCCACCTCGGGCTTAATAACGCCCAGCGTCTGCCGGACGATCGTCCCGACGGCAGTGACAAGCACAGGCGGGATGCGCGCGTTAACGAGCAGTTCTTTCTCCGGGCCGGGTCGCTCTGCGTCGCCGAAGCCGGCGCCGTGGTATGCGTGGCGCACGGCGGAGTCGATCCCGGCGACGAATTTCTCGTACACGTCGACGCGCACGGGGGATGCGTCGAGGGTTTGCCGGATTTCGGTGTAGTAGATGCGGGAGTCGCCTGTGAAGGCGGCGTTCGCGTAGCCGGTGTAGATGCCGCGGAGGCCGCGGCAGATGATGCGGAGGTAGGCACGGGACATGCTTGAGAGGAGGATTATGAGGGGGAGGGAGGCGGTGGATTTTACTGCTTGTTGTGTTAGTGGGGTTGTTGGGGGAGGGGAGGGACGGGGAAAGGGGACGAACGCTTTTGGGAGAGGGTTTCTGGGTCGGAGGCTACGCCTTCTAGCTCGTCTGCGAGCTCAAAGAGTTCGTTGAGGAGGTAGTGCGAGAAGTCGAGGGCCCATCGGGTGTTGCCGAGGACGGTTCGCAGCACGTCTGGGCTTGTGAGTGGGCGGGTTTTGTGGGATATGGAGGTGTCTACTGACCTGGATCGTGTGGCTCGCCTTGGACGCCTTTGCTATACTGGAAGAGAAACGGGTAGAGGATGGCTGCATGTCGAATCTGGAGGATGGCCCACGGGATTGCTGACGCTAGACTACGCGATGTGAACTGATCTTTGAACCCTAGTGCCGCTTGTAGGCTGAGACACCGGGGGATGTATGTATTGCTCATTAATTTCTCCTGTTTCTCGTGCTCTTGCGTGTAGTCGCAGTTGATTGGTAGGGCGCGGTAGACTTCGTTGACGAGGGCGAGTTGGGCGTCTGCGTATGTTAGACTTGGTTGATGTTCGAACGGGAGGACCAGATCCACTAACCAGGGGAAAGCTGCCGTCGAGCGAGCATTATTATATCATCTGTGTTGACCTCGCTGCCACATCCCCGGCTGAACGCCAATGTCAGCGCCGCCACGGCTGCTGAGAATTTGTCTAAGTCTGTCAGATGCATAGCCCCAATGGGAATAAGGGGAAACATACTCTCATCGTAACCCTCATTTTCAACCCCATACGAGTGCTGCATCCCCCTGAGCTGGACCTGTCCGTCCCCGTTGAGCGTAGCCGCCAGGCATCCACTCGGCGAGAAGTCGATATGGAGACCACAGGCCGAATCGAGGGGATAGTGGAACCCGGCTTGCGCCAAACTGGTCACTGTGTTGGCATCGTCGACCCCGCTAAAAGGACTTATCGTCTTCGGGTCGTAGAAGGCGACGGAGCCATCGTCAAAGGTCACGGTGACGACGTTTCCATACTCGGTGGGGTCTACCGAGATGGGGTACCGGTCTGTCTGGATGTCTTCTAGCCGTCGTAATACAGTTTTGGGCTAAAGATTGTTTAGCTGGTGTGCCTCGGGTTTGGGAGAAGTGGGGGGGATTTTACCTTACTCTGGACGGGCCCCTTCTTCGATGCGACCTCGTCGAATTTCGGGTGCAGGCCATGAGGGGCCTGGTCGAGCTGCCATCGGACGATGACGGTGGAGGGGCGGGATTGCTGCGGGAGACCTGAGGCGGCATGCGGGGGGATGGAGTAGATGGCGACGATCCACGGGTTGGCGGTGGAGCCTGCGGCGTTGTCCTGCGCGGCGAGGATGATGTCCAAGCGGGTGAGGCAATAGAGGGCGCTGGGGATGGGGCAGAGATGGTCGGAACGGTCGTGGTCCCCGTGGAGGGGCCCCGGCACGCCGCCCGGGGCCTCGACCTTGACGTGACTGAAGCGAAAGGTCGGGGCGGGGAACTGGACGGGGGCTTGCTTCAACTGCGTCGGGTCGTATTGGGGTGGGGTCCAGTTGATGTGAACGCGGTAGAAACCGATCTTCTGGCAGACGGAGTGGGTGACCAGGAGCACGCCGCCCTGGGTGGATGATAGGGCGGCGTGGGTCAGTAATCGATCCGAGTAACTGGTGTTCTTCAGCTCGGCGGAGATCTCGCCCCAACGGTTATCGGGGCTCTGATAGATGAGTCTGATGATGCCAGATTTGGTCACGCAGACCAAGGCGGACTTGTGAACGGGGCTAAAGGGGCCGATGGGGCGCCGACGGAAGGGCGAGTATGCCCAGCGGCCTTGGACTTTGGCAGCTTGATTGAATGCATGGACCTGTCTTGTTAGGTCATCTCAAGCGACTTGGGGATCTGGGAAGAGGACATACTGAGCGTTGGGAGTTCAACCACATCATCCCCACGACCTGGGCGCTGTCATCATCTGGATCGACAGCAGGACGATAGGCGTTGACAGCATTCAGGGCGATCCCGATGGTGAAGATGGACACACGACCGGACGACTCGACGACGACCAGGTCGGAGCCGAGTTCATTCCAGGACAGATGAACGACGACGTGACCGGGAGAGGTCTCCATTGGCAGAGTGGATGGATTGTCATCGCTGAGATCCCACTTGCCGTCGGCCGGTTGGCAATGCAGGTAGCGCAGGTTGACCTTGGTGGCGTCGGCGGAGACATATGCGACGCAGCCTTGCCGGGACCAGGCGAGTTTCCTAGAGACGGTCAGGTTGCGATCGAGGGATACTTGAGAGGAGACGTACTGGCAGCAACCGGACAGTCGCATTTCATCCAAGCGATGGGAGAGAGCTTTGTTGGGGGGGGGTGACGGGGGAGGCATGTCGAACGAGCCGGTCTGACCGAAGAGGTCCTCCATGTTGATACCGTCGTCCTCCATCATGAGGGGCATCTCGGGTTTACCCAGACAACGGATGGTATTTGGTAATTCTCCTTAATGACAGTGGATTTCGGTGGTTATATCTATGAGGTTACAGAGCAACGGTGGGGATATCGGAGTGAACCATGCGGGAAGGATGGATATGGATCGACGAGACAGTCAAATGGAGCCACCAACATTCCCACACTAGACTTATTAACAGTGTCACACAGATCAAGAAGTCAACAAGTCAGACAGAGGAAGTAATATATATATATATATATATATAAATATGCATAGATCATGGATCGAGCTTATAATAAGATCCTATCGAGAGTTGCGGCTCTCGGTGGAGTCGTATAGCTGAGTCAGCATATGGAGTGCATCACGTGCCGGTATCCGGGCCAACGGACGCGTCGAGATTGTTAGACGTAGTATTGAGTGATCTCGGAAAAAGAAGAGAAAACAGAATTAATCCAACGAGAATGAATCAAATGTCAAAAAATACATAAAATACACCATCAAGTATACAATATAATATAGAAACCGTAGAGACAATCAGACCGATGATGAATGATCAGGCACGGCCAGACAGAGACCAATCGGAGGGATGCAGAACATCAGATTGCCCTGCCAGCTGTTCTATACCTGTGATATCGCTGTCAGACTGGAAGAACAAGACTAACAATGAGAATATCATCCTCTAAAACGACCTAGATTCTACCTATCAACCCTCCATTCCGGACCACATACCATTGAATCCTAATCCCTCATGAAGGATTAAGTTGAATCTTCCCGTGGGTCAAAATAAACACCACGACGGCTGCAAGCGAGATTTCCAGACTTTCTCCATGCTGCAACCTTCTTTGATGTGGATGAATTCTATGATCCTTCTTCTCTCTCCTTAACTCCCTCCCTCTCTCTACCTCTCCATAGTCTCGACGCTCATTGAGGAAGGAGGATTATCCGGACGCTCAGAGTCCTTCATTCAACCTTTCTTCCCCCAATCTTCCTCCTTCCTCTTCTTCTTTACTCCTCTCGACTCTCTCCTCTCTCCTCTCTTCTCTCCTCTCCTCTTTCTCCAAAGTCAAACAAACCACTCTGAACTCCTCCTGCAAACCCGACCTCCCGTCAAAATCCGATCCTTCCACCTCAATTGATCCCGTCCTTCTCTCGCGATCCCCATGATCTTTCACGTCTTGCCTCTTCCCTGTCCATCCCACAGCTAGTGGTTCGTGATTATCCACGTCGTTACCACCCGTCTCATCAACGACCTCCTTTTTTCTCACCACCTTTTTTTTTTTTTTTTTTCCCTTTTCGCCCGTTTCCCCCTTCAACCCGCGACTCCGCCGCTTTCCACCTCTTCTTTTCTACCATATTTCCCCAAAAATTCTCCCTGAAACGAACTCGTCATGGAAGATGATCTGTCGGATATCTCAGAGCTGAGCTCACCACCCGCCTCCCCTTCTCCTCCCCCGGGCTTCTATCCGTCGCCGCCCCCATCCCAGGACACAGACGCCTCCAGCACCGGGCGTGGCCGCCAAGACGAACAACCGCCCGCCAGGAAGAGGCGTCGGGTGGCCCTCCCCAAAGAACGCTGCACACAACATCTCGATCTCTCCGCCGACTCCGGTCTCTCTGCCTCCGAACAGCAAGATCAGATCGATCTTCTCACCAAGGCTCTCCGGACGCACCGAAAGATCGTCGTCATCGCAGGGGCGGGCATCTCCACCGCGGCTGGCAGTACGCTCCCCTTCCCCCCCTTCTCCACCTCCCTTTCCCTCTCCCCTCTCCAGCCCTAGGATCGCATTAACGTTGTTCCGTATAGTCCCCGACTTCCGCTCCACGGATGGTCTCTTCAAATCCCTCCAGAAGAAGCACAACCTCAAAGCTTCTGGCAAGCTGCTCTTCGATGCCGCCGTCTACCAGGATGAAAACCTTACCGCCTCCTTCCAAGATATGGTGCGGTCGCTGTCCGTAGAGGCCACCAAGACCGAACCCACCGCCTTCCATCACATGCTCGCCCGCTTGGCCCAGGAGAACCGCCTCACTCGTCTCTACACCCAGAATATCGACGCCATCGAGTCCTCCATGGAGCCCTTGGCCTCGCAGATCCCGCTCAACGTCAAGGCCCCTTGGCCCCGCACCATCCAGTTGCACGGCAGCCTCGAGAAGATGGTCTGCCAAAAGTGTCGCCATCTCAAGGACTTTGACCCCGTCATGTTCGACCGCCCGGATGCCCCGGAGTGTCCCGAATGCACCCTCAACAACCAGCTGCGCGTCGAGACCGGCCAGCGCAGCCACGGCATCGGCAAAATGCGCCCGCGCATCGTCCTTTACAACGAACACAACCCCGACGAGGAAGCCATCACCTCCGTCATGAACGCCGACGTCCGGTCGCGCCCGGACGCCCTCATCGTCGTCGGCACCAGCTTGAAGATTCCCGGCGTGCGCCGTCTCGTCAAGAGCCTCTGCCATGTCATCCGGAGCCGCCGGAACGGCATGACCATGTGGATCAACAACGAACCCCCCGTCGGCAAGGAGTTCGAGAGCTGCTGGGACCTGATGATCAAGGGCGACTGCGACAAGGTCGCCGAGCTTGCCGCCCTGAAACGCTGGGATGATTCGTCGGAGACCATGTTCCAGGAGTGCAACTCCGAGGAGATGGAGCGGGCCAAGCGCGAGAACGAGCTGTCTGTCGTGATCGGGACGCCGCGGAAGGCGCAGAAGACGTCGACGGGGTTCTTGACCCCGTCGTCCAGCCACGACGAGGACGGCCAACTCCAGTCGATGGTCGCAGACGGGACCCGGGCGAACCCGGCCAGTCGGGGCCGCAGCATCGAGCAAGTCCTGCAGAAGGCAGCTCCGAAGAACGCGGCCCCCAAGGCCGCTCCGAAGGCCGCTCCGAAAGCAGCTTCGAAAGCAGCCCCAAAGAAGGCGGCTCCCAAGAAGGCCGCCCCGCGGAAACGCACCAAGAAGGAGGAGCCGGCCAAGAATGCGCGCATCACGACATTCAGCAAGGTCACCAAGGGGGCTCCAGTCGCGGCAGACAAGTCCGTCAAGCTGGAGAAGGACGATACGACAGCCATGCACCCGCTGCCGCCCGGCGCGGCGCGCAACAACGGGCCCATGTATCCGCACTTAGCATCCAAAGGAGAGACCACACCGACACCAGATCGGTGGCGCCAGCCGGAGACGATCTCCCCAAAGTCGGTCCCAAACGGGATGGGCGATCTGTTGAGCAAGCCGGTTGCGTAGCATCCTTTCCTTGTCTTCTGATGATTGTTTCCGTCTTTCTATGTCTCTGTTATTTGTGTTTGTCTTTGTTGAGATACCATGATAGACCGGCGTGTCTGGCGTTTGGGTAGTACGTCCGAGTCGCGTTCGGGTTGGGGGGGTTGTATTTTCTTCATGGGTGCATGTATGGTATGCATTGGGCGTTTGCTGGTGGTTATCTTTGTTTATTGTAATCGATTGGATAGTCGAACAATCTTACGGTTGCGACGGAGTCGCTATACATGGACATGAACTATATGGCATAATCATGAATTAAATGATATGAATGATCGTAACAGGTGTAGTATAACAGTATCCTACCAATTCCTTACCCCAACCCCAAATCCCCCCTCAACTGCCCCCCAGGCCCAGAATCATCATTATCACTCTCCGTTTCATCCCCGGCATCGGGATCCATCGCGCGGTGACCGGGTTCTTGATCCAGATCCTCCACTCGGTCGATATCCCCTTCTCCTTCTTCCCCTTCCTCCTCCTCTTCCTCATCATCATCATCATCATCATCATCATCTTCTTCTTCGTCATCTTCAACATCATCTTCCACCTCCGTTTCATTCTCATCGCGCATCATACCGGGGTCATCCTGCGTTTCGTCCCCGTCGTCGTCGCCACCGCTTTCTTTTCTGCTCTCTCGCGCACCAGCAGCACCAGCGGCAGCAGCAGCACCAGCAGTAGCAGTACTAGTACCAACCTTAACCCTCTTCGACCCTCGCACCCCACCCATCTCCTCATCTTCATCTTCCCCTTCTTCCCCATTCTTATCCTTACCCCCCTTCTCACCGGCATTCTCCCCAGCTTGCTGCTGCTGCTGCTGTGATTGTGATTGGTGACCCTGACCCCGCCGCTTCCCAGCCTTCATCTCAGTAAACATCTCCAACTCTTTCTCGAGACGGGGTCGGAAGGAGTCGAATTCGAGCTCTGTTAGTGCGGCGAAGACGTCCGCGGGGGTGACGGTTCGTTTTAGGGTTGCTTCGTTTGCGCTATTTATTCTTAGTTTCGCTCTCTCTCTTTTTTTCAAGGGGGAGATGGCATTTGCATTTGATTGGTGGGTGTGTTGTTTTCGTAAGGGGAGTGGAGGTGGAGAGGGTGTAGTGTAGTGTAGTGTGCATACACACACTGGCATGTTTCATGGGGATAATAAAAAAAATGAGAGGAAGGCGAGGGGGGTAGGGGGTAGGAGGGAGCGTACTGCGATGAAAGATACGACACAAAAACAGTCGCAGCCTTCTGTATAGCAAGCACGGCGTCTTTCTGCACGGTTGTATTCGGGGGGAGGACGGCTTTCGCGAGTCGCAGGGTGAGGGATCGGGGGAGGAGGTAGTCCTGTCATTCATGATTTTTCCATCATTAGCTTAGTTTCTTCTTGGTGTTGATTTTCTTTTTCATTCTTCCGGGGTGTTTCGCTTGGGTCGTGTAGTTCTTGAGGAGAAGGAGAAAAGGCTAGCATACTTCGATGCTCACTCCCCCTTCGGCTCTCGCTTTGAGTTGTTGCTCTGTTGCTTGGATATTCGTGTTTGTCTGGGATTGTCCATGCTGGGTGTGTGTCTGCGGCGACGAGGAAGAAGAAGGGAGGGGAGCTGCGTCGGGCGTGCTGGATGCTGCTTTTGTTGTGGAGGGTGGTTTTCGAGGCATCGTTTTCGCTTTCTTCGGCTGTTGGGTTGTTTGAGTGGTGGTGTCTGGTGATGGATTTTCTCGCTAGGTAGGTAGGTAGGTAGGTAGATAGCGGGATATCTGCCTGTTGGCTGGGTGTTGGCAGCAGCGTCAAGTAATAGGATAAAATATGAGGTCGAGAAGGAATGGAACAAAGATAGGTAGAGACACCGCTCTGTCCGTCAATCAATCAATCAATGAAAGCGGCTCCACAATTTGTCATCCGCCAGTAATTTCACTCGATTCAATTTCTCAAAGAGAAAGAGTTAAATATTCGAGTGTGTTGAAGTTTTCCTTGTTAACATTAATGGGGAAAAGTCGAAGAATGAATGAGGATTTTGGCGCGACGCGATTGAGCCGAGAGCGCGTGGTGAGTGGGGGCTTCATTTGGTTGGATTGCTTTTTGACTTGAGTGTGTATATATATACTTTGTACTGTCTATAGAGTAGATACTGTAGGTTTATATTTAATTATATTTGTAAATATGGAGAGACTGGGAATTAATGTACGGGTTGTCGAGATTGGGTTTGATCTACTCTGTACTCCGCAGATATATATCGTATCAGGTTTGACTGTATATAGATGTATTCTACTATTATACCCAAATGCTACCAAACATCAAAAAATAAATATGAATATTGAACTTTTCCAGCGCCTGGTATCCGAATCTATCCTTCTATTCCGCCATCTCATCCTCACCATTCCCCCACAACCCCTCGATCTTGAACTCCTGCGCCCACTCCGTCACAATCTGTTTCGTGTCCACGCCCGGCCCAGCGGTCGCCGACGCCTCCGCCGTCACAACCGGCAGCACCGGCGCCGGCACCCAGCCCTGGATGCGTCCGTCTCTCCAGTCATTGATGACCGTCATCGCGGCGGCCTCGATGTTCGGCACGCCGCCCTTGCCCAGGCGGCCGCGCTTGCGCGCCACGTGCACCAGGAAGTCCGTCGTCTGGTTGCCGACCGTGAACAGCGCCGGCACGCCGTACAGCTGTAGCATCTTGTCCAGCAGGTCCCCGGACTTGGACAGCCGGCGCACCAGCAGGTCCACGGCCGGGACCGGGTCCTCGATCTGCTTCGGCGGGATGGCGTTCAGCAGCACCAGCCGCGCGTGCTCGTCCACCTTCTTCTTGTTCTTCTTGCCCGCGGCGGTCTTGTCGCCTGCGCTCGGGAACACAATCCCCGGCGAGTCGATCAGCTTCAGCTTGCTGTCGAGCTTGACGTCGCGCATGCTGGTGGTCACGCCGGCTTCGGCGCCCGTCGGGCACGCGTTGCTCGAGCCCTTGTTCAGACGGGCGGTCAGCGCGTTGATCACGGAGGACTTGCCCACGTTGGGGTAGCCGATGACGCCGACGGAGACGGCGCGCTTGAGCTGCTTGTGCTGGGCGTAGGACTTGAGCGCGCGGAACAGCGTCTCCGACGTGCCCTTGACGGTCAGCTGCTTGTGGTCGAAGCTGTGCGCGTTGGCCGTGCCGTTGGACGCCTTGAGCGGCAGCGTCGGGAAGTACCGGCGCAGGTGCACCAGCCAGGCCTTCAGCACGGGCGGCGGCACCAGGTCGATCTTGTTGAGGATGAGGATCAGTCGTTTGTTGCCGCCCGCGGCGGCCACCACCTCGCGCTCGACCTCCTTGGACCGCGTGCCCTCGGGGTCACGCGCGTCCAGCACGTAGAGCACGACGTCGGCGGCCTCGACCACCTGCTTGAAGACCTTGTCGAAGGCCCGTCGCGAGGTCTCTTTGCTCTGGGATTGGTGCACGAGTTGGGGAGCCTCGGACTCGCCCTCTCCTTCATCCTCGTCCATCTCGTCCATGTCCTCGTCGTCGTCTTCCATATCGTCATCTTCATCGCCGTACTCCACCGCGCGGGCGCGCGCCGACGCAAGCAGCGCCGCCATGGGATTCGACGAGTCGCCGTCCTCGTCCATGCTGTCGTCGTCCATCGAGTCCACGTCGACGTCGGCGATCATCTCGTTGGGGTTGGCGTCCTGCTGCTTCGAGCGCTGTTTCTCTTCCTTGCGACGGGTGCGGGCGTCTTCCCGTATACGATCCTGCTCTTCTTGCTTCAGGCGCTTCTTCTCTTCGATCTCTTGCAGGAGCTTGTCTTTGAAGGGGAACAGGTTCGGGATGCCGGGGTCTTTCTTGACCCGGGAGCGCCACTCGGGGTTCTATCTAGTGTTAAAAGGAGATCCAAGCCACGGAGGTGAATAACAGTATGCATACCTTCTTCTCATTCTTTCTCTGCTTCCGCTGCTTCTCCGCCGAGGCCTTCTCGATCTTGTGTCGCAGACGGACGGGCGTCCGCTTGGACTTTTTGCCTAGACGAGGTCAGTAGATTTTCTCCTTTTTTTTTTTCCGTCTTCTGTATTTATCCGCTCAGTGTAAGACATACCGATATTAACCATGATAAATCAATCTCCGAGATCAAGTCAAACGGAGAAAATCGCAGGGTATGAAGTGGTCGCAGATCGAACTGATAAAAAAACATTTTGTGCAAAGTCGGCGGCGCCAAGACCCGCGCTAAGATATGATAACGGGATTACTGTTCGCCCGATCCGACCATCGTTCTCCGCCCATTGTCTCGGAGTAGACCATTCAGTTGGTACTGTTGACTATTGACTTACTGTGTCTATTGCATTTTTGATTGAATAGAGCGTTAGATCTATACTTTTGTTTTTTCTTGTCTTCTTTGTTTACGCTGAAATCAACCCTCATACTCTGTCATCATGTCCAAAGGCTCCTTCTCTGCCCCGCCGCAGGTCCTGTCCCTCCATGGCCTCCTCTCCGACTTTGACGGCACGATTATCGACTCGACAGATGGTGCGTTCTTTCTTGACATCCTATAAGAACTTGTATAGAATATACTGACAATACTTCTTCAGCAATCGTCAAACACTGGCACAAGTGCGACCCCCACCCCTCTTCTTCCCCGCCATCCGACTAACACCCGCAGAATCGGCAAGGAGCTAGGCGTCGACCCCCAGACAATCCTGGCTACGTCGCACGGCCGCCGCAGCATCGACACGATGCAGTTGTACGACAAGTCCAAGGCGAATTGGGAGTGTACGTTACCCAGCACGACATGGCCCCGTAACGGGGAAAAGCACTTCAACGGCTAACCATATCTTTCTATGGAGGAACAGGGGTCAGCGCAGTCGAAGGCCGCATCCCGAAAGAATACGGCTCCGACGCCGTGGAAATCCCCGGCGCACGAGCCCTACTGAGCAGTCTCGACGAGGCCGGCGCGCGCTGGGGCGTCGTGACGTCGGGCACACGCGCGCTCATCGACGGCTGGCTGGATGTGCTGGGCCTGACGCATCCGCGGATGCTGATCGTGGCGGAGGATGTGGAGCAGGGGAAGCCCAATCCTGGGTGCTACCTGCTTGGGCGGGAGCGGCTGGGTCTGTCGTCGAGTGAGAATGAGGTGGTTGTGTTGGAGGACGCGCCGTCGGGCATCCGCGCGGGCAAGGCAGCTGGGTTTAAGGTGTTGGCGCTGACGTCGACGCATTCGCTGGAGCAGTGTTTGGAGGCGGGGGCGGATTGGGTGGTCGAGGATTTGAGGAGTGTTTCTGTGAGGGGGGTGGAGGGGGGGAGGTTGTTGTTGGAGGTGCGGAATGCGTATCAGTAGATGTCTTTCTTATGGTGAGGTCTGGCTGGCCAGGCTTACTATTGCGAGATAAGATAGATTAGACTCTATGGCTGTATGGTTGTAGCCATGGTCACTTCAACAGCTGAACATACACTACATTCTACCACTTCTCCCTCTCATAACTAAGGCACAACGAAGGTATACACCACAAAGCAAGAACCAAACCAAACCAACGCATCGACGACTACCCAAACCAGACCATGACCAGCGAGCCGCTCCGACAACAACCGCCAACTCCATAATCCACCCAGAGCAAAATCAAGATATGACACATCCACCAGCAGATCTACATTGTACACCGCAGGACCCGAGCGGCCTTGCATGGCGCTAATGCTTCGTCGTGGGGCGCGCAAGGCGTATACTTGGTTTCTAGTACGGAGTAGTACGGAGTAGTTTCTACGGGGTGCGAATAGAGAGGAAGGGGGTTGGAGGTTGTTGTATGGAGGACGGAGTACTGGATGTGGTAGATTATGATATCGCCTAGTTGGTTCAGTCAAGTTTGTCTGAGTATACTACCTAGGATCCAATGTAGTAGATATACTAGTGCAGTAGCAAGGCATTGACTCTTTGGAATGGAAAAAATCTTCCGTCTGGGTCACGTATCCGAAGGAGTGGGGAGAGAGGTGAGCGTTTTCCTCCAGGCAGTCCAGCCTTCCCTCTGTCAATCTATCCACAGTGACGATGGCCCAGACACGGACATTATTATCCTGTCTGTATCTGGAATCATGAACAGGGTCTCAGACCCGTCACGTTGTGCAGGGGGTTAGCGGTGTGTATGCATCTATAGCCTGTGTCTGCTTGTTTGTTCATTCGATCCGGTTCGATGGTTAGTTCGTATCTGTCTGTACTCTCTGTAGAGACTTTATCTGACTCCCTGTACTCTGTAAAAGTATAGACCCCCAGCCTAGACTAGTTCAGGAACATATTTTACATTATATGTACAGCGTATATCGTCTTACCGCACCGCAAGAAAGTGTTGAGCGAGACATAGTTAGATGGAGAACGGAGATGTGACATCTCTCCTCCCTCCCAAGACACAGACAGACATATCACAAAGCCGACAGTTAAACTTCTAAAAAGAGACCCTGTCGCTCGTTACTACCTTCCTTCCTGTGGTGATGTCCTTCACCGACAGATTGGAACCTTCTTTTAGCGGTGGGTACGATCGACTGTTTTACTTGCGAGGTAAATAAGCAAAAAAGTCTGGCGCTGGTTTGCCCTAATGAGTGTCTTTTGTGTTATCTCATCTGTCTGTTTGTCTGTCTCCGACTGCGCTGAGATGGAGTTGGACGGAGAGAACGGCAGGTTTATTGCAGAATGGCTGGGGTATTTCTGCGATGCATGTAGAATGGTGTACGGTGGTATTCTTCTGTTTGGCATGAATATATCGTGTTCAGTCAAAATCAATGAAGAAAAGAATCAAGATAGCATAAGACCGGATTGAAGAGAACATCACCGATTGACTCCAGCATAGAAGGCATCCAACTCGAACATCCCAGCTAAACCAACCAAACATCATATGGAAAAGCATCCTCACCGTTACGCCACACGAGCAGAGCTCTCCTCCGCATCTCGGTGGAGCTTCCTACTCCATAAAAAGTCACCGGGAATACCAGATTAGGGACAGCGAAAAGAAGTCCACATTAACCAAAGACCATAGAGTAAACCCACCGGTAAACCCGTAGAAGGGCGATCACTTCTGGAAGAATGACATGTCGAGAACCGTCCGTTTTGGCTGCATCTAGCATGAGGATATCGTACGTATATTTCTGGTCTGGTCTGGTCAATGCTAGTTAGCTTTGGAGTGGCTGTTGGGTCTGGAGCTACTTACTTCTCCCTTGGTACCTTGGGTACATACATAAGAGATGTGACGGCCTGACAGTTTCCGTCTACCTAACCCTAACGTATGCAAGGGATGGAAAGCCTTCCGATGGAAGTTTCTCTTTCTTTCTTCTTGACTTTTTGATTTTTTCTCATTGATTGATTTGTTTACTTATTCTTTTTTGTTTTTAGTCTGTGATAGTAATGCGTGTATCCCACGGATTCTTCTGAACTCTCCATAAGAAGAGAAGAAGTCGAACTAATAAGAAAGACAACCCGTCCCACCCAATCAAGACCAAAGAGAGAAAATCACAGAGCAGCCGGAAACAATTCAGAGTACCGGAGTAAAAAGGGAGGAAGTAAGCAGTAGAATGAGCTGGACAGCTGCAAGTACAGCCAGCCATCATCATCATCATCATCATCATCATCATTCATATCCCATCACACACGGACCCATTGGTCCACTGTCAGTACATACATACATACATACGGCAGCTGATTTGGTCTGAGCGTTGTTTATCATTATGAAATTATATTCTCATAATTATAATATTAAATAAACAAAAACTCAATTATTATTTTCCTTGAAAATTAAAGACGAATTAAATGAATAAAAAAGAAAAAAGAACCCCGTCCCAATCGGAACTATTGCATTTAGTACTATTGCCCGCATGACAAATACCGGGGCCTCCATCCACCATCCACCATCCACATCCACCACCATTCACATCCACTACCATCCACATCCACTACCATCCACCGCGCATCTTCTGGACCGGCTTTTCTGTCTAGTGTCTATGCTCAGCCTAGCCAGGGCTTTAGATTAGAGCCCGAGGAACCCGTCTCAGGGATCAGATCAAGATAGGAGTTGAGAGAGTAGAGTTAGTCCTAGCTTGGTTAGGGTAGCTAGCTAAATCGACCTATATACATACTTAGTTCTCCGTACGTAAGTAAGGTTGGATGGATGGCTGGATGGATGATCAATCAAGCTGAACGGCTGAAAGGCTCAGGTACGTATGCACCGCCACATACGATGATCTTGTGGCGTGGCTGGGTGTCTATCTTGCCTTCCTCGGAGTAAGGAGGGCCAGAGAACTGAAGTACGAGTAGGATGGAGTACGAGGATGCAGGTTAGGGCTGGCTGTATTGTACATCATTACTGCTCTGCCTTGATCAGCATAAGATAACCTCGGATGAGGACCCATCCCATCCCATCCCATCCCTTGACAAAGATAATAAACATTGACATCACCAATGGGTAAAATATGATTGCCTGATGATCCCCGCTTGACGTATAGGATTTTGATCCTCACGACAGATGATGTGATTGATGTGACGAGGTGACGGGGGAGGACCGAACCAAGGGGTGTTTGGTGGTGGGGTTTAGTGGCAGATCATTTTCTACAGTTTATGTACAGCGTTCGGAGATGGTCATTTGTTCTCCGTATGTTCCCTGCATTTTACTTTCGTCTTGGGTATCACACTGGAGGAGGAGGATCGTCCTGCCGAATTAACCTTATACCCGGATAGGATAGGATAGCGTATCGTACACCTCCATGTCATCAGTCCAGCTCGTTGATCGACCTTGTAATACTGGACCTGCGATAGTGTTACTCCTCCTGGTTAGTGTTGACTCGAGTTTGAGAGTCAGGGAAACGAGAGAGGGGAAGAAGGGGAGAGGGGAGGGGAGGGGAAAAGAGGAGCATTGACTCCGTCCATCAGGGTCAATCATTCGGCGAATTTCCCAACTCCGTTCCAGTCCAATAGTTGAGGATCACGCAGGGTTAGTTAACTATGGATAAGATAGGAGAAACCCCTCTTGACAGTGATAGCGACGAGACAACGGTGAAATCATCAGACCCATCCCGAGATGATCCGTATCCGTGCGGGTCGGTCCAGGGGTTCCTTAGTACCATACTAAACTCCCTAGCACTCACGACATGGACAGATCATCGATGAAGTAATTACAGTGGAAAAGAGGGGAAGTTGATCCTGATCCTGATCATCATATTCAGGAACAGTGCCTGCCTCAAGCTTGCTGGGTCTGACTGACCCTGCTGTAGGTTCGTTCTCCAGTGGAACCGGACTGGTGGCAATCCTTACCGGATGGGTTAGGCATATCCATCGGGTGATCTCCCCGGGGGTGTTGATTGGTGTGATTAGACTGGAGTCCACTGTTCTCATTACCTTGGGTGTGGTCTTCTCAAGACAATACTCCCACCCAGGACGTACGTACTTCCTGTGCCCTTGATGTTAGTATACAGGTCAACACGTGAGCCACAGTTCGTAGCAAGTCTGCATCAACAAAATCCTGTAAACGCCGGGAGATCCCTGCAACCATCACGAGTCAGTCAAGGACTGGCCCGGTCGGGGCTCAGTAGGGCCTCGTATCTCCCCTGAACCAAGCCCTCAACTCCTGTAAGCTCCGTTCAGTTCAGTTTATCTCATTTTCCGTAGCTCCGCCGCCCGTCACCGTCACCGTCTCCGTAGTCCGTCCCGTACTCCGCACCGTAGGTAGTCCAGATTATGATCTTAGGTAGTCTTACCCCTCACTGAGCCCAGCGGTCCCACCAGTCAAATGTCAATCCCATCAGTCAACCTCATTTTGCTGAACCTGGAGGAGCGACGCTAGCGCTGGCTCTGGGATAATTGACTCCGTATGTCTCCGTACTTTGTATTCCGAGTTGATCATCAACTACGTGCTTCTATCGGGTTTGAGGGTGAGGTTGAGGTCGGACCCCCAGTGGGTAGGGGAGAGAGGGACAGAATTGAGCGAAATTCGGCCGCGGATCCGCCATGTTGGATGATTTTCCGGGTGATTTCCCATACTTCCAGTAGGGCAAACGGCTTGTCAATCTTGCTGTAGTGCAGTGCTCTGGGGCGAGGATGAGTATTACGCAGGTTGACCTCGTCCTACAGTGCCCTGCCTGCATTGAATGCCGGTCAACGTGTTAGTAATACAGTAAACCCGCATAGGGAAATGTAATCGACAACAATCATATTCAACACGAATCCCTCCGTTGGTACTCCGTATTAATCTCCAGTTCATTATGATACTACCGTAGACAATGCACTTCTGATCGCCGAGAGGTTCCCGTTTCCACTCCCCCTAACATGGCTTGGCGGGTTTCCCAGCTGCATGGGCAGGTAAGTTGTTGCGTAACCTCGTGATTTGGGGGTGGGCGCTTTACGGCCTGCATTAGCATGGGCTAGCATTAGCTGGCAGGAATAGGATTTCTTGCTTAGCGCCGTGACAGATTGACCGAGTGAACCGGGAAGCTGGGAAGATTGACGAGGACTGAGCGTTAACTTGACTTGACCCTTGGTAGATACGATTAGGTAGTCAGGTAGTGAGATGATTTTTCTGCTATCCTATTGAGTCCCTCCTGGTCTGTAGGATTGATTGTAGGCAGACAAGACGGTCAGATTGGCTAGATCCTTGAGGTGGATCGACGGGGGATCTGTCGACTATTGGTTTGGGGTGGGTCCTGGCTGAACGCTGCCACGCTTTTTTGGCATCTCCTGTCTGTCTCCTTTTTGAGATTAATTTATCCCTCTATCACTGGAAAACTTGATCACTGAAAAAAATAAAAATAAAATAAAAATAAAAACTTGCGTGATTGTACGAGTAGTAGGATGGGTAGGATGATGGATTAAGGGTATGAGAATCCAAGGTATGGGACTGACAATAATGGTGATACTAGACGCACACAGACTCGCATCAAAACCCAAACCAGGCCAAACTCAGGGATGAAACCAGGCGATGCAGCTGAATTCCCAGTCCCACGCCATGATCTCCGGGGACCTTGGGAGTTGGAGACGAACCGCCGAACTAAACCCAAAGCAGAATATGCACGACGAATCATGGGTTAGGATATGGATCCGGGACGAAGGATCCCTCGAATAAACACCACCAACTGTCTCCGTACGCAGGACGGAGTAGAGAGAAGTAATCTAAGGGACTGAGAAAGAGAGAGAGGAATACCCCGTCATTGATGGTTCCATCCGCAGTCCCGCTGCTGTGAGACATAGAGGGCGTGATCTCCAACCAACCCAGGGTTGGATGATTCTTCCTAAGAACGGACCCACTATACCTAGACCTCGGATGGTCAACACGACCTCTTCATCTTTGCCTGGTACTCTGCATTTGATCTGTTTATTTTGGAGAATGTTCAGACGGAAAGAGGGATCCTCATCCCAGAGCGACTGAATGGGATTCGAATCTGATCGAGTTTGATCATGTTCATGTTTGGCGGGGAGAACTACTAGGATCTCGAGTCCTCCGCCATGGTTCCGAACCATGGAACCATGGAATATCCCCTGGAAATCCCAACCCTAAAGGGCCTAAACAGGGGAGTCGGGGACTCTGACCACGACGCTAATGCAGGAACTTGACGAGAGTCTGGAGGAGAGGGAAGGATTGGACTGGAACCACACCCAGTTCAGTCCAGTCTCGGGTTGAATCAGATGGTCAAACCGTCTGGATGGATATCGTGTTTCCCAATGATCGGGATCGCCAAATCAGAGTTAGTTCGGATTGCTGCAGGTAAACATGGACACTTTGACTTGGTTAAGAAAGGTAAAAATAGCAGAACAGTTGGAACTGTTGCCACTATTTTTGAAAAATAAGGAATAAAAGAGAATAAATCGAATAATCAAGATAAAATAGAGAAAAAAATAAAAAATAAAAAAGAAAGGAAAGAGAAAGAGAAAAAAAGAGAACATGGCTAATTCTCGTACAGGATGAAGATGCGGCGGGACCCTCTCCGAACCAAACCGCATGGGTTGCACGGTCACCGCCACAGTCCCGTCCAGTCCTGTCCAGAACTCAGTAAACATCCTCGGGGAATAGTTGGGGAAGAAAGGAAGAGACTCGTATTGATCACTAAGAGAATGGGTTTCTCTCTCTCATACTATTATACATTACCTCCAGACTCTCTGATACTGAGTTATTCATAGTTCTTTGTACTCCGTACAACCGCCACCCCCTTGAATACGGTACCTGGTAATGGCTCGGTACGGCTCTTTCCCGAGTTTCCGTCCATGGTTCGTCCATATCTTGGGGATGGAACATGGAGTTCACTGTTGATACTATCGATCATTTACTACCTCTCTCTCTCTTTACCTGCCGTGGAAATTGTAAATGGTGTACCAAATCCAATGACGTAGAGAGATCTGATCGTCCATCCGATCCCAGAAAAAAGAATGACCATCAGGAGATGGAACCATACAGAGAATACCTGAATACCAAATACCACGATACAGACGCTGATCCTGGACCCAACGCAGCCCCGACCAGTCAGGGTGGGTGATGGGACTCAGGCAGCCGCCGGGTCACCCGGGAAAGAGAGCTAAGTGAGAGTTGCCGGAGTGAGTTTTCCCTACATTTCCACCTCACTTTCACCTCACTTTCTTCTCTCTCTCCATCTTTTGTCTCCGGACGTCGGACTGTCAATCCTTTCTATTTTCTTCATTCCCTTGACTGATTTATTATTATTATTATTATTTTTTTTTTTAGGATTTAATTCTTTTTTCAATTTTGAATTTTGAATTCCTGTCCTGACTTTTTCTTTTATCCTTTTTATCATTTCTCTCTCTCTCTCCTTTTCCTCTTTAGTCTTTCTCTCTCTCTCTCTCTCTCTCTCTGGACTCTTTTCTTTCCTCTGTGATCTTATTTTTATTTTATAATTTGAATTTATTATTTATCAATTATCTTTATCTTTTATTTTATTCCCTTTTATCATTCTAATATTATCATTTATTTTATTTTATTTTATTCTGATTTCTGACGTTCTACCCAGTCATCCATTCCTTCATATTCCCTTTCCTTCCTGTCTATATCATTATATTACTTTCTCTCTCTCTCTCTCTCTTTCTTGTCCTTAATTTCCTTCCTTCCATCTCTGACCGCTGTATATACCTGTATATACCCGCCTCCACCCTCATTCGCAGCCTCACCACCACGTCACTCCACCACCGCTTCCTCTCCCTCCTTTACCTCTTCCTCTCTCCCTCTTCCTCACCCTCACTCTCATTCTCTCCCTCGTTCTCCCTACCAGTTAATCTCTCCCGGGTGTTCTCGTCCTGGTGATCTTCCTGTCAACACCACAATCAATGCCCCCCCGCCCGGGCTCCTTATAACCCCGTGGCTCCTCACAGCATCTCATCTCCTCCCCTATCTTCGTCCCCGAAATAAACCCCCCTCCCCCTCCCCTCGCAATCATGAACTACCTACACCACCCATACGCCTACGCCGGTCACCCGGCCATCCCCATGGATCAGCCCGTCTCCTTTGATCCCGCCATGACACACCCCGCCATGATTCACCCCATGGACGGTTACCTCTACCCGCATCCCCCCTTCGACATGGTCGACTACTACCACCAGCCCATCATGGACTACGAAGAATACGCGGAGAACCTCTCCCGACCCCGATTGACCAAGGAGCAAGTCGAGACTCTCGAGGCCCAGTTCCAGGCTCACCCCAAGCCTAGCAGCAATGTTAAGCGCCAATTAGCCGCCCAGACGAACTTGAGTCTCCCCCGAGTGGCCGTGAGTTTTCTTTCTCCTCTTATTGCTTAGATGCATGTAGATTGACCCTCCCCAGAATTGGTTCCAGAATCGTCGGGCCAAGGCAAAGCAGCAGAAACGCCAGGAGGAGTTCGAGCGGATGCAAAAAGCAAAGGCCGAGGCCGAAGAGGCCGTCCGCGGCAAGTCTGAGGACGCCGAGAACCCCGACGCCCCCCGGGACACCACCACCGTCAAAGAGGAGACCCCCAAAGAGACCCCGAAACCCTCCGAACCGTCCGTGGAGCGACCCAAGCCCAAGTCCTCCCGATCCAAGCATCAGAAGACCCGGAGCGAGTCCGCGCGCGAGGCCACCTTCGCCTCGTTGCAACGGGCCCTGAACGCCGCCGTCGCCGCCCGCGAGTGCTACGGGGAGAACGACACCGTGCCCGAGGGCTCGGCGTCGCCGATCCCCGCGTCCGCTACCAAATCCACCCCCGAACTCGGAGGTTCCACCGAACCCACCCCGGCTTTTGCCGACTGGGAGAGCGTCAAGGACTCGACCACCTGGGGCCCCTCCCACAGCCCGGAGTCGCTGGCCTACGGCAACCTGGACGCCGCCTCGTTGGCCTCGGCGGACTCGCTCAGCGTCCCGGAATTCCACGCCCCGCAGCCCGAGGATTGGACCAGCCAGGCGCAGACGTCCGCGTCCGTCCCCGCCTACACGGCCGCCTCGCAGGCGGACACCTACCACGCTGGGCCGTATGCCCTGCCTGAGCAGACCCTGTCTCACAGCAAATCCTCGGATGAGCTCGCCGACTCCCTCGAGGGCATCGAGATCGACTCTCAGATGGCGCAGCGCTCGGAGCCGTCCTCGTGGAAGGAGAACGCCAAGGAGCTGGACCTGGCGGCCCGCCGCAAGCGCCCCAGGCCCGCGGCCATCGGCACCTCCCGGTCGTCGTCGTCCTTGCTGGGAGCCGCCGCGTCCATGTCACCCACCGCGCGGACGCCCAGCTATGGTGCCGTCCGACAGTCCAAGTCGGCACAGAATTTGAACGCTCGCTACGCGGGAGTCCGAAAGGCGTCTGCGGCCCAGCGATCGCCCCTCAACATGTCGACCTTCGCTGAAGCCGGCGCCGCCCTGGCGTCGGCCAAGGCGGAGATGCTCCATCCCATCACCACAGGCGCTCTGGCTCCGCCCACGCCCCTGACCCCAGAGGATTTCCAACACCTGCTCCCCACATCCCCAAGCGACGGCGGCTACTGCCTGTCGGCCCACCCCACGAGTCAGCTGTTCCCCACGACGCAGCCGATGCAGATCAACGTCGCCTCGCCGCCGGCCACGCCCATGATGGACATGATGTCCTCGTACGCGTACCCGGGGGTAGCCCCGCCCATGTCGGCCCCGGCGCATTACACGTCGTTTCCCGACTACGCCAGCTGCGATGCGCCGCGGAGCTGGACCGACGCCACGTCGATGCCCTCTCCGGAGGCGTCCTTCCAGAGCCGGTGTCCGGTGCCACCCCACGGCGACCTGTCGTGTCTGTCCTACGAACAGAGCCTCGACCCAGAGGCGGTCGAGAACATCCCCGTGTCGAGCTCCCCATCCCTCGTCTACTCAGCAGACGTAGACATGTCAGGGGACGTCAAGACCGAGTTCCGCTTCGAGGAGTTCCCAAAACAGCACGAAGCCCACCGGTACGTGGCGCAGCAACTACCCTGCCACAAGCCGAAACAATACTCCTTTAACAACACAACACCGAACACCTTCCTCGAGGGAACCACCTGAGCTTTCTTTTCCTTTTCTTTGCCCTCCTTTCTGTTTTCAAATTGGGTGGACGTGCCAACCACCACGGTATTATACGCGATTATATCCCACTGTGATTATTACTACTACATTCTTGTGGACTAGACTTTTTTCTTTCCTTTTCATTCTTTGTGTATTGAGGAGTATCTGTGTTGATTAAATTGGGCGTCTGCCAGGATCGTTATCTATCTACCTTATTATCTCTTATTGATTGATTATTGATCGGTCGATTGCATGTGAATTTGGAAGCGGGGCTTACAGCCTATACATATCTGCCTTATCTACTGTACCTACATCTCTATCAGTGGTGCCAAGTATCTACTACCCACTCTGTAATATTCACATCTCATACTGCATCTATATCTGTAGAATCATCTCTAGTCTCAGTAGATTGACCTGCTTGTCGATTGGGTAGTTAGTACTCTGTCTTCTACAGAAATTAAGCTACCTTGGTATATACCATCTCCACCGAGAGCCAAGTAAGCAAGCAAGTACCGTACTATTTATCAAGGCATTGGCCAGGACTGGGTATATACCGACCAGCTTTTACACTTGCATTCCCCTTCATTCGTTCATTTACTTTTATCTATCACCTATCTACTATCTATCGACTCCGGTCTCATCTATTTACCTATCTACCTCTCTACCTCTCTACCTCTACCTCTCTACCTCTACCTCTCTACCTACCCGTCTATCTGCCCACTTCTCTCTCGATCAATTAATTAATCAATCATTCAATATGTATCTACACATCTACTTCCTTCCTTCCTTCCTTCCCTAGACAGGAGGACCACAACAGAACAGAACAGAAACTGAGAACAGATCTACGAAAGAACCAACGAACACCGCTAACATGCAGACCATTCTCATCTCGTGTTGCTGTGGATGCTTCGTTGTGGATACGATACTATTCGGATACTATTTGGATGGGTGCGGTTTCTGTACATATTGAGTGGTGGTAGTGGTAGTGGTAGTCATGAACTTCTACTACACGATATTAGTATCAATGTCAGTGTCAACATTGATATCACCGTTAGTGTTAGAGTTAGTTAAGGTAGCAGGGTCAAGATGTCATAGTCATAATAACCATAATGATAATGATAAATTCATTTACTCGATTATCTCGTTGATGTTCTTGTAACCAGTCACCTATATCCACTCACTCACTTACTACCATTTAACTACTGATTCTATCCTTACTATTATCTACTTGCCTTCTTACCTAGGTGGTTAGCTACTTCTCTACCTATCTCAGAACTTGGTTCTCTTGCTCAGGCCAATTAGATAGTATACTACCGATAAAAAACCATACAATCAGAACCAAGCACGATGTCCATATCATAATGTACACTACAGCAAGGGGATATCAAATTAAGGGCCCCAGAACCGGCGTGCAATAAAGACTATACACACAAATGCATCATCAGACCATAACAACGGCAGCAACAACGGAAGTACGTGCAAACAAACAGCAAGCAACGGCGGACGCCTCGCCCAGACGGAAACTTCGCCGCCAGATCGGTCAGACCCGCCGGCCTTCTACCCATGAGACATGAGACAGAGACATGCACAGCTTCGTACTCGTGACCCGTCCACTCGACTCGACCAACTCGACCTTTCGTCCCCAGCCTGAACCCAAACAAAATCAAACGAACAACAGCGGGTATAACAGAGGGTATAGAAGTAAAATGCGCAGATTATCATTAACGGGTTCCTCATGCAAGGATCAAAAACAGAACGATGGTTCAAAAAAGTTTGAACATAGAAAAAAGGCAGGATAAGAACATAGAAAGAGAGGGGATTGAATCATGCAGAGTTAAGGCCGTTCATTTCTGCCGTCCACCTTTCGACACCTCCCGGAACGCCAAATGGGATAAACGCCGGCCGTGGATGTGGGGTTTTCTGAATGAAATATTTTCGGGGAGTCATGGCAATGTATATATAGCGCGGACAAGTCCCGGTCAGTAGCCGGTCCACCCCAGGGGCGTCCCGGATTGCCCGGGCGGGGGATGTCCTGGCTGCATCGGTCCACCTGGGGCGGGTGCCCAACCCGGCATGCCCCCGCCTGCGGTCATTCCCATGGCCATGCCCGGCGGCTGGGGCGTCCCGGCGATGAACGGTTGACCTCCGGGCCCCTGCGTGGATGGGTACATGCCGCGGGCAGCCATGGCGGGATAGGGCGCAGGTGTCCCCCCCGGGAACCCCATGGAGGTCATGGGCTGTTGCTGCTGCGCGGACGGGTGCGGCATCTGGTATTGGGGCATCTGCGGCGCCGCCGGTCGCGGCTGGTTGCGCGGCGACTGTGACGGGTGCGGCTGCTGGGGCATGGTGTGGAGCGGGGACGGTGACTGCTGCGGCTGCCCGTGCAGCTGCGACGGGTACTGGGGCATGCCCACGCCCTGCGGGCCCGCGGACAACGGCGACGGCTGCGGCTGCGGTGGCGGTTGCCCCCACATGGGCTGCGGTTGCGAGGGATATCCGTACGGACCGGGAGGCTGCGGGGTGCCGGCCGACAGGGCAGGATTTGACCGCTGATGCATCAGGTCCGGCCGCGATGGCGGCATGGCCCGAACCGGCGACTGCGTGGCCACGGGCGGTTGATGCGCCGTGGGCGGTGGGAACCCCGGCCCGGGCATCAGGGGGGCCTGATGTTGCGACATCATCGCCTGCGGCTGCGGGTTCACCAGACCGGACTGCGACATGGGCGGCGACGGCATCGGCTGGGAGACGGCAGCATCCAGCCCAGATTGGGGCTGCGCGGCCGACGCCGACATCTCGCGCTGCTTGGCGTAAAAGTCTTCCAGGCCCTTGTGACGGTAGCTGCGCTGCGAGCTCAGGGCTTTGTTGAAATCCGCCGTGTGCGACGCCTGGTTGAGGATCTCCGCCGCGGAGCTCGGCTGGGTCCGATCCTGGTAGGCCGGCCCGGTCATCTCCTGGCGGGCGCGCGGCATGCTGTTGTACTCGCGTAACCGGGGGTCATCCGTCGTGGTGGCCTGGATCATGGGCAGCGGCGCGAGGGACACGGCGGACGGACCGCCCACGGGTAGGCTGTTGGGCATCCCCTCGAGCGCGTTGGAGTAGATGACGTCGCCGTGCGCCAGGGCGGGCAACAGGCTGGCGGCGCTGGCGGCGTCGGCGGCGGCGGCATCGCGGGCCTTGGAGCCCCCGGGCCGTTTTTCGCCGGCCAGGTCGTCCTCGGTGAACCCCTGCTTGCGGGCCTTGCTTTCCCAGTAATCGTCGCGCACGCGGCGGCCGTTGACGATGACGCGGCTGCCGAACTGGCGGAACATGGACTTGGCGGTCACGATGGCGATCTGGCGGGAGCGGTACGAGTACGGCAGGATATCCTGCTGGATGAGGTCGTCCTTCTCCACCTGCGAGGCGATGATCTTGTGCAGCGACCGGTTCTTGTTGAACAGGAGGTAGGAGTCGCGATATCCGAGGACGCGCGCACATTCGGTTGCCAGCATGAACAGCTTGGCCCCCCGGTGGGGCACGCGGAACGTGCGACACTTGTACTCGCGATCGCCTTGGGGGTAACCCATGGCATCGACCTTCCTCTCGCCGCCTTCGTCGAACTCCTTGGGGATGTATTCGTCTTTCTCCTCGTTCAGTTGGTCGGTGGTGTGGTCGCGCACGGTGGGGAGGGCCTTGACCAGGGTAGACTTGGTGGGGGTGACCTTGTCAGGCGGGGAACCCTGAGTTGGGGACACCATGCTGCTCGCCTGGGGGAGCGGTTGGGCTTGCATTCGAGGGGTCTGGATGGAGGCATTCGACGCAGACGGGTCGGCGGTGGCGGTTGACGGCCGGGGCGTCTTTGGGGGACGACCGCGCTTCCGACGGCCATGATCATCTGATAGTTGCATTGTCAGTTACTAACCTGGAAATTCGATGAGAGTGTACGCGTCTGAAAAAGAAAAAAAAAAAAAAGAAAAACAAAAGCAAAGCGACCACGAGGTAAACAACGAGAGATGAAGCCATGATGATGGAGAGGAGTGCAAGACGAAAGCGGCCCGGGTCCCGAACGTCCCACGCGAGGCGAAGCACGGTTCATGCGAGACCCGACGCGCACATACCGTCGTCATGATCTCCGTCCGCACGAACGCGCAGATCGGGAGTGCGACTCCGTTTGACACCCCGAGGGATGGCACTTGGGTTTGGGGTCCCATATGTCGGGGCGGGAAGGACCACGGCGACTAACAAAGGCCATCAGTTGGGAGGTTGTCGCGGACGACATAGGAAATTAGATATGAAGGAGACCTCCACGAGCTGTCACCGCGTTGCAGGATGACTGAGACTGGGGACGAACGGGTCGGGCAGATCAAGAATGACAACAGACGCAAGACATGAGGATGGTGGATGGGGATCATATACTACTATCAAGGAAGGGAATGGTGCAAGGGACAAAGAGACAGAGAGATGAAAATGGACATACCATTATTGTTCAACGCGGCAGGATTGATGGTGCCGGACCCATCGACCAGCTCCCCTCCGATGCCATTCATCGAGGCGGGAACGGACGAGTGGGAGGTGCCATACATAGCGGACGGGAGGACAGACGCGAGATGGCTGAGGGAGCCGTCGCAAGGGCCGCGGGCGCGTCAAGCAACGCGACAGGTGTCAATCCCGTCAGACCGGAAGGGGAGGGCGACTCGCGTGGGCCACAACAGCGCGGCACGAAAGGGGGGGTTGGAGGAGAGGGGGGAGGAGGGGGAGGGGGGGGGTGTGGCGGTTCGGGGAGGGAAGTGCGGTGACGATGCAAGTGATGCAGAGATTGATAGATAGATGGAGTGGATGGATGGGAAGGACGGGGGGGAGGACTAGGCGGACTGTGAGGAGGGAGGAAGCAGATCAGCGGGCGGGTTTGGGAGCAAATCGCCGGTCGGAGATTGAACTAGGATGGGAAAAGTAAAAGGGAAAAAAAAAAAGAGAGAGAGAGAAGCAAATAGTGGACGGATCACGTAGGCGGTGTGAAGGGACGGAACCAGGGTCAAAACAGGGCAGGTCAGAAGACGCGAATGATCAACAAGAGAGGAGGAGATGAAGACCAGAGAAAGACAATGGACAATGGGAGGAAAGCGAGGAAATTCAACAGAACAAATAGAATAGAAAGAACGAGGAAATGAAGGAGAAAAGCAAGAAAGAAAGTGAAAAAGGAAAGAGAGAGAAGGGGAATGTGGCTGGTGGGATCAGGGAAAGCAATAGCACCGCCACATCGAGGCTGGAGAGGGGCGTGACTGGGGGTCGTAGGAGGGCCTACGATTCCCGGTGCCGCAAGAACCAGACCGTGGGGTGACAGAAGTATAAAAAATAATAATAATAATAATAGATGAAGATAGAAAATAATAAAGAAGAAAAAGCAAATAGGTCAGGAACTAGCAAGAAGAAGAAAGACTGACGATGATTCACGGCGTACCGCTGATGGAACCGATCAGTGGGGACGGGAGGAGAACGGGGTGTCACCAACCGTGTCTGTGTGTTGGTGTCTTGATGTAGTGCAAGGGATTTATTGGTTAGAAGTGAAGGCCGGAGGGGTCAAGGTCAGATAAGTCAAATTAAATCAGGAATAGTTGGAATAATCAGAAAATAATAAATCAAATAAGATAATAGTCAAGAAATGGGGACGAAGTGGTGGGGGTGGGGACCAAGGTTGGAGTCAACTGGGGAAGGATGAAGGGGGGGAAGAGGAGGGAAGCAGAATGACCGGGAATAAATGAGAAGGAAGGAAATAATACAATACAAACAGGAGGAAAGAGGGGGATGAAGATGGATGAAGAAGGGATAAGATGATGCCAGATGATGGAGGAAAGAAGGGGAGTGGATGATGGATGATGGATGGATGAAGAGGAGAAGGAGGGAAGGAAGAAGGAGGAGATGAGGAGAGACGGATGGCGGCGCCACCAGTGTGATTGGATCTCGGATAGTGGGGGGTCTTAGTATATCGACGAAGGATTCAAGAAGACTGAATAATATAGAGGAATTCCGAGTTTTATCATGTAGAAGTATTGATTATATTTTCTAGGAAATATAATAAAATATAATACTGTCAACAAATAACATTACAACCATTACAACCACAAATCTAATCCAATAGACCTACCTAATACCTAACCCTCAACACTAGTCGACTCGACGAGAGCAGTCAACCGACTTGATTTGCCCTGGACGGGTCGGATAACGCGGACATCAATCCTGTCTATCCCTCTAGAACCTGGTCTGAACAAATCAAACGAGAGGGAAGAGGGGTCGCTTGGCTTGAGACGCCAAGATGCAGTAGTCCGTTTGGCACGGGAGTCACTGGAAGATGGTGAACCTATGAGAATATACTGTAGAAGATCGACATGACTAGATGAACACGGACGGAGAACAGTAGTATCATACTACAATGTAATGTAGACCATAGAACATGACTGTAATTCCACATTGAGAATGTACCATACACAAAGACACTACTCTGTGCATGCAGTGTTGTATGTGGACCATGGAACTCGGGATATCAGCTGAAATCATAAGATAGAATATGGATTGGCTCAGCTGGGTCATCGACATGCAGGAAACAAATGAATAACCAGATCAAATCAAATCAAAGAATCCAATAAACATGATTCAAAAAATGAATAAGAAAAAGCAAATCTCAGGCTGAGATCCGCAGCACCACAGCGGGGCATTCCTTGGGTTGGACTGCGGACAGAGCCGCTCCGTCCATCCTCCAGTTTCTGGAATGAACGGAATATGAAGCACTCCGCCACCCAACATCAGGCTGTAAACAGTTTGAAGGCACGGCTGTGCTTTTGGAAGGGCTACGGAGAGATCAGCTTAGGTACAGTCAAGATTATACAAGCAGCTAGCCGCCGTTGTGGCCGTGGCTTAGTTCTACCTCCTCAACTAGCAGGGGGATGGAGGGGCGAAGCTATGGCGAATATTAAAGACATAACAGAATGATCAACTCTTGAGAAGCTCAAATGGATACTACCCTGTTTCTCACCCACAGCGATCAATTCCACATTTCTCCCCAGACCAATCAATCACCCGATGGCGCCTTCTCCTGCCTAATCCATCCGCTGCATAAATCCCCCCGGAGAGCCACTTACCTCGAAGCGTATGGTATTGTCACGGAAATCATCGAGATGATCTTCGGAGGGAGTCGTCGATTTCCCTCGTAAGGTTTGCGCCGTGGCGAATCAGGTGGCGGGAGGAGACGCCGGCGACGGATTAGGAATCGCTTAGGTTATTCAGGTTTCTCTAGGACAGGTCTGAATCAGGATGAGGGTATGATTCGAGTCATTCGCTATCATTGAGTCTTTCCATATGGGACTAGTTGGTGAGTGTGGTCGTGATGATAGATAGATCATGAGATGAAGGGAGACTAGAGACGAGGTAAGGGATTTGGATGGTAGTACTCCGTAGATGGCAGTCCGTTGATTTGGAATGGTTCACTACTCTGGCTCGAGAGGGATTTCCTCGAGTCTTCCAACGATGTGGACATTGCGTATCTACTCGCATTAGAATAGAAACAATTCCCATGTTACCAAAGTAGGATATGATAGATATGCAGACACTGCACGAGGGACGCACATTGTACACCTCGACCAAAGCCAAACACGGAGAACATTCCTCTCCATGCATGAGACAACCGGAACGCTCCCGAGTTGGTCCAGCATGAAAACACCATGGTTACATTCATGATCTTTTACTTTTTTCTTACTTCATCCCTTTTGTAGATACATTTTCGTCTCGGTTGTTCATCGGCCTTCTATCACCGGGATTGGACGGTCCATGAGTGAGAATCATGGCTGATATGTTTGTTTCACTTAGAGTTTCCCTTGTCTTTCCCTTGTTTCTTCAATTCTCAATTCCCGAAGTATAAATCTTCCAAATTAAAGGATAAAGAATGAATGAAGTCTAGACATTCCCCAAGGCAGCTGACCTGGACGGTCACTTGAGAGCGGGAACTAGGGTCGATCAGGGCCGTGCGTGGAATTTACACTTGTATGACTGTCATATCATTCTTTCTCTCCCATTGTATTTCCTTGATTCATTCATTGATCGGTATTGGCATTCATGCTGCATTCCTCATGGTTAGAGAGATAGCGAGCATTGCTTTCTCCCCCCATCTGTAGTATACAGCCAGCTCATCCCATACCACCCATCAACAAAGAATCAGTGGCAACACATCAAGCTTCCTCGGACTCAACCTACCCACCCACGCCAACCAGAGCAACATCAGCCTGGTGTTGAAATCTTCGCCCCCTCATTCGACACTTCTGCCTTATGCCAAGCAACTAGAGATGCACGGCTAGGAAAGTTAGATGCAAGTCATCAGCAGAGCATTTAGTTCGTCCGAAACTAATGTAACCGATAGAGGTGAGGACAGAAACCACAAAACAGAAAACAAGAAAACAAGAAAAACAAGGAAATGGGCAAAAGAAATAGAGAAATCCTGCCATGGGCTAACGGTGACTCAAGACTTGCATGGACTAGGCTGGGCTATTTGCTTGCCTTGATGGTTTGGGTTGGTCTGGGTTTACCTGTTTGGTCATGGTTGTGTGCGCCCGATGCAAGCGTTATCTGTCCAACCTAGAAGACAGGGAGAATTCATCTCCCCCGTCGAACTAACTAACGGTCTTTGATCCGGCCTGCCCAGTGACTCTCGATCGAAGTCCCTACCCACACAGTTAGACAAGCCGGCTAGACAGGCCAGCTGGATCTATCCGGGTCAACTCCTGCACGACCCTGCATAACCTACAGAACGAGAGGGTAGAGCAGACAAGCGTAAAACGCTAGACGCTAGCCCCGCTCTTGCAATCGGCTGACATATGTCCTCGCAATGCGGCAGGTTGGACGAGAGAAAGGAGAGAAAAGAGAAAAGGGAAAAGAGACAGCATTCGACTCTATACTCCTTCCCGCACATCTTCTTTCCCGTCCCTATGCAATTACCCGAGACAATCGCTCTCTTGCCGTTGGCAGCTGGACGACGTGCGACGAGGGCAGTGGGACGAGGACGGGCGGTATTCAAACCAACGTGCGACGACGACTCCACTGCTCTTTTTTTGTTTTTTTATCTTGAAGATTTGATTTTTTTTTTGCAATCGGTCACGGGCCATCAATTATCGTCTGAGCCGAGATCGGGTCTTGCGCGGTACATAGTTAGTACACAGTACATAACTAGTACAAGGCACCCTACTCGCATGCCGTGTGAGACGGACGACGACGTTCTCGATCTGAACCGCCCGTACTCCAAGACTTCTGCGTCCACGTCCCGTCGAAGACTTGTATCGCCTCTGAGGGTTCGTCTGTCGGATCGTCGGGGTGGACCTGGATGCGGATGGACCCGGTTAAGCGTTGCTTTAGCCAGCCATGCGAATGATTGTCGGGTGCAGGGGCCCAGCCGGTTTTGAGTCTGGGTCCACTTGTCTTGTGTCGAACGGCCATGTTGGATTTAGTATGGATGTCGGTTGTGATTGAGCAGTCTGGACTTGTCTGAAGAAGTGTTAAAGATTCCAGACGTGAACGGAACCTCCATTCCAAGGTGACAGATTGACGACAGAACCATCTACACAATGATATCAACCTTATTCAGCAGCATTCTGGAGTTGTCAGTCAAGTCAGATCAGTCCGGTATCTACCGACCCCTACCTCGGCACGAGCAGATCACCCCACAACCGGGTCTCCTGTCATATATCAGCCTATGGGATTTGATATTGAGTAGTTCGAACACCCGATCGGCTTGGATACCGTTGCTATGATGTTATCCCGAGTCAACCGGAGATATTCATCAGAGCCTGACGGGATCACCTCCATCCAACCAGATGAATGACGGAGGGATGAATGACGGAGGTAAGTATGAAGAAAACATCACGGTGCCATGGAAGACACCCAGTAACGATGTCAGTGTCGCCCCGTCGAAAGACGTGGGGTGTCCTCTCGGGATTAATCCCGAACCAGGCCATTGAACCAGGCCAGTGAACCGGACCAGCACGGCCATCATCATAAAGACAGAGGCATTGTCCGGTATGACATCGCGTTTGACAGCTGAAGTATCATGGTACAAGTGAGCGAAATGAGATCATGGCCCGAAGTTCCCTCTGGGGCGAATAGAGATGGGAGGCGAACGAGATCGTACGGTGGGTGCGCTGACATCATGACTGCTCAACAACCCAGGTCAGGTTGTTGGCTGATGACATCGATTGAACTAGTTGTGCCTCGCCATCAGCCTGCTGATATTTATCAACCAAATGATTATGGTCTCCTTTATTGAAAGAAAAGGAGTCACTCCTGTATTATTTTTCTGGTGGTTGTGTTGTTATTCTAAGGGGAGAGAGTGGGTTAGGTAATCATCAGGGTTTTTCTATCTTCTGTCTATTTTAAAAAAAAGGGTTAAAAAAAACCAATTGAACAAAAAATAGAAATAGAATAAAATAGGATAAAATAAAATAAGGATAAAAGTAAAAATCTAGCGTTTCATTTGGAGAAGTGGAGAACAGAACCAAGTAAGCGTACGAGTCGTCCGGTTTGGTGTTACCTGCTTTAGGACAGTCCCCGCAAATCATGCCAATCAGGGGTCTATACTATTGAATGTGGATTTAATGTTCTTTAATTAGTGGGTAGATATACAACCATATCTATAGAGGTGTAGATATATCTGGAGATAAAAAAAAAAAAAATACATAATCATCCAATGAAAAAGAATGAAGAAAGACCAAGAAAGAGAACACGAGAAAAGACAAGAAAAGTGGGAAAGAAAGAAGAAAAAAAAAGTACACGACAACGCTTGGCATCGAACATTCCATGGACTGCCGGCTCACCCGGACCCACTGTGAAGGTCAGCTGGAAGTCTGCTGTTTTCCGGTGGATCCTTCCTTCACTGTTGGACTCGCACCGGATCTGTCTTCACCAATTCATGATGACCACGATGATAACAACACGATAGGACACGAGACACAGGAGACTAGATTAGTAGATAATTAGGTATTACTGTATGTGTTAGATGATAACGTGATCAATTATAAAAAAAAGAATATCGAAACAAGGAAGAAAACCGGTTTAAAGAAGGAAGTCTAGATCCGCATGCAGAATCTGCTCGATCAGAAGGACCAACGCGCTGCTTTAGTCAGGGCCGGATTTGCTGTTTTGGGGCGACCCGTTAGATTCGCCGGTCTGGACTGAGGTCCGTGCTGATGACTCTTTCATCTTCTCTCTCTCTCTCTCTCTGTCTGTCCTTTTTAATCCTTTCTCCCCAGGTTTCGTTCTTCCTTCTCCTGCTCTGTCAAATCTTCTTCTCTCTCCATCTTTCTTCTGCAAATCATTCACCTCCACTGTATACTGATCCACACGTGATCTCCACCACTATACAACTCACTACAATCAACTCATCCTCACACATCACATCTACGATACTCGACACAACAATATATTATATATAAGATATATTCATACATCAACATATATATATATATATACATATATACATAATGGCCGTCCAAAAAATCATACCCAGAGCGGAACCTCCCTCCAACGCAAATAAACGCTGGCCCCCCATGGCCGACAAGACCTCTCTCCCCTTCCGCCTCACCACCCTCTCCAAGCAAAAGCTCGCCCGCGAGGCCACCGCTCCGGATCCGGACATCCGCCGCTGTCTCTGCCACTTCCGTCTGCACGTCATGTCCGTCGAGATGGCCCAGAAGGATATGACCACGCGTATCAACTCTTTCGATCTTGAGTCCGAGTCGGAGTCGGAGGATGAAGACGCTGGAAATCACAAGAAGAACTTCGTCAGCCGAATTCCCGCTGTACCGGAACCGGCTGCGAAGAAGGATGTTAGCCCGGAGAGTGATGCGGCTGATGCTGAGAAGGACTCGGCTATTCATGTTCACTTTGAGGTGTCGTTTGAGCAGTCTGCTGAGCAGACGGAGGAGCAGTCGGCCACCATTTCCAAGGAAAAGACCCAATCACAGCACCAGAGCCAACCCCAGAGCCAACCGTCGGGGAAGGAGTCTGATTCAGACGGCTTCATGGAGAAAGGGCGCACTTGTCTGGAGAAGACGAAGAATCTATGGCCGTCTCCAGGGCAGTGTCTGCCCATCCAGATCTCTGGGTAGTCTACTCTCCCCATTCAACCCTCGGACTACTCCTCACTCCTCTCACTCGACTACTTGCTCGACTGCATATATACCTCCGACTACTTTCTCGGCTCCTCCACTACCTACCTCTTGACTGCACCACACCTCAACTGTACACATTACAGACGGAAAAGTCGCAAAAGTACTATATTAATACGCGAATAATGAATAACGAATCACGACTGGATTAGCTCAGCTATACATTGACTAGAATATAATCATCTCAATATCAAATGCAAAGTAAACAATATCGTCTGGACCCGTACTCGAAGGAGTAGACTAGAGTCGCGTGACTCACAGGATTGTCTCCACAGGAGTACGTACTCTCCTTAGTCATGCGGATCGTCAGTCAGATGACCTTGGCTTATAGACCATTCCTAGTTAGTCTACTCCGTAGTTGGATGATCATTAATCAATCTGAAATAGAATATTAGAAACAAGAGTAATCAACAAGTTAATACGGAAGCAATAACAAGAAAAAAAAAGATTATTCCCTCCAATCATACTGCATCACCCGCACCACAAAGTCCGGCATCTCCCTGCCCACCACCAATCTCACCACTAATCTTATTACCAACAACGCCGCAGAAGTGATCAATCTCACCTCACCATCATGACTCTCACCACCATACTGTAGTAACCCCCCATCCACAAACCTCTTCCCCTCCACCACTTCCCCCCTTCCCCCCTCTGTTCCCCTACAGATATTGTCCAACCACCCCGCCACCCCAAGCACCACCGCCCCCCTAAACACCGAGAACAAGATCCCTTCCAACCCCACAAAAGCCCTAATCACCCGCTTCTCCACTCCCTTCGCCTCCTCAATCATCTCCGTGACAACAGCCGGCGGCGCCCCCGGTACCAGCAGGATATCGAAGTCCAGACGGGCCAGTAGCTGCGCGATAGCGTCTTCGTTGTTAACGTTGCTGTCGAGAACCACATCTGCTGTCACGTTCAGAGAATCTTTCCCCACGGGGATGCTCTGCGTGCGGGCTAGCGTGATGACGCTGAAAATGCGGTCTGGTTGGTCTGGGTTGTGGTTGTGGAGAGCGTGGGAGAGGACCTTCTAGGGGGCCGGTGAAGTCCAGGAGATCGGCGTTGGGGGTGGAGGAAGCCGATGTTGTGAGTTGGGCTCATCTTCCTTATCTATATGTAGGTATGTAGATATGTAGGTATGTATATGTAGGTGTGTATATGTAGGTGTGTATATGTGTGTCTATTGAAAGGACTCGTGTACGGCTCATGTCTGTCAGGAGTCAAGATATCGGAGTTATAGGATCAATATACCAGCTGAATTATACCCTCGTCTGTCCTACTCAACTACCTTACTTCCCCCCGTAGAACCCTCCAGATAAGACATCAGCATCCCCCTCATCCGCCACCAAAGCCACACCTCCTTAACAACCGTCCTATCACGGTGTCGAAACGTCCGCCCAACTTTCGCCTGCGTCTCAAACGCCAGCGACTCGCCCCGCGCAAACCGCTCCGCGTGCGCAATACACCGATCAATCGCCAGGTGCAAACACCGCGCATACAGCGTCTCCTCGCTGTCGTCCGCGCGCACCGTCGGCAACACCCGGTCGAGGATCCCCCCGCCGTCCAGCTCCGCCGTCAGCTGGTGCAGCGTCGCAGACACCTGGTCCAGCGCGCCGTCATACAACGCAAAGAAGATGCAATGGTTGCCTTTGTACTCCGGCAAATGTCCGATATGCAGGTTGATCATCAGCCCCGCCCGCTCCATCAGCTTGCGCCCGATGTACTTTGTTCCTGACACGATCGTCAGCTCGGGCTGCCACGTCTCGACGGCCTCCCACACCTGTCGGCAGTTGACGCTGTCGACGACTAAGTCCGGAGGGCTGGACTCATGCCCGCTCGGCACCAGCTGGCTGAAGTAGCGCGCGCGGTGCTCGTCATGCCCAGTGTAGTGTCGTCGTAGACTGTGGTACTTCATGTAGCAGGCGTCCACCACGCGCCGCTTCGCCACCAGCTGGCGCACCTGTCCGTCCGTCGTCTCTTGAATGCACCGGTACCCTGGCCGAAACGCCTGGTCCAGCCGATAGCGCAGATAACGATGCTGCGGGCCATCGCCACAGAGCAGCAACACCCGCGGTGCCACGCTGCCCTGCGGCGACCGCGCTCGATACGTCACCCCTGTGGTGTCCGGCTGCCGGAGTAGTCGGCCACGATCAGGATGGAAAAGCACATGGATGGGGTCCGCCTCCCCGTTCAACGCCCGCCACACAGCGCGCGCAATAGCCGGCGCCTGCGCGAACCCCCCGGTGTTGTTCCCCCCCGTGATGATCAGCTGGCCTCCGCTAGCGGTAGGGATCCTCTCGAATAGCCCCAGCCCGGTAGGTGTAAACGGCCGCACGCAGAACCGCCGCTGGCCCCCGGGGTACAAGCTGCCTTGGTCCTTCGCCGCGGCGTACCCCCGCGGGAAGTAAATCCGCGCCACCTCTTCCAGCTCTTGGTATAGCGCGAGCAGCTCGGGGTCGTCATGAGCCGGCCGGTCCAGCCCGATATAACCATACCCCCCGCCGAACATCAGGATGTCCTCGCCGGTGACCTCGTCCTTGGCAATCGTGACGTTGATGTCTTCGACGAGGTGCGCCCGCCGGTGGATCTTCACCGAGTGCGCCAGTCGCGGCTCGACGTTGGGTATCTGCAGCCACACCCCCAACACGCCCTGCACGAGGTTCTCGCTGGCTGTTCCTTGAAGCATTCGATTCCCCGTCACGCCGGGACTCACGACGAAGTGGTCCGCTGTCAGCAACCCCCGCTGCGATGCTAATGCCGTCACCGCACCGCTACCATCCCGCTGGATGCGCTCCACCTCGCAGTCCCAGATGAACTCGCCTCCGAGATCTGATATCCGACCCACCAACCGCCTCGCAAACGGGTGGATGTTCACCGTGAACCCATCCACCATGATAGCACCCGCCAGTTGATCTGCCTCAGCAGCGGACGCAAAACCAGGATTCTGACTCAGGAACCCCTCCATCGACATCCTCGCCCTCAACGCACCCAACCGCCCATTCAACCCCACAGCAGCATCACACGCTGCCTTCTCGGCATACAATCTGAGAATATCCCTCCTCAACTCAACCCCTTCGAACAATGTTTCCTCTTGATCCAGATACTCCTCCCACAGTCTCCCCGCCTCGCGGTTCACCGCGTAAATATCCTCTCGAAACGCACACGCCATCCAAGACGGAACGCCCTCAAAGGCCTCTACCCAGCTCCTCTCCGCCGCGCAGAACCTCCTCGGATCCTTGACGCTCCACCCCCCTGCACGCACACCCCGTCGGAAAACAGCTCGCATGTCCCTGTAGATGACACTGCCTTTTTCGTTGTAGTTGTCTGCTTCGGAGTGCGTGTACATCCGTGCGTTGCCCCCTCCGTGTGTGATGCCTAGTCGGGCCCAGTCTGTGTTGTTGCTGCTTGTTGTTGTGGTTGGCGCTGCTGGTGTTTGGAGGGTGGGGTCAGGGCCCGAGTCGATGAGTGTTACTTTTGTGCCTCGTGCGGCGAGATATTCTGCTGTGAGGAGGTTCACGATGCCGGTGCCGACGAGGATGACCGTCTTTTTGTGGTTGGTGTCTTCGTTTGCGTTCTGGGCTGGTGGAGTGGAAGGGGAGAAGTGCGCACGTCCTTGAGCGTAGAGTTTCTCTGCTGCGCGGAGGATTCTCTCTTTCTCCTTCTGATCATTCTCATCACCATTTTTTTCTTCGTGTGTCCCCGTATGTAACACCGCACACTCTGCAACGCTGGCAACAACAAGCCTCCCCCCAGCAAGCTCCCTCAACTGCGCTACCCATCTCCCATCATCATCATCATCATCACCGTCGTTATGATCAACGAGAAGCAGCGCCTTCGGCATCGAGGGAACCCTCTCCACCCACCTGCTGAGCAAGTCGGGAGTGACTTCTTCGCCGTGGCAGATCCATACGTCTGGGGAATGGGGGCCTGTCAGTGCGGTGAGGATGTTGGTGGTGTCATCTGGGTCGAGGATCTGCGCGTAGGATGGTATGCCGGGGAGGGATTGGAAGGTTTCTGGGGTGGTCGTTATGAGGAATTTCATGTTGGTATTGGTTGGAGGAGTGTGATGTGGTTGATGGGTAGGGTTTTGGGGAGCTGTCTGTATATAGATAGCTCTTATATAGAAATGGATATGTGTGTTCAGAGTTATATACCTACCTACCTACCTACTATAATAACACTATCCAGCCCTACTAGTCAAGATCTACCAGTAGTATATCGACTAGAGAAAATCTCCGAAACCAACCCCCAACCCTCATCCCCATTCTTGGCACTGTCAGCAGCCTGATTCATCCTGCAGACAAACACTTTCATTTGCCTGGCTTTGTGGACTACATCTGCAGTGTTACTTTTATTTACTTACTCTGACTTACTCTGTGGAAGCAGGAGGCAGGCAGATAGCTGCAGTGCCGGCCCAGTCCGTCCAATCCGTCCAGTCCGGTTATACTAAGCGGAAGTGGGTTGATTTCCGTATAGCCAGGAAGTCAGTAAGTCGGTCTCTGCACGTCTGTTTGCTCATGGCAATCACAATGCTGTCTGTCTGGCTGGCTGGCTGGTTTTGGTTGCTGGGTGCTAGCTGCTGGCTAGATTGCTGGCTGAATGCACTCAGGCCGTTTGCTTCGATGTGGAGAAGGGGTGTTATTGGACGGACGCTATTTGGAGCGGCGTGTGCGAGGTTGGCTGGTTCTGTGAATTGGGAAGACCACACTGCATGGTTCATGTTGCTACATGCCTACATACCTACCTGCTTGTATAGGATAGGACAGGACAGGATAGTATAGTAGTACTTGCATACATGCTACTGCAGCAGCAGCGGCAGCAATAGGTAGATTTAATTGAATGCCACGGGATATAGCCGGCGACTCAGCCAGCCAAAGCAGCTTCATTGTTCCGTGTGTTGTGACCAAGGTCAGTAGACAGTCGAGGCTGCGATACTGTATGTATGCATGATGTTGTTTGATGGTATCTTTAGATTGAGAGGTAAATGAACCAAGGTGGAGGAAGTTGATGGTAGAAAGAATAAAATCATGCTCAGCAAGATGCCATGGCCCATAACGGTCTGATCAATATCGTAGTAAACCAGACACTCACACTCGACAGCTATTATTCACTATTAAGCTCATTTAAGCAGCAGCTACATCCTACATCAAGCAGACACTAATGTAGGTGACGTGTACTCGGACTGGCCGTCGCATGCAGCGTTAATCCATTCATCTCGTCCATCTGCCTGTCCAACCGCAAACACAACATAATCCTAAATGTAAACCAATACCTCTACTACGGATTACGGAGTACTCCGCATCAGATTTATGTGTTTGGTTCTTTCTGGCCGCTCTTCTCTCGGCTTGAAAAAAAAAAAGGGTTGCTAACTTGTAATCTGTCTGCAGGATTAGGGCTCACGGTTACTACCTGCATACTCACGGAGCAAAATGCACGATACCATGATATTTACCCTTGTTGTAGTATGTGAGCGATGTGTTGCCTGGATCTAGCAGAGCACTACTGGTTTTTCGAATTTCTTGTGCTCTATTCGACGCCGAGACTCACAGGACGGACATTATGGAAAGTAGCATTTCCCAATTTGTCGAGAACATTGGATTTCGACTCGCTGTATACAGACAGCTCTGCATAATTGACGCTTCCATTGACTTATCAATAATGGATAAATCGTAGGGCTGGAAAGCTATCTCCTTCTACTCTGTTAGGTGTCTGATTTCTTCAGTCTGGCCAGGCTTTGCCGACAATGTCACACTGACCGTCGCGTAATAGATAAGTCCATGGATAACACAGGGAGCCAGCTGCGCCATCGAAGATGCTGCAGTCTTAACAAACTTGTTACTTGGTTCTTTGAAGAAAGATGGGGAGGGCGTCTCAACTATCAGATCATGACGTCCGTGATGTGTTCCGCAGGTTCGAAAGCATGACTAGGCCTCGAGTCTCGAGAATCTGCAAGGCTGGAATGTATCTGGCGGATTCCAGTGCGAAGGATAATATGTTTACCAGGTCCCTGTGGAACGTCTTCTCCTTCTTTGGCGAGGACATTCTTTCCTATCATGGCAGCAAGTATATCACTGGGGTTCCAGTTCTTGGCTTTCTGAAAAGCCCGGAGGATAGTGCTCTGCGGCCTCGAAGCTGGGGGGTCTCTTGGTTATATCTGGCTGCTTTTGCGATGTCTGCTATTTTGATTTGTATCTTTGTGCTGGTGCTTTGAGTGGAGTGGTTATAGTTTTGTTGCTTAGATCATGGGACCACTAGACAGACAGTAATAGACATTAGACAGACAGTAATAGACACGCAACTCATACCATCATGGTACCACCTAACATACACTTCTACTATATAATAGACCACACATCATATCCATTCTCGCAGGGTACGGAGTAGAATCCATACTTCATTATCATAGTCATTACTCGAACTCCAACTTCAAGTTCAACCCATTTATCACATACATCTATCTATAACCCAACATCATCATCCTCCCACCCCAGCTGCTCGTAGATCGACTTCTCCGGCGTCATGGGTACGATCGATGATGTGCCCATCCCAGTTACACTCTTTCGGACTGGCGTTCCTGGCGGTGCGGCTCGTGTCTTGACTGGTGTACCTGCTGACTCCGGTCTCGTCTTAACCGGTGTTCCTGCAGGCTCAGTCCTCGTCTTGACCGGTGTTCCCATCGGCTCAGTACTCATCTTAACCGGCGTCTCTTTAACTGGCGTCCCAACCAAGACATCCCTCCCCCCCGTCCCAGGAATACCCATCGGAGCAGCCACCCTCGGCGGCGTCTCCAACACAGAAGCCATCTTCGCCGTCGTCGTCCCTGTCCCCGTCCCCATAGCCATAGCTGAGCCCAGACCCGGCCGTCCAGACCTATCCACATACCGCGCCGAGACGGGCGTGGAAGGCGCCACCACGTCCGTAGACCGCGGGACAGGTCGGCGAGGGACACGGAAGAGGTTCCCCGTTCCGGTTCCGGTTCCTGAGAAACTGGGGGATTGCTCTGTTTGGGATGATGGTTGGGGGGCTTTTCGCCGTAACGGCGTCTCTTGGATGCTGTTCGATGTGTTGGAGATGGATATTGAGGGGATGGAGAGGGCGTAGGTGTTGGTTCGGGGGGCTGAGCCGGGGACGATGACTGCGTCTGGGTCGGCGTCTGGGTCTGCGTCGGAGTCGAAGGGGGAGGATGGAGATTGTCCTGCTGGCTGTTTGAGCGTGCGGGAAGGACGACGTGTGAGTGTGCGCGGTGCGGCGGGCTGGGTTTGCATGTCGATGTTGGTATCCCGTTTTCGGTTCTTGCTCGGTGTAGCCGCGACTTGCACGCCCTGGCCGAGTGGGTTGCGGACGGGATTCTTCGGCTTCCTGCCACTGGCAGTGCGCTTGTCCGCATCGCTGGCGATGTCCTTTGCGACGAGCTGACGATTGGGCTTGCGGAGGGCGGAGATAGCAGCGTCGAGCTCTTTCTTCTGGTCCGCGAGGAGCTGCACCTTTCGGAGCTTGGACTCGTGCTGGCGCGCCACCGCGTTGAGGTCCACTTCGCGGTTTTCGGCCCGCTTCGCCTTTTGGATCCCGCCGCGTGCGCTGGTGCTGAGGATGGGAAGAAGGGGTTCTATGGATTCATTGCGCCGCGCGTCGACCTGGGATGGTGCTGTGTTGGTTCTGTTCAGTGAGGGTGGTGCGGGTGTTCGTCCTTGTGAGGTTGTCTGTGTGTCGGTGTGGACGCGCTGGAATGACCGGCGTGGGTGCTTGTGGGGTGCATGGCGGTCGCCGCCGGGACCCGGGGGTGCCTTTTTGGCGGGTGGCTTCGTAGGCGACGTGCTCGACACGCCCAGCTTACGGGTGATCGACTTGCATTTGTCTGGCAAGCGGGCAGCGTAGAACGGGATGATGACCTCGGTGCAGAAGTCGCGCACGGCGTCGCTCTCGACCTTTTTGCCGGCCAGATTGGTCTGGTTCTTGGCCGAGTCGGCGACTACCGTGTCCTCGAAGCTGACGGCATGCCAGATGCACAGTCGGTCGAGGTGGAGCTCGAGCATGACGGCCAGATCCTGGGGTTTTTTGGTTTTCGTTGCGGGGGGCGGTTCTGCGGCGTCGTCGCGAGGTTTCTTCGCTTCCTCGGCCTCCAGGGCCAAGGTCTCTAGGATGAGGAGGATCTGCAACTGGGTTTCTCGCAGTCGTAGATCAGCAACGTGTTTCTTCACCTCTGTGTCGCGAGACGTCTCGATCAGGACGCCTTGCTCCCCGAACGCGCGGTCCTTCCACCATCGGTGGACGAACTTCTCTTCCTCCGGGTACAGCCCGTTCTTGCCTAGCTTCTTCTTCCGGGGCTTGCGCTTTTTGCCAGACGGCGCGACGTCGCCGTCCGAAACGCTGAGCAGCGCGTCTCGAATGCTCGTCGGGAGCGTCTCACGATATTTGTGGTCCATCTTCTTGGCGGCCAGGATCGCCTCCCGGTAGAAGGCGATGAGATCAGCAGGAGCAGCAGGCTGGAAAGCCGCCCGACAGCGAGCCAACGGACCCTTGGCGAAATACGCAACAGACGTCTTGGAGACATACAGCGCCTGCAGGTACTGCTCCCGCAGGCCATCCAGCAGATCCTGCGGCGCCAGCTGCGGATCGACCCCGCCAAGCGCCTGCGCCTCCAGCTCCGGCCCCGTCAACGTCTGGAGATCAGGCTCGGCGCTCGGCGCTGACCCCAGCTGCGGCACCGCAGACTGCGCCCTGCTCTCAGGCACACCTACTGGCGTTACGCCATCCCGTACGCGGTGCCCATCGTCGACACCGCCGAAGACAACCGAGACGCCCGGCCTAGCCCGCGCTCCCTCCTCCTCGACACTGCGCACTGGATCCTCCACCTGCGCCAGCTGCCACCACTCTGCGCTATCGCACACACCCGCAGACACGCGCGTGGGGTCATCGAGCGAGGCGGCCGACACGGCGTTCCCCCCCTTCACCACATGTATATCGCGCTCGTGTACGCCCCGCGCTAATTTCGAGAGCGCGTAGATCCCCCGCTTCACCCGTTCCACTGCATATAGCGAGTCGTCGGACGTCAATCGCACGGCGAGTACGGCGGGGTCTGTGTCCGGGTGCGCCTCGAGGGTGGGGATGTCCGCGACGAAGAGGCTCCCTAGATGGTTTTGCGAGAGGGCGGGGCTGACGTCTAGCCAGGAGAAGGGGAGTCGCGAGCGGGGTATCCGGGCGATGGGTTCTAGGACGAAGGGGTCGTCGGAGAGGGACGCGCCGTGGGCCTGTAGATTCTGTTAGTTGCGGTGCGGCAATAAAGTGAGTTGCACATTAAGGGGACTAAATATGCAAGTCAGCGCAGAATGGGGATATTGTATACCCGAATACGGATAGCCTGATCCTCCCAATCCCCAGGACTATGGCATATCTTGCGCTTCTTGAGGGGCGGGGCGGGGAGGTGGTTGAGGGGGATGGTCTCGAGGACGCTGGCGGATCCACGCGAGGCCATGGACGCGTTGCTTAGATGATCATTATGTCTCCGGATGACCGTAAGGATATGCAACTCGACAGATGGGGTGAAGTAAGAATAACCCCGGGTATAATTGTGATTTGAGTGGAGTATAGTAGGTATAGTGGGTTGGAAAGAGAAAGGATGGACTAGTTATGGCGTGGAGGAGAACGCGGTCAGGGCTTGGCGTCACGCGTTTACTTTTATAGTTCACTCCACAGCCATTCGGTGTCTTTTCTATTTTTTCACTTGATTTCTATTCATTACTCAATACCATGCAATCTCGAATGATTCTCTTATTGTATTGGCTTTTGTTTCACGTTCAGTCAGAAAGACCATAAAGGATAAGTATCATTTGAACCCCCCGATAAGAAGAGATCTAACACTGATCTACAGTGGAATAAGAATCAGCTACACACTACATTGTATCAAAGTATATAATCCAATATCATTATTCTATATGGCTAATGTTTAGATTAGCACATCCGTGACCGGCGAACCGATCACGAAAAGGGCCTCAGTGGTTTGCCTCCTTGGAAAAAAAGGCAACCCCAGACCATATGTTGAAATCTCTCGCTCCCTGAAACGCCGAAACATCCTTCCCAGGAAAAAGTGGTATCATGTTGAATTTATCCTCGCCGAACCCGTTCTCCGGCAGGCGACCATGCAAATATTAAACAAACATCTTGAAAATGAGGAGATGGCTTTTTTCTTTTTGTAGACGTGTCTATGCTCGTGCTTTGAGTTGTTGAAAACAAAGCAAAATCATACATTCGTTAAAAAAACACTGGCATCAGGTCACCCGAAACAGGCGGCCGCACCCGTTGGGGGACGACGCGCTTAAAAGTTGAGGGCCTTGGGCTTCTCCCAGGAGAAGCTCTGGTTGGTGAAGTGGCCGTTCTTGGCGGTTTGGTAGTAGATGGGCTTGGCCAGATCCAGGGACTTGACGATGACACCGGGGCGGAGGTCGAAGTTGTTGCGGATGATCTCGACGAGCTCCTCGGAGCTCTTCTGCGAGGTGCCGTAGGTCTCGACGAAGACGGACAGGGGCTCGGCGACACCGATGGCGTAGGACAGCTGGACGAGGGCGCGGCGGGCCAGGCCGGCGTTGACCAGGGACTTGGCGATCCAGCGGGCGACGTAGGCGGCGGAGCGGTCGACCTTGGAGTAGTCCTTGCCGGAGAAGGCACCACCACCGTGGGCACCCCAGCCACCGTAGGTGTCGACGATGATCTTACGGCCGGTCAGACCGGCATCACCCTGGGGGCCACCGATGACGAAGCGGCCGGAGGGCTGGATGTGGTAGACGGTGCGGTCGTCCAGCAGGTTGGCGGGGACCACCTTCTTGATGATCTTCTCCTTGATGACGGCGCGCAGCTCCTCGGTGGAGACGTCGTCACTGTGCTGGGCGGAGACGACGACGGTGTCGACGCGCAGGGGCTTGACGCCACCGTTGTCGTGGGCGTACTCGATGGTGACCTGGGTCTTGGTGTCGGGGCGCAACCAGGGGATGGAGCCGTCGACGCGGGCCTCCTTCATGGCGCTGTTCAGCTTGTGGGAGAGCAGGACGGTGAGGGGCAGCAGCTCGGGGGTCTCGTCGGTGGCATAACCGAACATGATACCCTGGTCACCGGCACCCAGCTTGTCGAGGGCCTCCTCGTAGTGCAGACCCTGGGCGATATCGGGGGACTGCTGCTCAATGGCGACCAAGACGTTGCAGGTCTTGTAGTCGAAGCCCTTCTCGGAGGCATCGTAGCCGATGTCCTTGATGGCACCACGGATGATCTTCTGGTAGTCCAGACGGGCTTGGGTGGTGATTTCACCGAAGACCATGATCATGCCTATCACACAGGGTTAGTTCAGAGTTCAATTGACACCTAGATATAAAAACAGAACATACCGGTCTTGGTAGCAGTCTCACAAGCAACCTATTGTCGGACAGATTAGCAAGGAACAGGTGGCAGAAACACGCCTAGTTACGCAAGGGCGAGAGAAGGGGAGATCAGGGGAAAATTCGATCAGGATCGGTTTCCGTACCTTGGAGAGGGGGTCCTCCGCCAGACAGGCATCGAGGATGGCATCGGAGACCTGATCACTGTGATTGTTAGATATGATACAGAGTGAAGTCGACTGGTGTCTAGAGAAGAAGAGACATACGCGATCTTATCGGGGTGACCCTCACCGACAGACTCGGAGGTGAAGAGGAAAGTGCCGGCCTTAGGCCCGTTGGAAACGCTACCCATTGTGAGAGGAGGAATTAGGATTAGGAATTGAGTGGGAGGAGAGTATAGGATAGGAAGGATGGAAGATGGAGGATGGAGGATGAAAGAAGTGAAAAGGAGGGGAGAGAGAGAGAGAGGAGGGGGTTAAATGAAGAGGGGCTGGTGGGTTTAGAGGAGAAAAGAAAAAGAGAGCGAAGAGAAAGAGGGGGAAAAAAGGACGGAAAGAAGAGAAATGAAGAGGGGAAAAAGAAGAGAGAAGAAGAAAAAAGAGGGGCGGTGATGGATGCACCAATCACAGCCACTCAATCGGCTCCCCGATGGCGCCATTGGGGCGTTCCTCCGAGCGGTGGCCCGTGGCAGAAAACCCATTCTGCCGGCTCACGTAAGCCGTGATCCGCCGTCTTTCTCAGGTTGCTTTTGCGTTGCTTTTGGCTTTGCTGACCATGAGTACAGACGACCTCGTTCTTACGTCGTTTGATTGGTGAATCTCGTGTGAATAAGACCTGACGCTGTCAGACAAATATCCTTCTGAGCAAGAAAGGGAAAGAAAAAAAAAAGATCTCTCCAATCGGACTGGTCGAAGCTCAGCCAGCGGGCCCCACGTTCATCACCGACTACCGAAAACTTCCAACCGACGACCGGACTCGAGACGTCCCCCTTCCACCGACGACGACGACGAAAATAACCCCAACATGTCGAAATTTGGCGTCCTAGTCATGGGCCCGGCCGGCGCCGGCAAAACCACTTTCTGCAACGCCATGATCCAACACCTCCAAACCACCCGCCGCAGTTGCTTCTACGTGAACCTGGACCCCGCCGCCGAGACATTCAACTACGAGCCGGACCTAGACATCCGGGAGCTGATCACGCTGGAAGACGTCATGGAGGAGATGGGGCTCGGTCCGAACGGGGGTCTCATCTACTGCTTCGAGTTCCTGCTGCAGAACCTGGACTTCCTGTCTGAGGCGATCGACCCGCTTTCCGAGGAATACCTGATTATCATCGACATGCCGGGGCAAATCGAGCTGTATACGCACGTGCCGCTGCTGCCGTCGTTGGTGAACTTCTTATCCCGCGCGGGTCCGCTCAACGTTAATCTTTGCGCGGCGTATCTGCTGGAGAGTACCTTTGTGGTGGACAAGGCGAAGTTCTTTGCGGGCACGCTGAGCGCCATGTCTGCGATGTTGATGCTGGAGATGCCGCATGTGAATATCCTGACGAAGATGGATCAGGTGCGCGATATGGTCTCGCGGAAGGAGATGCGGCGGTTTACGAATGTGGACGTGCAGTCGTTGCAGGATGCGGAGGAGGCGCCGGTGGGGGATGAGGAGGAGGCGGAGACGGGGACGGAAGACCCCTCGGCGGCGAAGACGGTCATGAGCGGGAGGTCGTTCCAGCGGTTGAACCGGGCCGTGGCGCAGTTGATTGATGACTTTAGCATGGTGTCGTTTTTGCAGCTCGAGGTGCAGGACGAGGATAGTGTCGCTGCTGTGTTGAGCCATATCGACGATGCGATCCAGTATCACGAGGCGCAGGAGCCGCGCGAGCCGGGTGACGAGCATGATATTGACTATGAGGATACGGAGTGAGGGGGGTTCTTTCTGTGAAGACTCTTTTACGACCTATCATACAGCTCTCGGTAGCTTTGATACATGCGCGCATGGTCTACCGATCAGGACAAGCGACGCAGTCCGCTCACTCCGAGCTCACCATCAGCATCAGCTCCGACCTCGCTCAGCTCTCAACCAGCGTCCTCGACTCGGAGACAGCTTCCCAGAGGGGGCAGTCTGTCTCCAACTCCAAAGCAGATTACTCCACACTAATAACTAGTAATGATAGTAATGACATTATGCAGTCGTATCAACATGATCATAGCTCAACCGGGATAAACATAAGTAACAGCCAAGCAACCAAAACAACCAAAACAACCCCAAACAGAAGACGCAAAAAGAACCACTCAATCAGTAATCAACTAAACAGCCCCTTCCTCGAATACCCACCCCCAGAACCCGACGAAGACGCCCCCCCAGAAGAAGTTGAAGAAGAACCCCCCCTCCCCCCCTCCATCCCCTCCCAAAACCCATCCACAAACCCCCCCAACGCACCCAACACCCAACCGACATCCCTCCCCGTCTGCACCAACCCCACCGAATAAACATAATACCCGCTTGCGAAGATGGCACCCCACCACAGTACCCTCAGCACCAGACGCACCCAGAAGAGCACCACCCGGCGGGCATAATCCAGGACCTTGAGCGAGATGTATAAGATGGCGACGAGGACAAGGACGGAGACGTAGTCTGGGCAGGAGGAGGCGAGGAGTTTCGAGATCGGGTCGATCATGTAGGGATTGAGGTAGGTTTCGCGGAGGGTGGTCAGGTGGGTTGTTATCGTGGGGGACATGATTGTTGGGAGGGTGAGGGGGAGGGCGAGGGTGGTGAGGTTTTTGAGGAGCGGGTGGTTTAGTGGGAGGGTTGTTGTAGCTTGGGTGAGGAGCGTTTGGATGTTTTCTGGTGGTTTGGGGGGTTAGTTTGGTGGTGTTTTGTTGTTTGTTTGGGGGTTGGTGTTGATCTGTGGGGTGGATTACCTGGGAGATAGTCCATTTTGTGAACTGACTTTGACGTGGACTCGTTATGGGTAGTGGATAATATATGTGTGTGTATATTTGCACTGCAGTGGAAGAGAGGAGAAGAAACAACGGGAGACAGACAGAAGATCAAAAGTGTCTCATCTACAAGTCGACAAAGAATCGACAAAGCGAGATGAAGGAATGACAAGTGTTTGTTTGTCTGGGATGCGACAGCGTCAGCCAAGATCCGAGGTCAAAACAGCCGGAAACAAACCAGTCAAACTCTGGATAGATAAGCCAACATACTGATCGCTCCGTTTACATCGAGGTCGCGACACCTACACTCAAGATATCCTTATACTGAATACTGATAATGACAATTAGAATTAAAGACAATCACCTCGTGACAGTCATATATACAGATCAACCATCTCCTACATACAAGCCGTCAAAATGCCCCCACAGGTCTGCAAACGAAAATCAATAACTCCAATCCAGCGCCGTGGTATAGTATAGGATACATGCAAAGGTGGTGGTGATAGTATTATACGGATTCTAGCCCATCAAGGCCTGGAATGCTTTGCGCTCGGCTTCGATCTCCGCTTGGAGGCGGCGGGTTTGGCGGAGGGCGTGGTCACTGGTTCGGTTAGTATACTGATCAAAAGTGAAGGGAATCAAGGGTGGGGAACATACCGATCAGACTGCAACTCAGCCACGTCGATCTGCGCGCGGTTCATCCGGCCCACAACCTCCGACATCTCGACGTCGGCATCCCGCAGAAGCTTCTCCAGCTCCTTGACGCGGCGCTCAAGCGTCTCAGCCTGGACGACCCGCTCCAGCGGCACGCCGTCGCCGCTGGTGGTCTTGTCCAGACGAGGCGAGCGCGCCCCGAACGGCGAGTGCGGCGGGATAGGCGACAGGCCCATCGGGCTGCGGGCGCCGTTCTTCATGCGCATCAGCTGCGCGCTGTGCGTCTCCTCCATCTGGCTGATCTCTTCCTCGTGGCGCGCCATCTCTTCCTCCGAGTACTGCTGCGCCAGCAACAGCGTGTCCTCCAGCTCCTTCAGCCGCGCCTGCATCTCGTTGATCCGCGACGCCGACAGCTGCTGGTCCTTCTCGCCCTTGCCGATCGCGTCCGCGAGCCGGCTGCGCAGCGAGCTGTTCGTCGCGAGCTGCTTCTGCACGTGGCGTGCGAGGTCATCCGTGCGGCCGAGCGACGCCGCGAGCGGGCTGCTCGCGTCTTGCGGCGACTGCGCCATGCTGGCCTCGGCGTGCTCCCGGTCCGCCTGGAGCTGCGCGTACGCGGACTCCAGCGACGACGAGGTAGCCGTCACGGCGGCGAAGCCTTCGCGCTCGCCGTCGAGCTCCGCGGGCAGGTTGATGTCGTGCTCCTGCAGCAGAACCCGCAGGGAGGCAGTCTCCTGCTCCGCGCGGTCGAGGTCCATCTTGAGACCGCCGAGGCCCTTCTCACACTGCCATTTCTGGTTGAGGGCGTCTTCGGCCCGCCCGCGCAGGTGGTTGACTTCCTCGCGGAGGTTGCGCACCTCGCGCTCGTAGCCCAGCCGGCGCGGCGAGCCCGACTGCTGCGCGCGGGCCAGCTCCTGCTCCATGGCCCGCGAACGCTTCTCGTACTGGCGGGCTTCGTGAGCCTGGCGGTCGACCAGGCGGCGCAGGGCCTCGTGGAGCGCGTTGCGCTGCGCTTCGATGTCTTCGACGCGCTCGGCAAGGTCCCGCGTGTCGCGTTCCTTGCCGGACACGGAGTTCGACCGGGACAGCGAGCCGGAGCGCGAGAGCCCCGACGGGCCGTTGGGCTTCGAGTGCATCCGCGCCAGGGAGCTGGAGCGGGAGAGTCCCAGCCCAGAGGCGCGCCGGTTGGGCGCGCCTTCTTCCTCGGCGATGGACGCAAAACGGGTCCCGTGCAGCTGGGCCAGCGAGGCATTCTCGATCTTCAACGCTTCAATCTCTTCCAGCAGCCGCTGCACTTCTGCGGGGTCGGAGGTCCCGCCGCCGCCGCCGCCACCTTGGCGGAGGATGTCGCGCTCGTTGCGGATCTGCTCCAGCTCAACCCGCATGGCGGTGAGCAGGTCTTCGAAGTTGTCTTTGATCTGCCGTTCTTCGCCCAGCTTTCGCCGCGTCGCGTCCAACGCGGCTTCAATCTCCCGGGTTTTCGAGGACAGATCGGAGAATTCGACTCGCTCGCGTCGAAGCTGTGATGAACATGTCAATGGAGGAGAGGGTAGAGAAGAGGAGGGAAGGGAAGTACCTGATGCACTTGGGATTCGAGGATATGGATGTGCGACTCAGTGGCCGCCCGGCGCGCTCGTTCTTCTTGCCACCGCTGGGTGAGGTCGGTCTTGAGCTGCGCGCGCTCCTGCTCCGCGGCGCGGCGGAACTTTTCCAGATCGTCGGCCCGGCCATCGTAGGCATACCGGATGGAGCTGGACCCCGAGTCCGAGAAGTAATCGCTCGTTCGGCGGTGGCTGGGCGTGTCCATGGGCATGTCCGACTGGAGCCGTTCGACCAGGTCTTCCAGCTCCATCTCCCGCCGAATGGAGCCGGCCAGCTCGGAGCTGATCTCGCGCAGTTCACTCTCGAGCTCGGTCACGTGGGCGTTGGAGGCGGACCCCAGCGCGCCAGCGCTGCTCAGCGAACCGTTGCGACCCTGCACGGGCCGATTGTCAAAGGGGATGGTGGTGGAGGGCGTGATGGCGTAGGAGCCACTCGGGAGCGAGGGAGGCATGGGGGAGTGTAGTGGGGATCGACCGGCGTCGGAGATCTCGGTGCTGGACGACTCGCCGCCGGGGGAGGAGGCGCCTCGAAAACCAAAGAAGGAACTGATCTTATGGCCGGGGGTTTTGGGTTGTTTGGCGTCCACCACGCTACTCGACATGGACCGACCGGTGGCGCCGATGTGGAGAGGGGGCGGACGGTGCGAGTTGGCGGGGGGATGTAAGCCCATGGTGGTGGCTCTCTTAGGGGTCGAGGAGCGGAGGACGGGGATGAAGGGTTCGCTGACGAGACGACTGTGCACCGGCGTCCCATTCGAGAACTGGGAACTATACTCGCGGCCGTGCTCGTCTTCTCCCGCGCCCGGGAACGGCGTCGAGGTGTCTATTCGAAGCGGGCCCGTGGATTGACCACCGCGGAAGAATCTAGGGGGTGATAAACGTGGGATTAGCTTTGACGCCGGGAAATTGACTACCGGAGACTCCATCCCACGCTCCAACTCCAGTATGAGGGGGTGGAACACCCCGGGTGACAAAGAAAAGGAGTATGGGACGAAAGAACAAAGGGGGGTTCAAACCACATACCTATTCTGGCCCCCGGGAACAAAGGCGGAGGAACCGTCCTGTCCAGCAGGAGAGAGGAAAGCGCCAGAAGCAGAGGAGGGGAAACGACGATGAGGGTCTGGTGGCGAACCATGAGAGACCGAGACAGACGGGGCCGCAGGAGTGTCGTCTCCGTCCGAGGATGGGAAGGAGGAGATAGTCGACGACCGATGATGAGAGGTAGGGGAGTTCACAGGGGCCACATTCTGGGGCAGCGGTTTCCTGCGCACGAGGGAATCAGAGCTAGGAGGCGAGATCGCAGACGGGAGCGGAGGATCGGTTGAAGAAAAGGCGGACGGAGAAGGATGCAGAGGAGGAAGAGAAGGAGTTGGCCCAGGCTCAGGGACGGCGGATCCTTGACACTGTCGATGATAGGCGGCTGCACTTGACAGGGTCGTCGTAGTGGTGTTAATAGTGGCCGCTGGAGGAGTCGTCGTCGTCGTCGTCTTGGTCGGCGACGATAGTGATAAGCCTTCAGGAGCAGGCGGAGAAGCCCAGCCCGGGGCCATAGCAGCGATTGGCCGTGATTGGCGTAGTATAGCTAGTAAAAATTATAAAAAAATAATAATCAAATAATAAAAACAATAAAATAATAATATTGGGAAGGTTCAAACTTCGAAGCGCAACAGAAACGGGAAGAGGAGGGCGGATCAGAAACAGTCGTTGGTCAATGAGCGCTGGATCGACACCACCCTCATGGTTGGCTGAGGAGCCTTGACTCCTTGAAGCACGGGCCGAGAGGGGGAAAGGGAAGGAATGACACGCGCTGGATGGAGAATTAGGGGGTTTGGAGAAGCCAGTTAGGGTGAGGGTTGGTAGGATTGGTAGGATTGGCAGGGAGAGAAACTCAGGGGTCGGGTTATCTCTTGGCTTTGGGACGGGGAGAGTGGATGATTGTCGCAAATAAGGATCTAGGATGGAGTAGGTAGTACCCTGGATAATACCCTGGATACTTCCTCCGTTAGTTAGTGCGATGAGGGAGAGGGAGAGACGGGCGAAAAGGAGAGGAAGGATTAGCGGTTCGAAGGGGAACAGACATTGCCTTAATTGGGGAAAAGTGGGGCTGTCTAAGGGACGAGTGGAGATGCAGAGTCCGACGACGACTACGAGTACGTATCTAGTCAGGGAACAGATTCCAAGAGGCAGGGATGTTGGCTGCTTTCATGACTTGAAGAAAGAAACAGTAGCGCGAGGGGAGTCGGAGGGACGAGAATAGGATAGACGGGAATAGCATCAGGAGGCTGACGGACAAACAACCCTAACCGCCCGCGTACCAATGTGAAACATAGCCCGCAGTGGATGCGATTATTGGTGCTATATATGGATACTGTGGTGAACAGTCCAGGATAAAAGATAGAGGAAGGACAAAGGAAATCAAAGAGCAATCATGACTCCTGAATCTGTCCTTGGATATTGACTCCGATAGTCCTGGTCGACCCCACCAATAGCTAATATATAGCAGACCAGAACAGTATAGATCGTCCATCTCCACGATAATATGCCTGCACCTACATCCTTCAGGGCTTGGACTCTGCGCTCATGTTGGATATATCTCTATAAATATAAATCAATAAATAAATAAATACCAAAAAATATAATCAAACTGTCAAACCAGCACATGCCATCTCCAAATAGATCCTCATTTCATCTCATGACACAATTCTCCGCCGAACCCCCAGATCATGTCACTAGTCTAGGCTCTATAGTTAGCACTGCATATGTGTGAGGAGTGTCCTTAGATCCATACTCTGCCCTCCCAGCCTGGACCACAAAGAGGCCTAACCGACGACTTGCTAATATAGGAATTTATTTGAGAATTATAGATCTATGCAGTCTGTTTTTAGAACTCAATATTGACAAAGTTAGTGACTCTCAGGATCTTGATATATAATATGAGATATAGGACTCCCGCGCGGCCACTATACCGCTCGGCCAAAAGGGTGTCATAGACCAACTCTGCCGAGTTGGTCATGAATAGGTATTTTGTACAAGTACATGGGGAGTTTTAGAACCTATTTGTTGTCATGCTTAGATATTACTCTCCCTCAGTATCGTCAATCTTTCTCTAATCTGACTGAATCTCCTGATCCGTTCATCAATCATGTCTTCATCAACAAAGTACGGTCCAGACATGGTCCTCATTCTGCAGCCAATGTTCACCACGGCCCTTCTATACTGTTCTCGGAAAGGCTCCCTCTCCGCGCGGCATACTTCCTCGTGGCTTGCGCAGCAGTGTACTGGCAGTATACGGTCATCAATGGAAATATTGCAAGTATGGCGTCTAGAGCGGGTGTAGTGATGCAGCACGCCAGCACAAACCCTCACTCAGCATCATTCCACCATGGAACTACTCTGACCTTTCACGCCACAGGCCCCGTCCAAGTTTGGGCCATCCGCGCCACTCTTTTAAGGTGACGCTTGAGCGGTCGCTCTCTTCATTTGTGTTCGTTGCCTGGGCCAGGCCTTGAAGGAGATGATGGCGGATCTTCCAATGATATCAGTGGGCTTATGTACTTGCACCTAGTTACTTCACGGGTGCTGGGCCTATGGACCGGTTATTGTGGGCAGATTTCGGCATAACTAACAAATACTCTACTTCAACAATGCTCGGCCGAGTAGACACGAGTGAATTCGACGTCGACCACAAGGTCAGTCCGTGATTTCAGGGCTTTCTCGCGTCCTACTGTCCAGTTTCTGATAATGCCAGTTGGTTATCGTGGCTGGGGCCTCGAAGGGGTTAGGGCGCGCACTGTCGCTGGAGCTCGTCCGCCGGGGTAAGATCTCCTTACACGACATGCCCCAGGCGCCCACGTTACTATTATTGCGCGCCATATACCAGCCCTCGAGGAGACCAGGGAGCTTATGGAGAGTAACAAGCGGCGCGTTTACCAGCGCATCGAAGCAACAAATTTAGATCTCGTTGATTCGCAAATGGTATGTATGCGGGTCAAGAGCGCTCACACTTATTATATGACTCTTGACAAAAAAATCTTTCGTCAACCTACTTACTTATGCTACAGGTCAACAACTACATCAATAACCTCGAAAACGTCCCCCCCCCCCCCCCCCCCCCCCACCCAATCTTTTGCGTCCCAGGAGGCACAAGCGAAGCAGATCGAATTCTTCGTCAACATCACAGCTGATTCCATCCGGAGCTGCATGGACAAGAACTTCATGTCCTCCACTTTCATCGCCCACGCTGTCATGAAGCGGTGGATTGCAGACTCGAGCAGCTGTCGTGGGGGCGGTAATCATAGCTCCAATCCCCATCGCCATCTCATGTTCACTGCTTCTACGGCTGCCTTGGTTGCCGTCCCGGGGTACGCGGTATATGCCCCTGCTAAAGCAGCGATCCGGGCGTTGGCGGATATTCTGCGAATGGAGGCGCTGATGTACGAGTCAACCGTGTCGATTCGCATTCACTGCTCGTTTCCAGGGACGATATACACGGAGAGCTTTTACGAAGAGCAAGAGAAAACGCCAGGGCTCTGTAAGCATATCGAGGGCCCTGTGGAAGACGGTGGGGGGCAGTCTGCTGGGGAGATTGTGAGCGGGATACATACTGTCGGGTTTGGATTCTGAGAGGCACCTGATCATGACGGATCTGCTGACGAGGTGTCTTTTGCGTACTATGCGTGGCTCAAGCCCGTCTGGCTCTTTTTTTGTGGACTCGGCGCTTGGGTTTGCGTGGTGGTTGGTTTGGCCGATCGTACGGAGATACTTTGATAGGGTGACTGCTCGCTTTGGGAAGAGGAAGCAGAGCTAGTAGTTTGTGGGAGAGATGTGTCATGATTCTTATTTCGCGGGAAGCATAGGAGGCATACACGTTCCTATCCTTCTCTATGAAACGACTATCATGTCATTACCTAACCATACACTACATGCAGAGCTTTAAACACACATTAATATCATCGAGTACTTATAGAAGCATAACTAACGCTCCAACGCAAGCCCTTGCATCCCTGTTTCGCAACTACCCGTCCCGCAGCAACAGCCCAGCCAGCCTTCAAACGGGTTATCTGATGATTGAGTTGTTTGTTCCGCCAGCAACGGTTTCATCCCTTTGCTTAATGCAGTTTTTCCCTTTGCTTAATGCAGCCTTTGCTTGAATGTAGACGTACAACAGCTGTTACAAGCCGGTGTAGCCGTTTTGGGGAGATCCAGGATTCATACCTTATGTAGTTTCAGCTGGTGTGCATGTTGTTGCAGTGTGGTGCTTCCGCGGATTTGTACTTTCGATGATTGGTCGGTGGATAGGGCTAGATTAGGGTTGTTGCATATTGTTGAAGGGATTGATTAGTAGGGCTTTTGTCTTTGGAGGTTGAGGAATATATATACGACGGGGGACGTTGGTTGGTTATATTGGACATTGAAAGACAGATGACCTGCTATATATACTACGGTTTGAGGTAGACCTGTTCTGGGTTGATAGTGGGCAGCTATCTGGTGCTGATAGATAGATATATACTTTAGTTTCGTAGATTTAGACTGCCGATTGGATGATGTGGGCAATAACAGACCATACAATCCCTTGGTCCTCTACTGAATACGCAAGCTGTATAACAAGGTCCGGCCCCTTGTGTGACACCACGGCGGCGTTACTGGGGTAATGACATGGGGGTAGAGGGTACGCAGGTCCCTGTAACGAGCCATGCGAGGGGTCTAGTCTCCTGGGGAACGGGTGGTACTGTCACTTAGTAGACTGTGTACTACTACTATCCTTGGATTTGTGAAGATGGTAGGACGGGATGATGGTGAGAAGCTGATGCTGTGGGTGAGCGATGGTGATAGTAGGTAGGGTTGCTTCAGGTGAGATGCGTTGAGGCTGGAAGAGAGTTTGTGGAGGATGCAAGGTGTTGATTGAGTTTGGTGGGGTGTATGGAGTTGAAATGTGTAGATGGATAGATTAGGGACTAGTTTGGTGATAGTCGTGGCATGGCATGGTGGATGAACTGAGTTAGTCGATACCTTGATGGTCTATTGGCTTCAGAGTTGGGTAGGGATGTTTATTGATTGACAATAAATCCCTTGATTGGTGAATCTAGGTTCAAAGATGGTTCCTGTTGTGGTCTTGACTATTCTACATTGCTGTCAGTTGTTAGAGAGGATTATTTGATCTGGCAAGAGTATGTTGATATGCGATAGGATAACCTTCAGATAAGTCTTATCGATATGATCCATCTATCCAGGAGAATTAAGCTCTCTTGAGTCCTGACGAGTGGCGAACCTTGTAACCGATATAGACTACCGGAAGCTGAGAACCATGGTCCAGTTCCATAAGCATGATAGTTAGTTCCTTGGTTGGCTTGAATCAGCCGAATTGCTGAATTCTGAATTGGTAGAGTCGGTGAGTTCAGTTGCCAGCGCATTGAATGGAATGAAGTATCCTGCATAATGCCATCAGTCCTACCTAGGTAGTAAGGTACTCCGTATGCTTGATACCTTGATATCAATGCAGAGACAACTCGGACGAATGAAGAGGGATGAACCTCCAGGGTTTGATGAGGATCGACTGCCCCAGACGCTTTAGCAGCTTCTTGTGCCGGGTGATGAAACAGTGGTTCTTCCCCTTATTATTCTGTTAGCATGATCTTTTAGCCTCTCCTACTCTATAGTATTCCTCTTGACTCGAATTATATCCAGGTGCAGCGGTGTTCGACCGAGGAGCCACGTTGCCTGGATAACTAGATATACCTAGACTCTTGATCCTGGCATTGATCCATTCCCTGATCCCAAGTAGACCGGGTCATGGATCGTGTTCTATAATTATCCAGATAATCTCTAAATAAATTACAATCCTCATCGCTACCCGCCATTGACCCGCTTTCTGCTCGGCTTGACTGGTTAGTGGTGAGAACCATCCATCTTCTCTATCTGGAGAGTATCAAGTATCATTGAAGTATCGTTTCTTTCTCCCTTTCCTCCCTTCAGTCCCTTGGGGTTTGTTATTGTTTTGTTATTGTTATTGTTCTTCTTTTGATATTCCTATCTCCTTCTTGAATTTTATTTCTTTTTATCCTGTCCTCCGTCAAGATCATTGATATCCCGCCAGACCATCTAAGCGCTCGCGCTGCTTTCCCTCTCCTCATCTCCCCCTCTCGCCTTTCATTTCCCCCATTCGATCATGATCCTCGTCTCGTCCTTCCCGTCTGGTCTTTCACTCTGGACTTGATTTTTTCACGATCAAAAAAAAAAGAATTCAATAAGAAAACAAGGGAGTAATAAGTTTAGTAATTTCAAAAATAAGAATCAATAAAATAAAATAAAAGAAATAAGCCCAAAAAATAGGAAGAATAGAGAATAAAAACAAAGAAGCGTGGTGGTTCTCATTTCGCGCCTCCCGAGGCTGCTTTTCTTTCCCTTTCCCGCGTTGGTCGCTCTCGTTTCTCCGATTCCCCTCAAGTCCACCTCCAGTCCGGTCCTCTTCCTTCCACGCTCCCCCCTCAAGTGGATTTCGTCTTCCCTTCAGCTTCCTACCCAATTCCGTCCTTGGGTTTCGGGGTTCTGTCAAGCGACGTGAGATCATTCTGCAGTGCAGAGATCTTATCCTCCCTGGTCCGCCAGAGCCTTCCCCCGTCCGCGCTTCCCAAGGAGAAGAGAAGAGAAGGGACAAAACAGAAGACAAAATAAGAAACAGAGGAAGAAAGGGAAAAAAAAAAAGTCGCCAATTCAACAAGCGAGCGCCTTGACGCGCGTTTCTCGCCTCTCAATTCCATCGCTCATTGCTTTTTCTTCTTGCTGTTCTCTGGGAATCCTTCGTCATCATTCCCGGCGATTGCACTTCTACCCCTGACCTGGTGTCCTTTGGCATTCCAAACGAACCTCCCTCGCTGTCGCTGGTCTTCGATCCGTCTGGTTTGCCGCTGCTTCTTCGCTGTCAGTCCCTCTCATCTCCACGCCATCCTTCCCCCCTGATCCGGGGGTTGGTACCCTTCCGCCGACCTGCGGCTTTTCTGACTCGGTACGACTCAATCTAGCTGCCCGACCGACCAATTTCCGAAATCCAACCAGAATTTTCGAATTGCGGAAAACGAGCTGGACAAAAAAAAGGATCCAACAGCCGAGGGCTTCAACGCTGGAGGGCATTGACGTGTCGAACTGTCGTCGCCGATCGTAATTGGTCAAGCGCAGTCCTGCGATCGGTCGCGTCTGATTGACGGGTGTCTCGAGAGGCTGTCACGGACCGCGTTGTAGCTGTCCAGCCAGCCTGTATTTGAGGCTCCGTTGCGCCGTCATTCCCCAAAGGTATGCATATCTCTCCCTCTTCCTTCATCCCCTCTCTCACATTCCACCCCCACCTCCTGCCCGCTCTTCTTCCTCCGTTGTCTATTCCAACTCTCCGCTCGGGACCCCCGATCTCTCGATTCCACGATGCTGCGTTAAAGTCGGTTGATGTCCTGGACTTTTCCAGCACGTGGAATTCCTAAATTGATTGGTATCCCGGGCCACCCAAGACAGCGCGCTAAGTTTTGAGACAGTCTCCGTCTTCCCCGACAGGTTCTTCGGCTATGAGCGACCTCCATTCGCAGTCTCTGCCGCCTCCCAGCCATGCTTCCCCCGCCGTAACCTCCGGAGCGCTGTCGTCCCCCCAGAGCGGGAACCGCCCGCCTATCCTCCCCGATCTCTCCGGTGAACCCCCAGTGGCCCCGCCACGCACGTCCTCGGCCCATCGGAACCACGAGAAGGTGCCCGGGTCTCGTCGGAAGAAGAGCAGAGGGGACGAGCGAGGCACCAGCCACCCCGAGAAGAAGGGCGACGATTCGCGTTCGCGCCGACACGCCGCCCAAGCGCCCGAGGATTCCTCGCGAGCAACCAGAGGGACGAATACCCACGACCAAGGTCCGTCGGAGCCCGGGTCCTTGATGAAGGAGTCGAGCACGGTAATCAACGCGGTCATGGTGAGCGATCCGGCAGTGGACGTCGAGCGTGAACGGGCGCGTGCGTCCGGGAAATCGACGTCCCCGCCCGCCGAGAGTGGGCCCGCCGCTGGGCTGGCCTTGGTCGGCAGCGACGGGGTGGACGACGGAGGACGCGGCGGACTGCGCAGTCGACACGATTACACCGAGCACACCGTCAAGCGCAAGGAGACCACCTTCGGCCAATATATCCTGGGACAGACGCTCGGCGAGGGCGAGTTCGGCAAGGTCAAATTGGGGTGGAAGCGCGATGGCACCTCCATCCAGGTGGCCATCAAGCTCATCCGGCGGGAGACTCTGGGGTCTAACCCCAGCCGGCTCCCCAAGATCTACCGCGAGATTGCGATCTTGCGGGACCTGGCTCATCCCAACATCGTGCGTTTACATGAGATGGTCGAGACGGATCGCCACATCGGGATCATCATGGAGTATGCGTCGGGCGGCGAGCTGTTCGACTACATCCTGAACAATCGGTACCTCAAAGACAATTCCGCGCGACGGCTGTTCGCCCAGCTGGTGTCCGGCGTCGGCTATCTCCACAAGAAGGGCATCGTCCACCGCGATCTGAAGCTGGAGAATCTCCTGCTGGATCGCAATCGCAACATCATCATTACGGATTTCGGCTTTGCGAACACCTTTGACCCGTTCGATGAGTTGGGCGATGAGATCGAGTACAACCTCACCAACAAGGACTACGTCAAGCGGATGCGCCTGGACAAGATCAACACGAAGGGCGTGCGCCGGGGGGACCTGATGCAGACCAGCTGTGGCAGTCCGTGCTACGCCGCACCGGAACTGGTCGTCAGCGATTCCCTCTACACGGGGCGGAAAGTGGACGTTTGGAGCTGCGGAGTGATTTTGGTAAGTGATGCAAGGGGAGGAACGGGGATTCACCGAGGCTGACGTTCTTTAGTATGCGATGCTCGCCGGCTATCTCCCCTTTGACGACGATCCGGCGAATCCTGACGGGGATAACATCAACCTGCTGTACAAGTACATCGTCACGACCCCTCTCACCTTCCCCGAATACGTGACGCCCCATGCGCGGGATCTCTTGCGACGGATCCTCGTCCCGGACCCGCGGAAGCGCGCCGATCTGTTCGAAGTGGCACGGCACAGCTGGCTGAGCGAATACTCGCACATCGTGTCGCATATCACGAGCAGCACCACCCAGGTCAGCGACATTGCGAACACGACGGTTCCCCAGGAGAAACCCCGGGAAGCGCCGTCGCTGGCGCGAAGTGCGTCAGTCAAAGAGCCCCCCAAGAGCCACCAGAGCACGATTCCCTCGGTGGGAGCCCTGCTGCACCAGTCCGGAGACATCTCGCAAGACCACTCGAGTGACCGATCCAAGACCTCCCGCGACACGAAGCGGCGGACGGTCCAGGTGGAATACGTGGCCCCGCAGTCCCAAACCACACGGGGTGAGGCCCCCACCGACCTCAAGATCGTCTCTCCTCCACAGGCCGGCCCTGTTGAGGTTGCACCGCCCCGGGTTCGCTCCAACAGTCAAGACGCCGCCCCCAGCCTCCCTTACGGCATCGTGCCCCAGGACGCCTCGATGGAGCAGCCCAAACGCAAGGCCCCCGCGGGCGCCATGCCGAGCCGTCCCCCGGGTGGACACCTGCCGAGATCCACTTCCGAGTCGACGCCCCTCACCGCGACGGCGACGGGGCCACCCACGTCTCACCCGGCGCGGCCCCCGACCGGCGGATCGATGACCTCGTTCAACGGGGGTCGCTTGCCGTCGCGGGGGTCCTACGGGCTACCGGTGGCGCCCACGGTGGCACAGACCAACGCGGAAGGCCGGTTGGCGCAGCCGAAGAGCAAGCAGTACCAGATCTCGGCCCCGATCCCGCAAGATCAGTCGATCGGCCGCCCCAGCGCCCAGCCGCTTCCACCGCGGTTCAATGCCACTCCCCAGCAGGAGCCGCCCAAGGGACATAAGCGGTCCAACACCGTGTCGGGCATCAGTGAGAAGCTCTTCATGCGGACTGGGTCCATTTTTGGTGGCCGTGGGGGACAGAGCAACTCTCGCCAAAAGACCAAACGTCCGCCTCCCACCAGTATGAGAGAGCCTTACGGGGGCGACGACAGCCGGATGTCCGTGGACTCGCGCCGGTCGATGTACGGCCGCAAGACGAGCGAGGCGGGGAGCGATAGCCGGCCGCGCCGGTTCTCCCTCCTCCCGCCGTCCTTCTCCCTGAAGGGCCTCTCCTCCAGCCGATCGCAGACCCCCGATGAGGACCCTCACGCCGAGCAACCGCCGGACCACCGTCTCCAGCAACCCCCCTCGACCGGAGCGATTCGACCGCGCGCGCGCGCAACAAGCTACGCCACTCCCGACGCCATGAGCAGCTCTCCCGAGGGCGCCCCGGCGGATGAGGTAGTGGACCAGGACGAGCCCCTCAACGACCCGTCTCGCATCGAGCAGCACATCTCCGAGCTGCACGGGATGCCGTCCAGCACGTACCAACCAACCTACAACAGCGCGTCCGCCGAGCAAGTCTACCCCAACCACGAGCACGACCACTACTATCGACACCGGTACGCCAACCATTCCACGCCGTCTTACTACGACGACTACAACGGTCCTGGTCCGTACTCGGCAACCCCGCGACAGTCCACGCAGACCGGCCGCTCCGGACGTGGGTCGGGCGTGTTACACAAGAACCACCGGAAGTTCGCCGACGCCTACGAGTACGAGCGCGACCTGTCCCACCAGCCGGGCAGTTCGGGTGCGGCCAGGAAAGTCATGGACTTTTTCCGTCGACGTGCGAAGTCTCGGGTTGGGGACGACCGGTAGTGGTCTTTGTCTGCCTTGGCCTTTCCTCTTCAATTTGGAAGGTCGACAACGACGGCTTTTGGTTTCTTGGTTTGCCTGTCACAGGACGGCAAATATCACCGAGAAGCAGGGTAGATCCGCCTTCCCGTCTCCATCACCTTTTCTCTCACCTTTTCTTTCGTGATTCAATTGAACATCGAATATATGGTCCATACACGTCGGTCTGGACCTGCGGCGTCTTCCCGGAGGACTCAGACTCCAATTCAAAACAAATTACAGACGAATCACTCACTTCCAAGGAGGAATGGCTCTGAGATAGTAAGATCTCCAGAGCAGACAGAGCAGAGCAGAGCGGTCATTTGGATACCCGATACCGATACCCTTTGATACCCACGCAGTTTTCGCCTCCTCCCTTATGTTTGTTTGTTTGTTGTTGCATGCGGCCATTGCTATTGTCGTCGGTTTATCGTACTGTATCAGCCAGCAACATACATACATACCTACCATTCCATATCATATCATACCGCTCTATTGCATTTTTCCCCCTTTTCCTGCTTGATATCTTATTTTCTGTTCTTCCTGATGATTTCTTCATTTTTTTTTATCTTCTTCTTTGACTTTTGCTTTTTACCCAAACAATCCATGTCTCGAATAAAGTTATCATTATCATTATTATCATTATTTATTTCCTTTGTGAACAGCTTTTTTATCCCTTTTATTTTTTTTCTACTTTTTTTCTTTTATTTATTTCTATGTGTTGATTCATTCGCCCTGTCTTTATAATGCATGGAATTGTAAATTGACCTCACTTATCTTATCTTTTCTTTCTCCCTCCCTCTTATTCTGTGGGGAAGGGAGGGAAATAAACTTATTATTTATTCCCTTTAGTGCTCTTGTTTCATTTGGACGGAGGTGTATGTTATGTAGGCTTGGGTTGAGTAGGACAGTAGGATTAATTCTTATTATACTCTGTAGATTTTCTACGCTCTACGGTCTTTCGGCTTTTTCATCCCTGTTATAGGTAGTTAGTCAACTGTTGAAGCGAGGGGTGGGATCTACCAATGGAATGATATGGGACTGGATGGTTAGTTAGTTAGCTAGCTGATGGGTAGGCGAGTAGGTAGTAGGTAGGGTAGGCACATCGATGTCTGTTGAGTAAGTGGTATTCTGGAGTAAGTAGTCTTTAGATAACTAACGAGGTACTTGGTTGGAAAGGTTGTTAGTTGATGTACATAGATAGGTGGGAGGTAGGAGGTAGTAGGTAGTAGGTAGGAGGTAGTAGGTGAGGTACCCTATGGTATATAGATTGATGGTGGATAGATGGATGGATCCATGATGAATGATCACTTCACTGGATGATGGATAGTAGGCAGAGAAAGGGCTTGCATGCTAAGCTAAGTGTGGCGCTGGCTTGGTAGTTATGTGTCGCAATGTAAGGTCTTATTTATGAAAAGTTAGTTGCTCACAAAGCACAAAGCGTCGATCTCTTTTCAATTCTAGGTCCTGTGTACTATACTATGTCCTATGTGCTATACTGTGTCCTATGTACTATACTATGTATTATGTTCTATGTAATATGGACTACGTAGGTACTCTAGGTAGAGTACTGGTTAGCCGGCAGGCAATTTTATATCAATAATTTGATTAATAGACGAGAAGAATTGTTATATACAAAATGTCTCCATACTATGTCCTATTTACAAGCACTATCACTGGGTAAATACTTCCATAAACAGCCTATAACAGGCCATGAACTCATACCCAGTAGATATAGATGGCTATATCAAAAACGTCCAGAAACTAGGAAACACCAACTCCTCCTCGAAAATGCGCCGCACCTGCGCCAGCACAAAGCGCTCTACCTTGCCGACGTTCTTCAGCACCTGCTTGCCGTCTTCTTTGCGGCCTATCTCGCTCTCCACGCGGATCTCCTGCAGCAGGCCGCCGCTTTGTCGCTTTGGTGAGGTTGGTTGTTGTTGTTGCTGTTGCTGGTGCCCCGTGGAGGAAGAACGCGTCGGGTCTTGGTGGGTGAGTTCGGAGCCGATGAGGGCGTCTGCGTCTTCTGCCGAGAGGAAGCAGAAGTGGACGCGCCGGCGGATGTAGGCTATGACGGCTACGCCGTCGAAGGTTAGGCCGGTGACGTTGAGTTTGAGGGGAAGGCCTGCGAAGCTGGGCATGGGGTAGTCGAGGAGGATCTCCGCTGTGAGGGAAAGCCGGATGTCGCCGGCGTATTTGGCGTGGCAGAGGACTTGGAAGTCTTCGGGGCGGCGCTCGCGCATGCGCGGTGGGAGACGCATTGGAGAGGTTTCGTGATCTGGTTCGGCCGGGGGGTTGGAGGTGCTGGAATCACTGTTGTGGGAGCCGGGGTTGCTGTTGTGGTGGGTGTGGGATGGTGGGTGGGTGCTTGATGTGGAGGGTCGTGATGTGGGGGGATTGCTGGAGTCGACGTCCCCGCTCCCTGTCTGGCGGTTGATGGGGTTTGGGGCCGTGGGTTCCGTGGCCCAGTTATTGGCAAACGGTGTGCCGCCTGCCACGGCGGCGAGAGGCGTCTGCGTGCCGGACAACGCGCCCAAGGACATGAGGTGGTAGCCGAGGGTGGAGGTGCCGACGGGGATGCCGGGGGTGCCCGCGCGGGGGAGGAAATGCGGGTTGAGGTGGTCCATAGGCGACCGCAGGCCCGACGGGGGCGGTTCGCCGAAGGGGTCGCGGAGTCGCTGGTTGGTCCTGGCTAGCTCATCCCGGGAGTCGAGGAATTCCGAGTGTGTCCGACCCCAACTGCTCCCGTCCTCGTGGGCCGAGACCAGCTCCTCGGAGGTGTCGGAGATCGCATCATCGTCCTCGTCCTCCTCGTAGAAATCGGCAAACGGTTCGCATAGATCCTTGATCTCCAGATCAGGGGCGATCGTGCCGAAGTCGAAGGAGTGGACGTGCACGGAGCGGATAAAGCGCGGGAGGGCGACTTGCTGGAACTTATCGTGGATGAAGGAACGGATGCGCTCTGCCAGGGCCTCGCCGTCCGGACCGGAGGTGGCTGCGCGCCAATCAACTTCGATGGACATCACATGTGCTGAGAGGGCGAAGAAACACGATCCCGGCAGGGGGAAATCGCCAGGAAGGACATATCGAAGGGGGAAGAGGAGAAGAGGAGAAGTTGAGGTTGGAGTCCAGAATTCGGATCCCCGGTCACGCCCCGGTCACGTGCAACCAGCCCCATCAAATCCAACGACATCACTTCTTCTCCCCTGTCTATCCACCAACTTCCTCGTCCTAACCAGTCCCTGCAACGTCTATTAGACTGAAGATATCATTCCCAGCAAAAAAGAACAATGCACAGGGGATGGGAAATGGTGGTCTATCCTCTCCTCGGAACATACACCGCTTTGAGATTGGAGGACCCAGCACTCTGGTTCACCAGCCACGTCCGGCCCTGATCCGGTCTCAATAATGCTCTCCTAGCGAGAGGGCACAGCAGCTCGGCGGCACAGGACAGAGCACCCCCCAGGAGCGGTGTGGAGGCCAGTCCCACGAGTGTCTGCCTCTCTGCTTTGATTCATAGGCCGTGGTCTTCTCCCAGCAGCCTCACCCGCAGCCAACACTGGTCACGCCTGCCATCGATCATTGGCCTGTTGCAGACATCTCTACTGTGAAAGTCCAAATTCATCAGGAGAAATATCCGGATGGATCTCTTTGTTCTTTCATTTCCTTGACTTTCACCCTGGTCCTTGCCCGACCTTGACAGCAGCCTATACCAATCCATGGCCAGAGATCTCCGCATTTCGCTTTCTTTGTGAGGTGATGAATTATAAAAAAAATAAGAAAAAGAAAACAGAAGAAAAAAAAAGAATCTGTTTTCAAAACGAAAAAGGTAAATTAATAATAACAATCCTAATAATTCCACGACTCCGCGCCAAGATCCTCCATGCGGTGCCTTCTGTGATGAAATCACAGACAGACAGAACCGATACCCATCACCAACAGCAAGAACAACACAAAACAGCGTTACATCCAACAACTTGGATTCACTTTATATATCTGGATAGTTCTCCCATCAACCCCGATCCTTGCGGTGCTCCAGCACCTCCAGATCCCGCATTCTCCTCTTGCCTCACCCTCCACCGACCACTCGTTCCTTCCTACCTAGTATCGTTAGCCCCGTCCGGGACCAATTACCGGACATACGCGCGGTCCCCTCCCTCACTAACTGACTCAGTGGCCAGCGCCTCGCACATGCATGTTCGTTGGCCTTCCAGCCAGGTCGCGGATCTCGCCACCGTCGTCCCCCCGGCTCTTCATCTGATTTGCCGGCCATTAATCAGATGACGAGAGTCGTCTGCGGTGCTAATGCAACCCGCTGATGTACACTGTTCATCATTGCGACAGGGGACTGCAATTTTGTTATCTTATTGCCCCGTTACTTCTTGGGCCCCTCTTTTTCCGTCTCCTAGGGTTCGATAAGCGATTGGATGGCTGGAAGAACGCGCGCACACACACACACACACACACCACTGTGAGGAGGGGCAAAATCACCATCCTTCTAAATTGTAGAAGAATTGTAGAAGAAAATGTGCCATGTTGATCGTCGGTGGGACCGAACCCCGTGGTGCTATTTGGGTATGAATAGCGTCATCGTCACCGTTATCAACTGTCTATGTAGATGTTGGCCCGGGGAGTAAACAGCATGGCACTAGTATTGTCTTATGCCCTTAGGATCATCTTATGTTCATGCCGTTGAAGAGCGCAGTAGTCATTGCCCAACGGGGCAGGAATCTACCTACACTAGTTACTTGGGAGCAGCGAGTCTTGCACCCGATGATATCCAACCGTCCACCCATCCACCTCAACCCTCTACCGACCCATCTACAACCCATCCCAGACAGTCTTGCCAACAACAAACACCAGCATCAAGAGCCACCACTTCAGCCAGGAAGAGAAGGGAAAGCAAAAGACACGTAGGAGGCGTCCATGCCCCAAACACCCGTGTAACACAGGCAAGAAGCGACCAAAGCCAATGCAAAGACGACTGGCTCTGGGAGCACCGTTCAGGGAGAATACGCTTTATGCTTCCTTTCTTTCTTCCTCTCTTCATATGTTGCTTTCGGCCAGACCGTTCCTTGCCTCGCTTGCATTTCTGGCTTATCTTGTCTTGTCTATCTTACCTTTCTATTCAATCCATCTGTGTAAGGATCACGGTGTGCGTGGCTGACAGCGCATTACGCTGGTCGGGAGGATCGGACCGTCTTGGTCAGTGGACTGTTGCTTAGGTAGGGGATTCTTTCTGTAGCACGAGGTTGAATTGAGACTGTGCGGGGCTTGGGATGTAGGGAGATGCTGCCTATTGCATTGCACTTTCAGGTTATTTGTCTGGTGTGCATGTGGTAGGTCTGGCTTTGCAGATCGGTTGGGCGAGTATACAGTAGTGAAATGGATGTAGTGTATGCTGGATAGACGGTCTGGTTTGATTGATTTGCTGGCTTTGTTCTGCTTCTTTTGGGGCTATATGCAGACTATCAGAGTTTGGATTCTGTTGGTTTTATGCTGTACTTAAGTGACTGGTTGAGAATACCTAGGCAGATAGATAGATAGGTCATACGTGGGGGAAACACATCTGAAGAGTATAGATACTGAATATGTAGCAGATAGATAGACACTCCAACAGTAATTAATCAATGATAGTCAGGACAAGCAATAATCCTCAAGCAATGGCACTGGGAACCATGATACTTCCGCAAGACAGAACAGATCAAAAACAAGAGCAGCAAGAGAACAAGAAGTAGCAGAACCACAACAACAACAGTGGTGTATAGTAGGTATTCGGAAACAAAACTCGAGACATCCCCCCAATACATTTTTTTTGATCATTTTCTCTCCTTTTCTGGTTCACCCCTCAAAAGAAACGAAATGAACGAAATAGAACAGACAGAACAGATTGAAACTCCCTTGCTCTCGGCATATAACCTGCAGCTAAACCAAGCAGCACATCAGGCGAAGCAAGCAAGACCAAGACAGACATAGACACGCTGCTTTGCGTGTCTTGACTCTCCCCTCGAAGAGTGACTGCACAACCAGCCTAGTCTAAAATCCATCTCTAGCCCCCATGGTTCGGGCAGACGTAGCCATCTCGTCGGCGGATCTGGGTTCGTACCCCAGTGCAAGCTGATGTGCCGCGCTTTGCGCAGAAGACGATCTCTTCCTCGGGCACGGCGCAGCCGCAGTCGTATTTCCAGACGTATTGGGAGCACATTTTGACTGATTGACTGAGTGACCGAGTGACTGGCTTGGTAGATGGGACGAGAATGGGTCGTAGAATCAACAAGTCAGGTAGATAGACAGTGCCGTGGTGTAGTACCAAGTACTATGTAGATTGGTGGTGGTAGAAGTAGAAGTAGAAGAAACTTGTGTATGTGGCTTTTTTTGGGGGCCGGAGGGTTTTCTAACTCTAGGACAAGAGAAAGAGAAAGATGGAGAGAAAGCTGCTGAGATTGTTGTCGTTGTTGTTGTTGAAGTTCGTTGGGTCCTGGAGGGCCTTAAATATAGGACTCGGTGTTCCCGGCGCAGGTCGCAGTAAGTAGAGTGATGATTCTCTTAGTAGGCTGCAAAAGGGTTGGAGAGAGATTGTCGGATGGTCTGCGCACGAACTGTGCCGCACAACATAAGGCAACAGCGCCGTTCTACACGAATTAACTGAGGGCAAATGAGTAACTATAGGGCCTGACAGGGGGTATAAAATATCATTCACTGTGGAAAATAAATTTAAATGGAGTTTAAAAAAAAGAAATGGCAAAAAGGGGGACAGGGATGCTTTCAAGTATACTATGAAGAAGGTTGGTCAAGGAAAAGAAAATGATAGTAATGATAATAATAATCGAATCAGATCAAACTACGCCTTGCATTCTATTCGCTTGTAAAAAAGAATAAAGGGGAAAGAAAATTGGGAAAAAAAAAAGTGTTATTCCTTCGCCCTTCCTGCAGCCCGGGGGGACCCATATGGAAATGCGCCGCAAGAGTTGGTGATTCGATCTACATCACGCTGCAAAGGAAACATTCCCAACGAAATGCTTCCGACGAGCAAATCGAAGCGGTCCTCGCCCCGAAGGCTACTGCACCTGATTTCCCCAACACCAGAACAGGACGGGCGGCTATGCGGATCATCTGTGAAGGTGGCGTGCACCGGGAGCTGGAGGGGGGTAAGGAGAGAGGGGACGAAGGGAAAGGAAAGGAGAGGCAAGGCGAAGGTCAGTCAGTCAGGTTAGCCTCGGGGGAGGGTACGCATCATGCTCGCTGGACCAACATACCTCGACGAACCATGATAGTCACGCCTGTCATCCTTGTTCCAAGCTCTTCGTAGACTTCCGCAAACGCAATGCATCATGGGAAAGGAGAGAAGCACTTGACATCATCCTGAAGACACGCACCGACACTGCCCTGGAAGTTAACAGGGCCAGCCACATATGCAACCTTAGAATCCAACAGCTGTGTAAGCAAATCAGTTGCCGCAGCGGCACCAACACCATTCCCTCCATCCCGGGGAGGTGGAGGTCATGTCGCAGACCGACGGCTCAGGAAGCTGTCTCGACGGCGACTCCGGACCGGTCCATCTGACGACTGTCACGCAGCCGACGCCCGTCAACAGACAGACGTCTTCCCACGCAGCCGTCGGTTATCATGTGTCCTTGGGTGGGCAGGAGAAAGCGGAGAGGGGGGAATTTCCTGGAGCCAACCAGACTGCTGCTCTCCTCCCGTGATTTCCGATATCAAGCGCGAATCTGGTGATTGCCGGATCTCCCCTTTCTCACCATCATCAACCCCCCCACTCTCTCTGGCTCTCGACTGACCGTGTCTGGTCCCGGTATGCCTGACCTGCGGACGAATGGTCCACTCATCAAGAGAAATGGCGCAGTTTTTGGTCATCTCTGGTCGTGATGTTCCCCCGCATTGACCTTCAAAGAGGCTGTATGGGAGGCAGTATTTGGTCGAAGAACGCCTGACAGGTCAGGGGCAACGGAGATCAGGGATGCATCTGCAAGAAAAGCAGTGCCATCACAATCCGAACCGTTTACTCAAGGCCCAGCCAATACATTTGACCCGAAGGGGTAGGCGCAGTTGGTGACATCTAAGGGCGCCGGTAAGGCTAATTTGCATCTCTCTCTTTTCGAATACCTCTCATTCTCTCTTTCCTTTTCTTTCTTTTCGTTTCTTTGCCTTTCTTTCCTGTTTCAAGTATTCTCATCCGTTCTGAGACCGGCACGAGTACTGCCCGTAGTTGACAATGGCACAGAGATCCGAAGCCCACGATCGTCGGCCACGACGGCGGAAAATCACTCATACCAGGCGTTTGCGGCGCCGGCGTCATATGGCACAGGGTTTTGGCAGTCGGCTAAATCGCCAGGAACATGTGCCAGGAACAGCCCAGACTCCATCGATGGAACGCTCCTTTCATCACCCTGACGAGCATGGCAAAGGAATTAAGCTGTCGGCACAGCACTTGCGGCGCTCTTTGCTTGGAGGAGGGGAGGGTGAAGAATGGATGGCCAGGAGCGTCTGAAACTCTCAGCCGCTGAGCGTTCTGCGCCACGAATGGAGTGACGGAGCGATACGGCGCGGAGAATGGGGGCGCTAAATGGCCCCCTCCTGCGAGGGCACGGCCTCATATTAAGCGCCGTTGGCAGGGCGAGAGTACTGGCAAGGCAGAGAGGTGTTCATCACGGTCCTCTCGCCTTTTCGATCGGGTTTCGCTTTTGTTTCGTCGTTGTTTGTTGATTGTTTGGTTGTTTGTTCTGGTTGTGGTGGATGAGCGGGCACGTGACTGGTACGCGCTGCGCCGCTCGTTCTTCACTTTGCCTCAGTTCTTCATTGTATTTGCATCTGTGTTTATCTTTGTCTTGCTTCTCCTTTCGCTGCAGCAGTGCTGACTCTCAAGAAAGACATTTGTATTCAACCAAGTCTCATTCCGTGTCAGACGGATCCTGTTGATCCTGCGTTGGGGCTATCCGAGGATGAGACCGCAGCAAGGGCTTACCCATTCCAACCACCGTGACAGGCTCTAGAAGCTGTCTGGAAGTTATCTCAACCCTTTACTGAGCCAAGCATTGTTCTAGAAACAAGATGCCCGGACCGGGTCAGGTGAACAGCAGGAATGCCTCAGGAATGACGTATCAGATACGGTCCCATACTGTATTCTCGCGACGTATCGGAAATAACCCTAACTTGCATAGCTGCGGATCATCCGAGGTTGCTGGTTGCTGTTCGGGTTGCGTCGGCCTCGAGGAAACGAGCAAAAAGCCACTTCTGCGCACATGCCCGTACGGGCCTATTGGATTTGATTCTACTTTTTGGTTCAGTTTCCTCAGGGAGTAACACCCTCCACTCTACGCCCGGTGGTGGTTGATCCCCCGCGAAAGATAGGGGCGGTATGATGGTATCGAAGTATCAATAGGGGTTACAGGATGGACCCGATGGGGCCACTGATGGGTTTTCGGAAACTCGCACAGCCAAGAGATACAGACGAAGTGGGAATCCATTATTAATGACGTGTTAAAACATGTGAAGCCTTTACCCCGTCCAGCGTGTTTTGTGATCCACCGTCGGGTGTGGGGAAAGTCTCGGCTTATCACGTCGTGTGCAGATCGTCGACCCTTCCCGGAATCATCCTTCATGCCCGGCGATACCCCCTCTTCGAATTGACCTATATAAGGGCCCTCAATTCCGGGGGAGAATCTTCTTCTCATCTTTCCTGACCATCTCTCTCTCTCTTCTTCTTCTTCGTGGAAAAAATCTTCTCTACAAAAGTCCTCCGACTAAAAGTCTCAAAAGTCTTCCCCACAACTCCATCCTACTAGTACTTCTACCCCTCCAACCTCAACTCCACCCACTCTCAACTCTCACAACAACCCTCCTCAACCAAAACAACCATCAAAATGTACTCCTACACTCCCACCAGCAAGTTCCTCGTCCTCGCCCCCATCGAGGCCGGTCCCTCCTCCATCAACCCCGCCGACCAGTCCGCTGCCGCAGTCCGCGAGCGCTCCAGCAGCCAGTCCTCGACAGTCTCGGTGGGCTCGCAAGTAGGCGAAGCCGTCTCCTCTCTGCCGCAGGCCTTTCTCTACCTGGGAATGGACCAGCGGAAGTAAATCACTTTAATGTGCAGTCGTTTGTCTGCCACGGCGACATGCATGCATGTCCCCGTCTTCGCACCGCTCGCGCTGGCCACGACTAGTCTCCTCTGCTCTACCTGTCTCACTGCTGGGTATCTACCCATTCACCAAGACATAGGATTGTTGGTTTATCCTAGCCGATGATGAACTGGGCTCCGTAAGAATCAGCGGTGGAGGAGTGAGGAGGGGGGAGGTGGAAGGCTGCATGTGGCATTCGTACATGTTATTTTATTCTGGCGCTTTTCTTTTTCTTTTCAGTACTTTATTACCTGCTCTGTTCGTGTTGAGCCCAGACAATATGTCTATTTGCATGCTACAGGTATACCAACTACCAATGATACCTCACACCACCATATCTACATACAACCACCCCTCCCTCGTAGAGACGTAGACCAATGTTTTCCCACCCCTCGAAATGAGATGAACAAAAAGGGGCCACTCTCCCAAAATGATCCACCCCGCCAAGCCAACCGCAAGCCGGATCATCAACAGATTGTGTTCCCTCGCCAAGGAACAAATAAAGTGGTATGATCGACCGACGGAGACCGCCAAGAAAGGCGGGCAGGGTGGTGGTACCTTGGTGACTGTATGTACTTTGGGACAACATGTCATATTTTCTACCCCTTGCTAGGGGTGCCAAGAGATAAGAGATAGGCTTATTTAATTCTATTTGTTTTGTTTTGTTTTTCTTTTCTTTTTTTTTTCTTTTTCTTTTTTGGGTTGTTTTGCTTTTAGCGGAGAAGACGGATAGAAGGAAAGAAAGGGAGGGGCGGCGTGGGATAGATGGACGGGGGCGGGATTAGCCCTAACTTTCTTTTCTTGTTCTTTCTTTCTTTCCTGGGTCTATCTCTCATTCAGCTACGCTCTTAGAAGGTTATCGCCTAAATGAAAGGTCACTTGACATGCTCCCGGTGAAGACAATGAATGACCAAGAAAGTCAGTCAGCGATACCGGAGTCCCAAAACGGAAATATCCCGTTGGCGATCAGTGATGCGGCGGGGAGGGGAGGAGAGGAGAGGGGAGAACAGGACACAGGACCCAGGAAGCGAACCACGACTGTAGCAAAGGAAAAAAAAGCAAACAAGCCCAGGCCAAGCAGATCAATAGATTGGCTCAGCATGACCTGTCTTCTCTCCGGACGCCGGAAAGGGCAAGGCGAGGGGTGCTGAGCTACCTTAGGTTCTATCTCCCCACATCCTGCTAGGCTGTTTACGTAGGTAGGCAGGTTGTTAGGCAAGATGAAGTCTGCATAGACCAGTGAGAGGGATTGATCTGGACACGCGTACTTTATCATCATAAAATGTGGGTAGATATCCATGTTGCATATTTGCACAGCCCAGTTCGGTCAATTTCGACAGACACTTCCATGCATATTAGGCAGCGAGGAGTCAACACCTGTGCATTGCGCAGTGCCCAAGGGGGTAAGGAAATGAGATTCCATCTAGATCTAGCACCCCAGTGTAACCCCTGATAGCATCTTGACTCCGCCTAACTTTATTCCTTCGACATGCTAAACTAAACTATTGTTTCGTGCCAAGATGCATGCACGGGGTCACGAGGCCATCCTTATCTTTGATTACGCTTTTGTCTTGCTTTATTTGGTTTGTGTGTGACTTGGTTCGGTATGTGGTATTACTCGTACCTGGTCCTGTATTGCCTTGATGCGTTTAGACTATACGTCATGTTGATGCTGTTGCCGTTGCTGTCTGATTATACAAATATAGCATATCTAATATCAAGTTATGTACATTCTATTACTATATCTTTATACACATGCACATACGCACTTGATTTTCTCACCAGCTCGAAGTCTTTCCCTTTCCGTTTAAGGGCTGTGGCTGTTGCCGTGTTCTTTATTCCAAGTCCCTGGTCGCCCGTGGAATATGTCCATACTAACCACCACAAGGCCACTACGATGTTCATCATCAGAGCATCAGCAAGTATGACTGTCACCAATAGTATGCTAGTTAGGGATATTCAGATCATGCTCCAGCCAGTAGAAATCCATGCAGGCCTTGGCTCCCAGATGCTAGCAGCGACCTGGCTTATGATAGGATTTTCCATTGCGTCCGCACTGGCTTGGGTGGTAGGGTCTTGTTGCTGCTGTTTTTAATACCTTTTTCCTTAATATCTCCCTCTCTTAGCTAGTATATGTAGCGTAGATTGTCTTGAAATTAATTAGTACTGCGGAAAGTACTAATCCGATTCTTGAATATACTGACAACCATACTGGGCAAACTTATCATCACAATTGAGAGAAGGAGCAATGTGACCGACCACCCAGGCGCCTAGAAGCTCACTTGGAGCTTAAACGGCTCTTTCTCATGGAAAACGCCTCCTCATGATCCAGTATTCAATAGATGGAAATCTGGTATTGGTCTTATGGCACTTTATACGTCATTAATAACCTTCTGGGTCATGCTGGATGAATGGCATCAAGCTCTGTAACGAGGTACCCTGTATTCCTGACGAGTTATCCTGCACAAATTATCTACCTCTGCAGGCCGTACATGGTCTGGCCAAGCCTACATAATGGGCTGTCCTCTTCCAGTGCTGGAATATAATCGTTCCTACCGACAGGTTCGAGTAGGCTGCCGTCAATGCATATTTTATTCGCCTGAGTCAAACGCTTGTTGTGTATGTTGACTCTGCCTATTCTCTTGTTTCTATGAAGTGATGGCGACGAAGTGGGGCGGCACAAGGTTCTTGGGTTTCTCACTCTGATCCTTGCCATTTTTTCGTGTGTCCTCTTGCATCGGGTTGATAGCCCTGTAGCCAGATTACCTATGACAGCTGTGTCCACTCCCGTTGCCATACCACCCATATAGCCTCATGGCTCTGACCACTCTCCTCCCACTCCACCTTGAGCTTGCCTGATTTAACTTCAGGCAGATCGATACTCTACAATCTTAAGATTGGTGACCATTCAATGCCCAAGGGTAAACATTGATACTTACCCACGGGTAATTTGAATCCCTGTAAATCTTTGCACCTGATTGTTGCATCTGAGTTCGGATTTCCGCAGGGAAGTTTGCTGGCGTGTTGCTCTATTGGACTTTGTTAAGTTGCAAGTCCGTTTGCCCGCGATTAAGACTCACCAATTTCAATTCCTTCCATTCTGCCTCTGCCGTTGGATCTGGGGGATCCTGCGGAGGCCGAGGGCTCCCCTCAATAGGGGGATACATCTCATCCACCGAATACTTGTGATCCATTGGATTGAATTAGAATATTTTTTCCCAAACCTGCCGTATTGGAATTTGCAAGACGAGGAACCTTCCTTAGGGTGAGTAATGAGATTTGACTGACGAAAATGGGATGAGGGAAGAAGCAGCGGTTTATAAGCCTGAGAATCCCCGGCCTTGTCCCTCACCTCATGCACAAGGCTAACACCTTCTCCTTCAGTAAGCGCTAGGATTTCGAGTCTCGTATTTATTTGCCCGTGCAGCCTCGTTGTACTGCTTTTAACACCCAGATGACGGTCCAACCCCGCTCCTATGTCAATTCATCCCGAGGCTACAACACAAACACCCTGTAGATGACTATTGCTCACTAGCTGTTGCCCAAAGAACAGAGCGCTTGTGCATTTACATCCGTTCAGCGAGGTACTGTCATTCCAGCCTCGTCTACCATGTTGAACCCAAACGAGTACACAGTAGGCTGGATTTGCGCCGTCATGACTGAATATGTTGCCGCCCAGTCAGTCCTTGACGAGGAACATGAAGGGCCAGAGAACGTGGCCCCGAATGACAATAATACCTACACTCTAGGGAAGATGGGGAAACACAACATTGCCATTGCCGCCCTTCCTGATGGTGAATATGGTACAGATACGGCATCGGCTGTGGCAAGGGACATGCTGCATAGCTTCCCCAATGTGCGGGTTGGACTTATGGTTGGTATCGGAGGCGGGGCTCCGAGTCCAAGACATGATATCCGCTTGGGAGATATCGTAGTAAGTGCGCCAGGCCGTGATCATGGCGGCGTTTTCCAGTACGACTTCGGAAAAACAATCCAAACGCAAAGCTTTCAACAGGGCAGGTTCTTGAATCAGCCACCCATGGTCCTGAGGACGGCGGTCACTGGAATCAAATCTGAATACGAGAGAAAGGGCAATCAGCTGGAAATGAAAATTAACGTCAGGTTGGCACAAAATCCAGTGATGAGAGAGAAGTATGCTCGGCCAGATCCGAAGACTGATCGCTTGTATCACTCCCACATCCTCCATGTGGTAAGCGACCGCGATTATTGCATGCACAGTTGTTCAGATACACCAGAATCTTTGGTTTCACGGATTGCTCGAACAACGGAGCAGGGTCCAATGGTTCACTACGGCCTTATTGCATCAGCAAACCAGCTGATGAAGGATGCCTGCGTTCGTGATAAGCTGTCCGCAGAGAAGGATGCTCTTTGTTTTGAAATGGAAGCTGCTGGTTTGATGAACCATTTCCCCTGCTTGGTCATTCGTGGTATCTGTGATTACTCTGATACTCACAAGAATAAAATATGGCAAGGGTATGCTGCGATGGGGGCAGCTGTCTACGCAAGCGACTTGCTGAAAAAGATTCCTCCCGCTCGGCTTGAACATGAACGAAGGCTAGCCGACATTGTAGTATCTGGTATGTAGATCGAATTGCATTCATGATGGGCTTGCAATGACATATATTCCAGTTCAGAAAGATGTCCAGGAAAACAACCTGGCTACTCAAAGTATTCTTTCAATACAGCAACAAGACCAGATCAAACGTTGGCTAGCGCCGCCTGATCCGTCACTCAACTATCACAAGGCATTGGCACAGCGGCACAAAGGTACAGGTCTGTGGTTTTTACAGAGTACGGAGTTTACACACTGGAAGGCCCAGCACCACTCCTTACTATGGCTCCAGGGCATTCCCGGCTGTGGCAAGACAGTCCTCAGCGCCACCATGGTGGAGCACCTGACTGACACACTGCATCTCCAGCCGGTGTTATACTTCTACTTTGACTTCAATGACACCAGAAAACAGGCCTTTGATAATATGCTTCGGTCTTTAATTATTCAGCTTTTCTGCATGCGAGAGGCAAGTCAAAAGTATCTCAAAACCACATTCGCCTCTTGTAACGAGGGGCTGCAGCAACCCAGCAATGGATTACTCCAGAAGACCTTTCTTAGTATGATTGATCATATTGAAGACGTCTGGATTATTCTGGATGCTGTTGACGAGTGTTGCACGCGCAGCGCATCCGCAGAGGATGGGTTACTTGGGTGGATAGGAGACATACACCGTACACAGAAAAATATCCACCTTCTCTTCACTGGTCGAGCAAACCAAGATATTGTTTGTGAAGTCCAAGAATTGGAAGGATCCATTAATATAGTGGAACTCCAGAGCAGTTTCATCTGCGCCGATATCCGCGAATACGTTCACGCAAGGATCAGACTGAGCAAGGGATTCAAACGATGGCGATCGAAACCGCATGTTCAAGATGAGATTGAAAGAGGCCTAATGGAGCGCGTGAATGGAATGTAAGGCAGTCATAGTTTTCTCCCATCGTGGCCCCATTAGAAGCTAATATATACAGGTTTCGATGGGCAGCATGTCAGCTTGACTCGCTGCAGAAACATCTCGATGTTCGCAGTCTCCGTGCTGCACTAGAATGCCTTCCGGAGGGGTTAGAAGAGACGTATTCCCAGATTATACAGAGTATTCCCGAGCGTTACAAAGCGCGGGCTACACTAATACTCCAGCTTCTGGCCTTTTCTGAGCGACCGCTGCGGCTTTCTGAGGCTGTCGATGCCATAGAGGTGGATCCGGAAAGCGAGCCATATTTTGATCCGGAATATCGGATGCCCGATCCTAATGAAGTTTCCCAATACTGCTCCAGCCTTGTGATTGTGGTTTCCGTCAGTGAAAAGGATATTGTCAAGGCAGACGACAAAGAACTTCATCTGGCACATTACTCTGTCAAGGAGTACCTGGTCTCGGGCCGTGTGGGTGTACAATTCGATAAGCACTTCCAGCAGACGGAAGGGAGAGCCGCAATTGCTGAGATCTGTCTGGCATATCTGCTGCAACTGCGTGAGGACTTGACCAGACGCGAAATTATAGAAAGGTTTCCCTTCGCGGTGTACGCTGCACAGTACTGGATCGGCCATGCCAAAAGCAGGAAGAAGGAACAAAATAGTTTGGGTCAGCTGATAATGGACCTTTTAAAATCCCACCGACAGGCATACACCAATTTTCTTCGTTTATACAATCCGGACCGTTTGGTGGACGAATGGGGCCCGGATATATACAACGGAGAAATTAAAGCTGCCGCCGGGTTGTATTATGCTTCGTTGGGGGGCTTAGAAACGGAAGTGAAAGCGATTCTGGAACTCGGATGCGATCCGAATGCCCAAGGCGGCGTTTACAACAATGCGCTCCAAGTCGCCAGTCTTGCAGGCCATGATGCCGTTGTCCAAATGCTGCTTGACTGGGAGGTTGATGTGAATGCGCAGGGCGGACTTTACGGGACTGCTCTCCAGGCTGCTTGCAGCCGTGGTATCAACAGTATTGTACAAAACCTAATCGCTTACGGTGCTGATAGAAATATACATGGTGGAAGATACGGCAGTGCGGTCCAGGCTGCTGCTCAAGGCGGACATGCAAGGACCATTTTGATACTGCTTAACCATGGAGCCGACGTCAATGCACAGGGTGGAAAGTATGGCAGTGCTCTTCAAGCTGCCGCTCATGGAGGTCATGAAATCACCGTTCGGGCGCTTCTTGATCGTGGTGCTTCAATCAACGCTCGGGGTGGGGTTTACGGTACTGCCCTTCAAGCTGCATGTCAGGCGGGACATGAGAGGGTTGTTAGGTTGCTCCTCGCAAGAGGAGCTGACGCCCACGCTACAGGTGGACTATATAAGAGTGCTCTCCACGCTGCGTGCCAACAGAGTTGTGAATGTGTCGTTATCGCATTAATTAACCACGGGGTTGATGTCAATTCTGGGAACGGGACTAATGGTGATGCTCTGCAGAGTGCTTCTCGCGCGGGCCAGGACAGTGTCGTTGATCTGCTTTTGAGGAGGGGATCAAATGTCAATGCCCAGGGAGGGCGTTACGGTAACGCTCTCCAAGCAGCTTGTGCGGGTATGCATGAGCACATTGTACAAAGGCTACTGAAGAAAGGCGCATTGGTCAATGCTAAGGGTGGTAAATACGGTACTGCGCTGCAAGTTGCATCTCGCACAGGTGATATAGATATCGTTCAGATGCTTCTCGACAACCGGGCAGAAGTCAATACAGAGTGTGGGCAGTATGGAAACCCCCTTCAGGCAGCTTGTCGAGGAGGACATATGAGTATTGTTAAGATGCTGCTCGTGTGTGGGGCTAATGTAAATGCACAAGGTGGAAGTTACGCCAATGCACTACGGGCAGCGTCTTCCGGGGGGTATAGTGATATTGTCCAAATGTTACTCCATAGTGGTGCCGTGGAGGACGTTCCAAATGGATCCATTTGACATCAGTGCTGCTACTATGCAATGTACGGACAATACCAAACGGGTCCTTTATCTACGTTATTGCCAGTCACCATGCAGTCTCCGCCGGTCTTACTAGGGAGCGTGTCGGCGATGCCACGCAGCCATGGTCCAGGTACGATCTGGAGACACCCTCCTTATAGTACCGTCTGGTCAGTGTTGAAGAAAGGCTGAGTGATCCAAAGAAGATATTTGATCTGGCGCCATTCCTCCTGACCAAGTGTTAGGTCTCGAAGGTGATATTCGGAGCAAAATCGTTGAATGTGGACCGCAACCTTTTTGCACGACGAAGCATTAAGAACTTGGAATTCCAGCGAGTCTACACATCTTGAATCGGAACTTATTTTTGGCGATCCTCTTTGGGGGTTACAGAACGCTTCGCGGCGTTGACGACTTGCATTAATATAGATTGCCAGGTTGCGAATCTAAGATTATGGGTTGTAGTTCGAGCAGTTGCCGGATGTGTTAAGGGCAAGGCCTACACTAAGACTAAACTGTCGATGTCTGTCAGACACAGCGCACTGCCCTAGTAATAGAGTATATAATAAGGACTAAGTTTGATTAGTAGAGATTTTAATATAATAGACAGTATGCTAATAAGATATCATTATTAGAAGCCTGTACAAGACATGATTAGTTGATTAAGAGAGACCTTAGTCAGTAATAGGAAACTATCTTATTTAGAGGCAGCGGGCTGTAGCACCATGGCACTGACCAGACAGTACTATAAAGCTAAAATAGTTAATTATTACTTTACCGCGGTCAGGTTAAGGTGAGGGTCCTTAACCTGGCCTGACCTGGCCATTGCCCACTACTAAAGCCGCCCCGGCCTCAAAATAGTCTGCTGGCTCATAGTCCCAACCAACTTCCCCCCCACATCATCCCACACCCGCGCCTCACTCAACGCCCGCGCATTACCAGCAACAATCGTCTTCTGCTCCATAGTATGCCACCTGCTGAGATCCACCCTATGCGTCGACAGCCGCATCGAAAAGTCCAGCGTCGCGCACGCCCCCACCTGCGAGAGCATGTGTCCACTGTGCGAGACGGGGATGAACGCTAGCCCTTTATCCATGTGGAAGGCGAGTGCCGCGATCTGCTCCGCTTCGGACGAAAGCGGGGTGGGAACGTGGAATCGCTCCGCGCTTATCCTCGAGGGCGCGTCGTGGAGCCGCGAGGTGGGTGTCGGGAGGGGGTGCGCCGTCGTAAACCGCGTGATGTTCTGGTAGAGGAGGTTGATGTCGCGGTCTTGAGGGACGGACGATTGGTCGTCCTTGCGGGTCGCTGTTTCGGGTGTTGCGGAGTATAGCGCCATAGAGGCGTCCTCCTCCGTGTGGAAGTCTGCGGACGCGAGCAGGCACAGTGCCGGTGTCGAGCTGTTGTCCTCTTCCTGGTATACTCGGATGTGTCTCGTCTGGAAGCTTTTCGTGTCTCGGATGCGCTCTATCCGGCAGAGGAGTTTGCGGTCGTCGCGGGCGGTCCGTACGAAGTGTCCGGATATAGAGTACAGATGGTGCGATGGGGATACTGTCTGGTAGGCTGCGTTGATGGCTACCCCCAAAGTGTTTCCGCCGTACACGAAGGACGCGAGCGCACCCATTCGGATTGGGTGGTGGACTGAGATGAACTGGTCGTTGCCTAGTCCGGTGATCGCTATCTGTTGTGCTAGAGTTGTCTCTGCCATGGTGATTAATTGGGCTGTGTACACTTGCTGGTGAAGTGATTAAGCGGACGCGACTCAATTGCGGGGATGATCGCAAATGATAACTAAAAGCAACCGTTGTTCGTGAGAGAAGCCGATCCTTATTATAACGCTAATCTTTAGTATCGGTTGACTTCCTTAGTCCGAACCCCGAGGCGAACTTATGATGCTAAGCGTGAGGAACATTTTATCTCATGAAGTTCAGGTTGAGCCTTCGTTCCGAGATGATATTGTAATCCGCCAGAATATCTAGCACGAGGTTGCCGAAATACGGATGTCGTCTGGGTGGAGTTTCGGCAGATGACAATATCTGGCATTCGATGTAGTCTTCTCATCTGTCAAGCTAGAATTTTTGAGACGCTGATCATGACTGCAATATCATAATGGTAGCATTTGATTTTACACAACACAAATAGGCCCTGTACTTTACGCCTCAGGCCGGGAACTTGATATGTTGATTAAATATGTAACGCAAGCGATACACTGATAATGAGGTGGTATAGGCTACAAAGAGCGATACTCGATCGCTTCCAGGAACTCGGCCTAGTCACGCAGTATCGAAACCAAGACGAACGTGCGAACTATAGCAAGGGTAAGATCTGTGCGCTGTTATGAGAAGCCGCCACTGCAGAAGTTCCAGACCTCTCTTAGAAAATGAGGTCGGGAATGACAATCGGTACCAGTGATTGGATAGCTGGTTTATGTCCAGTCAAACCATAACCGTTATTATGATACTAGGGATATCAATCCCATTAGTGATAATCATCGCCGAAAAATCGGTTTGGTCACTTCATTGAAAGTGCCAATATCGGTTGACAGAACCGCAGCGGCTAGGGCTGGATCGCCCTATAACTGGGAGGGAGATCTGTCTGGTAAACTGTCTTACACATAATGGAAGGTTGACGCTTTTTTTTGCTTACGATAATCATGTGGAGTTGGCATGCTTTGATAACATGATTCCTTGGTCCAGATATGAGCAAGGGGATGGCTGATAGAATCTTTGGAGGCTTTCGTGAAGCCAAACCTATAATATGGTATTATGTACGCACAGTATGGACTATAACACCAGGTAAAAACTTAATCATCATTTTTTTGGGACACCATCCATAACAGCTGAATGACTGACAGCCCATGTATAATGTGAGGGGACTCTAGTGGCTCTTAGGAGACCAACATGTTTGAAAATATGTGTCGAGAAGAAACAGCAATGAGGATAACAGGCTTTACTCACTAATTAGGTGGTAGACTACCCTTTGACTGCTTGTGCTCACTATATTCCACGGCACTTTCATGGAACTCGTGTCTGATACCAATCCAGCTTCGCTATCTCTCCCAGCTATGGTTGGTTGGCTCTTGATATCCTACAAGAACAACCCTGACAAGATGATTGTGTAGACTAGCTGGCCAACACCAGCCCACGGTTTGATGATTATCTATACTGGCGTGATCGTGTACCAGACGCATTGAAACAATAGTAGCTACTGGTGTACCATAAGTAGGTCAAAAAATATCTGTGCCTCGTAACAAATAACACACTAACAATCTGATAACCCCCGAGGGGGATATCTACCCAGCGCTTCCCATACCTCAAAGCATGAAGCGTGAAAGCAAACACATGAATTTTGAGCACAAGTGCCCATACATAAAAGTCCGAAATAAGCTTGTAAACCGGTATAATCGTGGAGAAACGACACCGTTGGATCACAGTCTGTGATTCCACGCTGAACCTTTCCATCACCGCATTGTCGGCAGACGTTGCGGTGTTCAATAATACCGAATACCATCCGCGTCAGAGATCATTTATAGATCCTTCTTGGGAGTACCCTCAGACTTCTCGGAGACCTTATCGCCCAGGTTGTGGTACTCACGGGTGAGACCCTCGCACTGCTTCTTTAGAGTCTCAATGTCCCGGTCCTTAGCAGCCAGCTGGTCCTTGAGGCTGCCGATCTCGCCAACCTCGCCGGCCTGCGCCAGACGGCGCGAGTCCTTGCCGCCGGCCTTCTTGTCGCCCTCGAGGAGCTTGACGCGGTCCTCAAGACGGAGAACCTCCAGGATCATGGTGTAGGTGCGGTTGAGGATAAGAGACAGGAACAGTGTGAAACCGCAGAGGTACATGTTGCGCTGCGAGTAGAACTTGCGGGCCTGCACCTCCATGCGATCGGTGCCCAGGGCGGCGGCTCTGTTACTTATTGATCAGACCTCGTTATTGGAAAGCAGGAGAGTTAAGGGGGCACTCACCCCATGGACTCCTTGTGGAAAGAGGACAGCTCCAGCTGCACGCGGTACACGCGGTTGACGCTATCAATGAACAGGATGAGGATAAAGATGAAGGTAATCTGAGGCCCGATTAATGTTTGTTGTGTTGATAGATCGGGTCCAACACACCTTCAAGCCGTACTGGAGCTTCGCGATGACGGGGCTTTCCGAGATAAAGGCAAAGAGCTTGCGCTTGACGACAAAAGGGAGCGGGACAATGAGGGCCATGAAGACCCCCATTTCGAAGACGAGAAGACAGAATACCTGAGTGCGTGTATGGTCAGTTGGGGTTCGAAATCAAGCTTCCGTGCTGCACATGGATTCTGAGACGTGGCCGGCTGTAGGCGGCAGCGTATCCGCAACTCGCGATACAACCACAAAACCACAGGATTGTAACACTTACTAGACTGTAGTAGAGAGTCATTGTGGCTGGAGCTTTACAAGTCCCTCTTGAAATTGTCCACAATTATCTGAAACAGGAATTTTGGATCGGGCGCGGTTGTGGGGGATGTGCAAAAGTAAACAAAGACCTTCAGAGCTGAATAGGGGTTGTGGGAGCCCGAATGGCGATATAATCCAGTTGGATTTATACTCTAGTAGATGACTGTCTCGACCAAATGACGTCGAGAGCAGGATGAGATGTGGATTCGGGGGAAATGGAAAGTTGTGTGGGAAGGAAGGTAAGGTGGTCTGGCAGTGGTAGTGCGAGGAAGACGTCATCACGTCGGAAAGCTGGCACAGGCACGTGACCCGACCCTCTTATGCCGAGGATCGGTGTTTATGGGATACTATGGGATAGTGGTATCTACAACGCTTTCGATGTATGTACAAGATGTGTTTCCCCATCTTTAGTTTATGTAAATCTATATACGCGCAATGCTTAACCCTCCGCTTCGTAGGCATTCGACTTGTGCTTAGGTTCGAACTTGAAATCCTTGTGGGCGGGACCGAGGAACATCTCACTGCAGAGATCTTTAGCAATTGAATAAAACAGAGGTAAATAAGGGATACATACGTGATCTTAATCCAATCCTTGTAGTTGGGACTTCCCAAGAGCGTCTCCAACTCATTCCGACCGCGCCAAAGCGGCGGCCGATCTTGGATGTTCGGCGGCAGGTACTCGAGCAAGCCGATGGGCACATAGCGATACGTGAAGCTCAGCCACTCGCACAAGAAGCGTCTCGTTGTGCCAATTCCGTGTTCGTCGGATCCCCACGTCTCCAATCCATACTTGGCGAATTTCTCAATGTGTGTCAGACGCTCGGTGGCCGACTTGTCCAGGTACTGTCCGGTCTGGATCTCCTCGAAGACCCACGGCTTGATCAACGCGCCACGACCAACCATCACACTGTCGACCCCAGCATTGTTGATATGGTTGTCGTAGTCCACATGGGAGTAGCAGTCGCCGTTTCCGAGGAAGTAGGTCTTGCCCCCGTTGGGCTGGTGCCGAGCGTCTGGCTCCCGGATAGTGTCGGCGACTTCGTCGGTCTTCTGGTTTAGCCGCTTGATAAGGGCGGCGCACTCAGAGATATATCCCCAGTCGGCCAGTTTAGTGTACCGCTGCTGCCTGCTGCGGCCGTGGAGAGTGAGAGCGGCAATACCCGGAGGTCCGGCGTCGCGCTGGTGGGACTCGAAGCCACCTAGGAGGAGGCGCTCGGCCAGTTTCAGAGCATTCGGGGCGTTGTCTCTAGTTCCCATGCGGATCTTGACGGAAATGGGGATTTCCTGGGACACGGCGTTCATACCGCGGAGAATCTTCTCCAGCTTAGACGGGTGCTCGAGCAACGCGGATCCGGCTCCGTCACGGAAGAGAAGATCGATCGGACAGCCGCAGTTCAAGTCAATGACACGCAGGTTGGGTGTAAAGCGCGACAGAACTTCGGTGGCTTTGTACGCTTGCCAGGGCTTGTTTGATGCGATCTGGGCTCCGAACTTGAGATCCTTCGTGTTGTCGTAGCCCTGGACGATGTCCTTCCCTGAGACGGTGGGGGGAAGCATTTCAGATTCATGTCCCTTCAGCAACGCCCATTCTGACTTGTTGCCTTGGATCAGTGGCATGCTCATCGCCATCTCCGAGTAGGTCAGCTGGGCGCCGAGCTCCGTGCACACCCGTCGGAAAGGAAGGTTGCCCTGCGTCGTCAGCGGCGCCAGAGCTGGAGTCTCCGGGCCAAAGTACAGGCGTCTCTTCTCCGACGGCAGGAACGGAGGCTCCACATAGCGGGCGCGATACTCCTCCTTGTCATCCTTCTGCGCCTGAGTCATTGTCTTGTCCACCTTCTCCTGCTCGAGTTGCCACGAGATATATGTATCGGACCGAGAGACATCGACCTTGCGCCGAGACAAAGCCATCTTCTCATCCATGGAAATCACGTTCGCGAGACCCTCCTCGTTGACAAAGGGCAATACCGGCTGCGCTTTCTTCTTGCGCTCCTCGTCCTCAGTCAAGACCAATTCTTTCCGCCCGTCCTCGGTGTCGCGCTCAACCATATGCGATCCGACAAAGCGACACTTCCAGCCTGAAAAGCACTTTCCCTTGGCCTCCCAAACAGGACACACTCCATTGAACACCGTCAGATCCTCTCGCTTGTGATCCTTGAGATACGTGCGCAGGTCATGCTCAAAGCGACACTTCTCGCCAAACCCGCACTTCGCAGGCGAGAACTCGGGCGCAAACATCCTGCTGGAACAGAGTCCCTTGGCATCGTGCGACCTTCCAAAATCGCGACGGTAATTGGCTCCTCCAGCGGCCTTGTTTTTCTTCCCGCCCTTCTTATCCCTATCGTCCTGGCGCTCGTCGTAGCCGGCCGCTTCGGCCGCGTCGTCGGGATCCGCTTGGGGTGCGGGCGCGCTCGCTTCGGGCTTCTGGATGATAAACCTGGGATACTTAGCAACACGATCCAGCACACAATCTGCGCCACTTCGCGAAGTATGTACTTACTCGGCTTTGACGGGGGCGTAGCCTCTCCGCTGATCGCGCGCATCACGCGCGTCACGAGCGTCAGTGGGAGCCTTCTCACCCGACGACGACGTCGTCGTCGTCGTCGCATCATCTAATCTCGCTTTCTTGGCGGGAGGCTCCTCGGTGTGGTCAGATGGCGGGACACCATTCTTCGTGGGGGCCTCCTGCGGCGCTTGTGCCTGGATGTTTTCCGAGTCCATGGCTAGCCCCGCGATGTGTGATTTGCGAGGGAGAGAGGTTGGGTAATTCTTTAAGCGGCACAGTTATAATGGGGAAAGATAAACGTCCGTGTATTACCAGACGTCTGATTCAATGTGTGCCTGAAAAATAACCCTTCTCCGCACCGATCTCGAGTATGGACATAGTCCTGGCGATAAAAATTTCGGGCTGGCGATACTGGCGTGGAGAGGAGTTTGTAGTGTTTGCACATGCTGGTGTGGGGCATCTCGGGTGGCGCAGGGGCGACAATTGGCCACTGATTTGGTTGGTTCGTACAAGATTGTATAGATTGGATGGACGATTTTTTACCTTAATCATTAACAATGTAGTTCAATATATTGGAGATAATTGGTTATTGGATTGGGAACAAATGTGCAGTATTTGTATAGAGATAGGTCACTCGTTTTACTTTGAAGATGCTTGTTAGTCTTATGTGTTTGTAATGTGGAGTACTATCACGCCAAACATATTAGGTTATCTAGATATAGTAGAGAAAGGTGGTGAACTAGTAAATTGTTTATTAATGCTCTAGTAAGATAGGACACTGCTAAGTTCTGTGGATAGTGTTTACACTTAGGCAGGGGACCACAGCGATGGCAAGATTATATACACCCCGCCTGGATATACTGCTATGGGCATGTATAAAACCCCAATAGCCCTGACTGAAAAACAGTTCCTCGAGGATGGAAAGCGATGAGTGCTCACTTTCATCTAATTGCTATAATCTCCCAAGACAATAGATGGACGATGGTGAGCTCTCTTTTCCCCGGAAGAGAATCGAATACCTGTCTTCAAATGACAGGCATATTCATCACTGGGAATCTATTTCCCCAAGTAGAAAGGGCATACTAGACCATGGAAATAGAGTTACAACTTCCCTATGCAACAATGACACGCAACTTAGCACCAAAGCTGTCCAGCTTTGTCATGTACGCCAGTGGTACCTGAACGAACCACGGTGTCACATATCATCCAAAAAAGGGAATACATTCCTGTCTTCGTCGGATACTTGAGCTCCTGGGTTTTAGATGACCAGCTGTCTTAGGTTTCATTGTAGGCATTCTTGTCTAAGAAAAGCTGTTGTGCTGAAGTCCAGACAGCCCTGGCTCGGCCAGCAGCTACGTCATTGACATCCTTGAGTTCGATCCGCCGTGTCGATAACGGCTCATCGAACGAAACCGGGGATGTAGCCTGCCCGCAGATGCACGGATGAAGGGCCCAATTGGAGGTAAGACATCTCGAATTCCTTGCACTCCGCCCAACAGTTGAGAGGTATCTCGTACAACATGCTGGATCATTCGGAAATCAATCCCGGGGACAGTATGACATAAGGTTACATGTCCCTTGCCTTTGACTCTGCACTGGGGTTGACGTTACCATCGGTATGTATAGGGATCGTACATGTCTCTCTGCTTCCGTTCCGTGTGGGGATTTCTGCCGCCCCGGACGGGGTGATGGTGGGGTAGAATGGAACCTTCCAAGTCTGTATATTTGGTTTCTGGGACACAATATAATGACTAAACTAATTTCCTAGATGACGTTCCGGATGTGGTGTACGGATCTGGCTGTCTTTGGTTTATGTGTTGGGTTGGATCTGAGGAATGTCGTGCAACATGCCGTTTTCACATTCCTGATTACTGACTGTCTCCCGTGTTTTAGTTCTTCTAGTCCAGTGGATTGGGTAGGTTTTGCATGAAGGGCTATTTATTGCTCTATCAATATTGACCATGGTGGTACAAACCTACAGGTGTTGTGGAACTGAAGACGCAGTTGAATAATAGACGCAATTGTATTAAAGATGCAATTGAACCATAGGACGTCGAGTGCTGCCAGGATTAAGAGGTGATAACTATTTTAGGTGACAGACAGCCGGTTCCATCCGGTATGGATGGCTGAGAATATCCGCATATTGTCTTGTCCTAGGATATTTGCCCTGTGAGGGACTTGGTTTGGCTCAGAGCAACTAACCTGCCCTAGAAGTTTGATATACGAGACTACTGGAGGTGAGCAGTAGCTACCAGGATCTCCACCGCAGTCTGTGTCAGAAACACAATATTGAAGCATGAGAAGTCACATCCATGCGATATTTTGGCCAGTGGCTCTATGTAGCTGCAACCATTCCTTACCCCAAACAACACAATAACCGGAGACCATTAGTGATATGACTAAGTTAGTAACTAAGGTATATAATAACTGAACTATTTATAGCAGCTGATACTAGATGCTAATGCGCTAGTCACTCTTATAATAAGCTTAAATTATTACCGTCAGGTGTTAATTACCCTTTTATCAGTAGTTCCAGGACGGTCCGAGACGGGAACCGCCCTTGAGCATACGTTGTTAGTAGTATAAAGATACGTATCTATTCAGCTTTACATCCTCAGCTCATTGCCTGGCTTGTTACTCGTGTTGGATAGTCCCTCACATACCAGGAGGCCAAAGTTATGTCTAGAAGCTTGATCCACATACCGTAGACGAAGTAATGGGTCTATATTGGTATTTGCCAGCAGCGTTACCAAGCCATCGTAGTTCTGGAAGAATTAGATATGTTATGAAGAACTACTCAATTGGGCAACCTAGCTACTCATCTAGTCATCGTAGATATAACCTGACGATGGCAGTTGATCCCAATATTTCATTTCTGGTGGGATCGCCGCTCTCGGTGATCCTTTGGTGATCATGTCAAGGTCTCGTTTAGACATGGTAAAACCTGGTAAATACTCGTAATAAGACCGTTTAACTGACAACCATCACAGCATTACAATATGGTATTTGTAGTATTATAGCGCATACTGCCACTGCATAGCATGCTCATTTCCATGCCGACCTATCCCTACCATATCATCTCAAAGACACTCTCAACTTCTCATGCCGGCTTCTGCGGGTATCCAGGCGGAAAGGCGGATTGTAGAGCCGAGGCGTCTACGTAGTACATAGTTACCCATGGTTCGTTCATACAACACACGCATGCACGCACGCAACGTACACGCACCTCCTACACCAACAGCTGGGAAGTCCGGGATCCGAGCGCTTGCATCAGTCTGACTCGAACGCCCATCCCATCCCTGGAAACCGAGCGGGATGGGGAGGAAGGGAGAGGGGTGGGGATTAAGTCCAACAACACCTGCATGTGGGCGCCCGTTGGCCCTTGTTATCAACCTACTTACCTTATCGACCGTGTTTGATCCTGATAGGTAAAGCTGTTGGCACTGACCTCCCCGGATATGCAGGTCAGCAATGACATCAACCGATTGTGATCCCGTACTATACCTCTTTGGGGGGGGGGATTCGAAGGAATGGGCGGTGTAAATCTACAGCTATACGAGTGAGGGGAAGGAGGGCGTGGTTGCGATTGGAACGGTTGCGCCACCGATCTGGGATGGATTTCCCTCCTTTCTTCTCTCTGCCCTGCCATCCCCGCTCTGTAATAACAGTTGAGATTCTTTGGAGAGGACATCTGATGAGCATCATTACTATTTCATATTCTTTCGTTTCGAGTACTAGATATGCATCGAATGTAATAGATATTGATTAGTTCCACGCTAGAAAGGCGGCAGAAGCATGGTGGAGGGTGGCAAGTTTCACCGCTTGAACGGGGCCGCTCGACAGACTTACTGTTTTGGGTTGCTGGCCGGGGTTGTCTCGGGGACTGCCTCGTCTTCGGCAACAACCTACCGATGGAATTGAGGTACTGATTGTTATACCATATAGGCGTCATTTTGCTAAGTAGTGAGTAATGTAGTAAGTACTAAGTAGTATAATATTGCCGTTGCCCCGTTGCGTTGCATTTGTTGTTATTTTAAAACGCCTGACAATCTATAGGTTGATCCACAGTCCTTCAACTTAATTTCACCTACCAGTTCCCTCCAACTACCTGTACATCGTATCTCCTGAGAGGAATCATACGCCCATTTCTCAACTCCTATCAAACTTAATATGAGACATGAGGCTGGCGGGATCAGCGGAGAAATACCCGACAGGTTATCCTATTCTGACCGTCCGCCTATTAGACATCCCGGGGAAGTCAATTCGTCCTGCGCTAGACAGGGAATGGTGATGTTCGGACGATATGATATTGTTTGCTTCTTTCTCTCCTCATCGGCTGACGCCTGAAGGTTAGGGGCGATCGGTCGTGGAGACTAAAAAGATGCAGGACGGAGGACAGGTGTACGTATTGTTATTTGTCACACTGTTCGTAGATGGATCCTTCGGTGTTACAAACCCATCGCTCTTCCACATGGAGGAATGAATCCCTTTCCCTGTGAGGGACATGGGGATGAGGGTAACACCAAAACATCGCTCCTCCAACCTAGACTAATAGAGAAAGTCTTTCGCCAGTCGCCACCCCGAGGCGTACCCGGGAGCCTTGGAAATGCCAGCTGTGCTTTACCTTCACCTCTTCCCATGGCAGAGAGGGGACCGTCCGCAGTGGATCTCAGATGATGAAGGTCTCCATTCGCCTGGAGCTCGACGGAGCACACTCCACAGCGTGCTGTCGAGTACCCTGGACCGGTGAAGCGTAGGGATGGCCATCCCCATCGAGTGGATATATCAGATTAGAACATCGCAAGTCTCCTCAGATCTACGGGGTATCTGTACAAGGGTGTCGAGTAGATTGTCCAACCGACTTCCCCAACCGAAAGAACGTCGACAGACGCGCCCCCTGTCATCTTGTGATCACGTCGCCAAGACCCAAGGCGTTGTCCGGCGTGGCCATTGGATTTTCCCACTTGAATTGGCTCTGGGGTCGACCAATGATGTAAGGTGATTTCCCTACGTTTGACGCGGCAGATTGGCTGCTCCTCCCGGTACCTACAGTAGCGTTGGCTTACGGGGAGGGGGGATGCTCTGTTGTGGAGCCGATGGTGGACGAATATCGAGTCGATACTCGATATTATTACCTATTGTGTCTTGGTATGACTATTGACTATTCGAGACATGAGATTTCGAGCACACAGATGATCATAACACATGTTCTATAGGAATGGATGTCGAGATAGACCGAGGCGGGTGGCTGATCCCGTATGATGGTGGTAAGAAAACGGTAAGATGGAAAACCCCCAAGACGTACTGACTACCGTCGCTTAGGACCTTCTAGAAAACGTGGGAAGACCGAGGCCGACCAGAGAATGAGAGGCCCACTTGGAGGCAGAGAATGGAATATCAATGGATACTAGCTTCTTGAAAGTGAACCTTGGGTAGAGAAATTTACCGTGGGGCTTACCCACTAGACAGAGGACAGAGGATATACCGACGTAATAGGTACCTCAGTATGGATGAATCCGTATGCACTGGTATTAAGTGATACCGACAACTCCCGTACTCTCGATTCGGATCTTACAGGTAGGAAGTAAGTGCCTACTAGGTAGGTAGGTAGTGTCTTTGTGCGGATTGATTGGACGCGATATCTACCGCGGATGCCGCCGGGTCACGGAGATTGACTGATCGAATCTGGATGGCTCATAATGAGAGGATGTTGCGATCAAGGGGCCATTCATCCAGGCATGACTCGCCTGGATGGTTTACAGTGGCAACGTAAAGAAGTCATCACGATGAAATAATTGGAAGAAGAGTTGAAATCACTAAGGCTGATAAGATGACTAACTCGGACGCCCCGGTGTAATGACGGACTCCGCGTATCTGGATTACCGGATAATTACGCCACTCTTTATAATATGAAACTCGCATCCTTTCTTCCATCCCGTCTGTTATTCCTGCCAGTTGCCTTTGCTTCTTTGTCTGGATGTCCATCCTTCTGTAATAAACATCAACATTCTCCTTTCTACAAACCACAAGATCTATACTACACACAATCAATACTATTGCCACTACTCTAGTCTGTCCAGCTCATCGGAACCTCCCAGCCCATCTCCAACAGGGTAATAATCATCGTTACGTCCCGCCACCGTTCCCGAATCCGTCCAGTCAGTGACAGTTCCCGCCCAGCCAAAGCGGGACAACTTCCGAACGAAGCGTCCTCTTACGCTGGACTGTGGGATCCCGCCTAAACTAACGCCGTTTCTCTCAACTTTCCCTCCCATCATTAAATTACAACCACTTTCTCTCCTTCAATGGTCCGATCGTTAGAACACTCCTTGAGCCCCCCTCCGCCTTCTCTACATCATTCTCCCCTCCTTGGTGATCTGGATAGAGCCGAGACTCGGGATTCGACCCCCGTCACCACTCCCCGAGGTTTTGGCCTGCAACCGCGCAGACCAGATAGGGAAAAGGCATCATCGTCCGATCTTCCCTGGCCTCAACATCCCCTCGATCCCGACGCCGGCGCCGACGACTACCACCACCACCATCACAATAACAACAACAACAACAACACCACCAGCTACACCTCCTACTTTGATCCCACTGCCTTTCCTTCCAGTTTCCAGGAGCTTTTCGATTATCCTTACGTCGAACCCTTCACCATGACGACCGGTGCCGCCCCCATCGACATCGCCACTCGTCAGACCTCGGTCTCTCCGCCGGGACAGCAGGCCTCCAACCTCACCTCCGCCTTGCAAAGAGCCAACAATGGCGAGCGATCCGGTAGCCTGTCCCATGCCCACGGTGGAAGTTTGGGTATGTTCAAGCCTCCCCCGCCTCGCAAGGATTCCATCGGCACGGCCACCGCCCAATGGGGCAACGGAACGAAACCCATCTCCGTCTCCGGATCCAACCGCGATAAGCAACGACGAGAGTCGTTGGCTGGGAGTTTGGTCGGTGGGATGAGTTGGGGTGGGATATCGGTGGGAAGTTGGATACGTGATGAGTGAGTACCCTTTAATATATATATCTA